TTTTAACTTAAAAATTAAGTAATTAAATAAAATAAGTAGATTATCATAAATTGAAAGAGAGGTAGTAATATTAAATATAAGTATAAAGTAATTGCTAAATAGCGAATTAATAATATTTATATTGCAGTATATTTATAAGGCATTTACTAATATCTATTAGGTTATTTTTGAGGTTCTAAAGTCTCGGATTTTGTAGTTTAGAAAAATCATTTTCTTTAGGCGGTAGTCGTTCGGGTATAAAGATAGTATTTAATTCCTTATTTTTTATTTTATTATTAAAGAAAAAATATTAACGAATTAGCAATTAAAAAAATACGGGATAAATTTTACTCATTAAATTATTCTTCTTATAATAGTATTTCTCAATTAAATATACGAATATATTTAAATTTAGGGGGTTACTATTTACGCCGCCATTTTTTAATAGTATAATATTATAAAAAAACGAGAGTTTATATGCGGATTAGTAATTTATTAAACCTAAACTCCGGAAAAGCTAATATAAGCAGTCCCCAGTAGAATCTTAAACGGGATTATTATTTATTAGTACGGCGAAAGTAATTATATACATTATTAATAATTATATAAAAAATACCGATTAAATTATATAACGCGTTTATTTCTTACTTTGAAATAGTATTAATAATTTTTAAATAAATATATTAGAACTCCAAAAAATATTCGTAGTATTAATGTATAAAAGTAGTAGGACTATATATTTAAATTAGTACGCCCAATATGTAATATAACTTCGCCAATTTTTATAGAAATATTCAATTTCTATTAAGTTAGTATAAATAATAATTTCATTAATAAATTAGAAATAATTTTCCACTATTAATTAATTATATAAAGTTATAATTATAGTTTATAAAGTATAAGTATTATTTTAGAGGTATTTACAAAATATAATTTAAAGATATTTTTTATATAATAAATATTCGACTATATTTACTCCATAGTAAGTAATATCGAAGGTAAACCGTATACCCTTTTATTCCGCTACTAAATCGTTTATAATTATATATTTTAAAACCTAACCCAGTAAATTACTATATTATTCGATTAATACTTTTAAATATTCTCTAATAATTTTACTAATTTAATTAAACGTAAAGAAAGAAATAATAGGAAATTATAATCCGTAATTATCCTATACTATAATTATAAATAAGAAAAAGGTAAAATAAATCGTATTATATATCGAATCTATAATTGTAATTATATTACATTCTTATAAAATTTTTAAATAGTTTTCGCTTCTGAAAATTGATTTAATAGTAAATTTATTTCTTTTTTTTTCATTTTTAAATTAAAATTATGGAAGAAAATACATTTAATTTTCAAATTATTAAAATTATTAAACTTTTAAAAATATTTTTTATATTTTACTATAGGGGAATCTTCCTTATTAGTAATACGTAGTTTTTTTTTCTAATTTCAAATTTAAGAACCTTATAATATTAGCGAGCTTTTAAATAATAAAATAATAACCCCTATAATAATTTATCCGCTCTTTATAAGTAGGATAATTATATTTAAGGATTATTCTTTCTACTATTATAATAAAGTAATTTACTAAAAGGAGAAACGTAACATATTTCTTTTTAATTATTAATATATTATTTTCATTATAAAAATTTATAATATAATTATATTATTTAAAAATAGTAACTTTATAATTATTACTGTAAATTACCTATTTAAGGCGTAGGGAATAGTGGCTTCCTAAATAGCAAATACTTTTAAACGTTTTTTTAATCTCGCTATTTAATTATTTACCGTCCTTATATATATAGTAATAATATTATAATTTTTCCGTATATTTTTTATCCCCCTTTTTAGCATTTAAATTTCCCTCTTAGTATAAACGTATAAAACCTAATACTAATTATATTCCTATTTAATAACTAGTATTATAAATATTTCTACTTCTTAATAACGCCGACGGATTTTTATAATATTTTTAAAAATATAAAGACTATTATTTAATTACTTTATAATTACTAGAATTAATTTGAGGGGTTCGCAGCTCCGTTTTCTATAGCGTTTACTTTAATAATTAAACTTATTATTTATAATAAAAAGAAGCAAAGAAAGTACTTAAAAGGAATTAAGCGGTAGCGGGTCTTTATTTTCTATATATTTAGAGCGTACGGATTTATTAAGTACTTTAAAAATGAATTCATTAAGTATATTAGAAATAGGATTAAGCATAGTATTATTAGCAATTACTTCTATACATAACTAACCGAAATAAATTTTATTAATTAAAATTAGGGAATTTATTACCCTACTTTCCTATATTAGGATCGTATTAGGCCGGTAATTAGTATACGAATAAAGAATTACAGATATATAGTAGTAAGCGGCTTACTTATTAATAATATATAGATAAATACGTATATTAGTAATTATAGTTAATATAGGGTTGTACTTTAATATATTGTAGTATACAATAGGAAACGTAGTAAGTAATAATACTATTACAGTCGCGGTCGCGCGAAATTTAGTGGGCTAGTAACAGCCGCGGGAAAACTACAGGAATATAGTATATGCGAAATATAATAGTATAAATATTATTAGTAGGCGCTTAATATAACTTTCCAAATCTTGCGCAAAAGTAACTTTTGTAGCTAGTACTAACCCCTGCAGGCCAGAAACCCAGGACCTCGATAATACTCCCCGTCGGGAGCCAAGCAGCCCAAACTCTCAAGCTGTATCACCAGGACGGCGATTAAAGTCCAGGGCACATTAGGTTACATTCCTTTCTGAATCGCAGCCTGAAGCCTTACGAAGCTAGCTGTCAACAATGCTACCGCACGCGGAAAACAAGGCTTCTCGGGCCTGCCTAGCGCTCGGTTACTGGTGACTGGGTGGTGATCGGCGCTAATCAAAATCTCATGGTGCTGGCCAGCGTTACCTAATGCCTATCGTCAAGGTCGTGAAACCCCAAAGACAGAAAATAAACTCCGTTAAAAAGGACGGCAACTGGCCGTATCTGGCTTTGGATTCCAATATGATCTCCATCCAAAGTTATATCAGTCCTACAGCAAAACTGGAGTTTTCTTGAAGCCGTCATTCTTTGGGGCATTGGAGAGCGAAGAGTTCCCCACCCAGTTCAACCATCGTGACATCGCGACAGGCGGACAGCCGTAGCAATCGTGCTTTGACCTTTGACCGTCACCAACATAGCGTACGTAAGACATATTAAGCACCTCTGAAGGCTCCGAATACAACAAGGTTCGAGATAATGCTTCGCTTGTGGTTACCTAGCCAAAGAATGACGGCGGCTGAATGGCAAGTTGGTGTTGCGCTCGGGGTTCATCGCTACGCTGAGATGTCCTTGCGAGGCGCAGACAGGTAGCGAAAGGTAGGTGGGCGGGTTACGTCGATCGATGGATGCCGCCGACGAGATTTTATTCGACATGAATGGGAGAAGGCTCGGGGTTGAGGCTCTCGCTGGATGGGAAGTGGTTGTGGTGTGCGATGGTCGGATGCAGTCGCCGGTCGCCGGCCGGCATGTCTCGGCTCTCGGTAGGCTAGTAATGGCCCAAGCCCGGGCGGGCAACCACCATTCAGTTCCCCGTACTTGACCCTTGGCAACATAACACCTACTCCTTCCTCAACCACTGGTCGTCAATGTGATGTCTCAAAATCGGCGACTGCTCGAGACACTCGCTAATCATGACGAACGTCGCCGACATCCCAAGATCGATATCACCCAAGACAGGACACAGACTAGCTCCTGGTTCTGCCCACCACCACCGCGTTGTCTCTTCGGCAAGACATCCCCATTTCAACCTTTTAACTCCGATTCGGTTCGGTTCAAGGTGATGGGTGGGTATCACAAACCATCACACTCTTCCAGATTGCAGCAAGCCAGATCCCGTACGGCGAAGCCGGCTGCTGACAACCATGCGTTCCATGTGTCCCATGTGTCTGTTTCTCCATGTGGGTGGTCGCCGGGTCTGCTGCGCCGTATGGCTCCATGAAATCACGGAAGGGGATGGTGAAGTGAAGTGCCACTCATCCGCATGACCGCATGGAAATGGTCCCCGTTCCGCTGCCTGTCATCGGTCGCCTTGTGACCGAACGTAACTCAGTTACGTTGACGTCGCCGAATGTTATCCCCGGACGGGCTCAAGATTCGGCGAGCAGATCCGGGGTTCCAGATGTCTTGTTTTAGACTTTTGAGGTTGTACTCGCTAGGGCTTTTGGCCTTCTGGATGGTCCCTTCACAGACAGGAGACGCAAAGATCTAGCGAGTCGGCGCTAGTAGTCGAGGGAACGAAGGAGCTTGAGATTTTAGCGAGTGGCAAGTGGTAATGCTGACGGTAGGTCCCCGACGTGACTTCGTCTTCACCAACGCATAAGATGCCCGCTGTCCCCGTAACCATCCCGACTCGATCGCCGTCTAAGCTCGGCGAAGAGACCGAGATGTTGATGTTCTAGTGGTTCCCGAAATGCCTACCCGACATCCAATGAGACAGTCCGGAGTCAGACCCTCTCAGCTCGGCGAGGAGCCCGAGGGGCAAAACTATCAGCGAACGGTTGGGTATCATTTGAAATACTCGAAGGGAAACCACTTACTTGGCCCGCCGGGGACTTGGTAGCATACTCACATCTAAGAGTGAACGCCGAACCCCCCGTTTAAAAGACCGATAACCAATGATGATATTTTAGTGCGATATTTTTATGTAACCCAAAACTATAACCAAGCAACCAAGCGAGCCCAAGCGTACTGTAACTACCTTACTTGCTCGCGAGGCACTGCACTCTTTAAGGCGTGCGCCCACGCACTGCCCCTGTTGTCCTTGTCGACGTTTTGAAAAACCCAAAATCCAGAGCTGACTATATAGGTACAAAACCCCCCTCCTCCTCCTCCTCTACTTTCTTCACAACTACCAAGGTTATTCATACCTCTACCTGAGATTCTCCTTTCAACTCCTTTATCCCAAACCTAGACAAGTCGCTTTCGCCTCATCGACACCATTAGCTCACTGAGCTTGAGTAACGCCAACCTGGGCAATCAGCCCTTGGTTGAACTCGTTCATGATGCTTTCGTCCGCCTGAATGGATGTCATCATCTGTTCCTGGGTATAGCCGACCCAGAAAGCCGGGGTGATCTGCTGTGCCTTCTTTTGGCGGTAGATCTCCTGCGCCACGCCCTTGACCTGGCCCCAAGCCGTATTGGCCGCCTTCCAGACCTTGCTGAGCTTGTTGAGGGCGCCGATGTTCAGCCGGATTTGCTGGCGGAGGTCGGCCTCATCTTCGATCATGTAAAGGGCCCACTTGGAGAGGTGGACGATGGAAGAGAGAGTCACGACGCAGGTGAAGAAGTGCGTATGGCTGGTCACGGGAACAGCTTGCGTGACCATCTTGCTGATCTCGTAGGCAGCCGTGACGGTGTGCTTGGTATGGGCGTTGTATTGATCGCCTGAGCGGACGGGCCTGTGAGGCGCGCAAGAGTTGACAGCTTGGACTGGCGAAGAGTCAAGCTGGGAAAGAGGCTGGTGGAGCATAATGGTGCACCTGTTGGTTGTGAAGGGCATCAGTACACATTCTGGACATCCCTTTCTCGGGATTCGTGCAGTGATGATGACTTACGCATGGGTGATAAAGTGTGCTTGGAACATCATCTCATCAAGCTGGCAATTCGGATCGAGATCATCCCTTTTGTTATCCGGAAGATGCATTCTCCAGTTGGACAGATGCGCCTCCATCTTGTCCACCTCTGCCGCATCCGGGAACATGACGTTCGGCATCCGCATCAACCTGCCCAGATTTCTGGCTGCCGCAACACGATACGCAAACGATGAGAACTCTCGGTCTTCGTCCAGGAACTCCTTGTCGTCAAATTCCTCAAGACTCATCGGTGAAGGGATGCACTGGAAGCAGTCTCAGGTTAGTCAACTTTGAAACATCGGTATCTCATTGCTGGGAAACACATACCCCTTTGTGGTACTCCTCCTCCTCGCAGGGAAGGCCAACGTCGGTCATGATGTCAAACAACAGGAAGTTGGTCACCCGGTGAACACCAGCAATCATGCCATCGCAGATATAGAGATCCCACCAGGTTCGCCGCCAACTTTCCTCCATGATCGGATCGCCTCGGCCATGCATCACAGCAAATTCACGCTTGTTGAGGTCAATCTCAATGGCATATCTTTCACAAATAGCAAGGAGTTCCCGAGCTTTTGCTTGCTCGCAACTGCCGTCCAAGCCAATGATGATAAGCAAGAGCGCCTGGATCAAGAATCCGTCCTTGCGCACACCTTGGGCGTAGCATAGCTGTATGGCTTCATCCAGAAACCTTGCCTTGGCAGGGCCTGCATCAACGTAGAGGGAACCGATATATCTCATGGCGGCCATCACTACCGAAAGGTTTGGCTCTGAGTTACTTTTAAGCAATTCAAGCAAGTTCCTCTTGGGCAAGACGAACGGATGACCGGCATGGAAATAGTGGTAGAAAGCCTCGAAACAACGCTCTGGCAAAGTTGCTGCCGGAGGCTGAATGGGCGGAGCGGCCTGTGTCGCCAATGCCATAGCGGTGCTGTCCATCATATAGTTGTTCCTGTAGACTGGGATGCTCGCAACGGAGGGGGTTGACGGGAAGGAGAGCTGCGACTGGTCCGACAGAACGATGGAAGGGTTGAAGGCATGAACGGAGGGTGTGGCCATGGTAACAGGCGCATGTCCCAACATCATGGGGCAGCTGTCAGGAGTAGTCCCCGAGTAAGGGGGCGATGAGGACGCATGCCGCTTATTGGGATTGGCGCCGGGAGTAGGGTTATTGGGGTTTCTGCGAGGGCCCTTGTACCCACGGCGGGAGGCAACATAGGCACATTCGGCGACGATGCCGGTCGCGGTGCAACGGCCACACGGGTGACTTCCATCGCATCTGAGATGTTTGGTACGCTACATACGGCCGAGTTTTGTTAGCACACATGCCACCACTTTTTTAAGAAACAATCTTATAATCTGGAATGACAAACTCACACAAGGGAGACAGGCCGCTGGAACGGAAGGAGGAGGAGCCGATGGCTGCGATGTCGTCGTAGCCACCGACCCGTTCCGGACGGTGCCCGAGGAGGTCGCCGTCCCCGGGCTGTCGCTGGACACCGCGGGCGAGCTGCTACTGGAGGCGCCGTTGCAGTGTGGAGCTTCTGGCGAGAAGGGCTCCATCGTCGGCAATCAGTCTGGCTAAATTCAGAGTAAAATCGGCGATGTTGGGTCGTGCTTGCTGGTACGTCTCGTGCTACTAAAAGGACGAGTCGACGCGATGGGGTGAGAGCCGATGTGACGAGCTGACGAGATCGAACGATGGACGTGTTTTAGTTCGGGTCGGGCGGCAGCAAAATCGAGGGTTAGACCAAGCTCAGGTCAACGATGTACCGGCTGCTAGCTTGGCTGTATATAGGCTGGTTCGGGGTGTCTTGGCTTGATGGGACCATCCGGCGCCCGCGAAATTGGATGATCGATATGGCGTAACGCGGTCTCCTCGAGCACGCCCCGAGGACAGAAACCGGGCAAAGATGTGTTGGAGTTGAAGAAGGTCTTTCCGAGTGGATGCCCCTGGAGGAAGTCGGTTTGTTAGCATCTAGCTGGGTTTACGAGGGTCCCTCGCCGGTTGCGACAACGTGGGTGCGTGGGTATCTCCCGAGGCCTTGTGGTCGGGTCTTGACCTCAATTGGCGTGCTCTGCCCTGTCCCTGCGCGGCGGAACCTCTAAACTCTGTCTGTTCGGGTATCTCCATTTTGTGGGGTAACTGCCTCAACCGCCCCAGGAAAATCCCGCCACAGAAAGGTCCGCCGGCCGAGTAGACACCGACCTACCGCGGAACTAACTATCCGAATACACAGACATAGCCTTCTGTTGGTAAGAATTCGAGGTGGTTCTTACCTTGCTGGCTGCTTGAAAGACTGGAAAATTGTCTCGGAGGACGGATCTCGTGTTTTTTCTTCGATATAATACGGTCCGTGGACTGTAGTACAAGCTCGGAGTTGAGGCTGAGGGGTTGCGTTGTTTCTCTGGGAGGACCCTGGGATTTGCAGGCAGGGGGCTTGAAGATAGAAAGGAGACTAAAAGAATCCAGAGAGGCCTGGCCCCGTGCCCTGTTTATGTTTCCTTGGACAATTGACCGTTGGAAGCCAGTTCAGAGATAAGTTCAGAGAGGAAAAAGAAAGCAATCGGCATGTGCATGCATGCTTCAACCCCCTTTCAACCCATAGTCGAGTAAATGCCAAGTCCGAGATTCTTCAACTTCGAATCACGGCCTCGCCAGGAGCCACGCCGTGGCCGGTGAAATCGACGGCTTGTTGGCCAAAGACAACTAGTGGGAGCTAGTCCGGAGTCTGACTGAGCGAGTTTTCCTATGGCGCCTGCTAACGGTTCGCAACGTTGAGAAAGAGGCGTGCATCGGGTCCTGGGCACCAATGTGCAAAGCAGAACAGTCAACGGTGCATACGCCTCGTTGACCATTTTCTTGTTGTTCTCTTTCTTTTTTCCGGACAACGGCGTCCCCGCGGTGAGGACGAGAGGGCTCAGAGAGGCTCAGAGGGTTGACGAAGATGGGGGTTCAAGCCTACCAACTGAAACTCAACAACTGGGCAGACGCGATTGGCTGAGCAGACCCGCCCTTGCAGGTCAAACAATGGTCTCTACGACGCTGGCGGATGAACAAAATGCAGACTCTCAGGGGGCTCGGTCTTGGCCGGTGATGATTGGGGGGTCCTCGAGGGGGTGTTTCGGAGAGGGTGGAGGGAACAGTCCGGCAACCGGCACGCCTGGCACGCCAGACAAGCACTTTTGGCACTTTTTCGTCGTCGCTGTCCAGTGTTCTGCAAAGATTAGCGAGAAGGATTCGCGATTTCCAGAATCAGGCGTCTCGTGGTGGCCATGACCTGCATCGTTGCATGTGGTTGCAGTTCAAGGGGCCCCCTGGGGCTGCCCACGTTGCAAAACGGCCGGAGGATGTGTCTGCCAGCCTTGGACCGCCATGCCTTTGGGTACCGGTGTGTGGCGGGAGGGGCCGAGCCTAGTGTGGGTGGCTCCGAGGTCTTGGGCGGTTGAGGAGGGAATGTCCCAACTGCTACCACCATCTGCGATTCATGAACGATCATATGGTTGGAAGTTTGATCAAGTGGCATGGCCATGTCATCGAGGGACCGTAACAGTGTAGAGGTACGGTGTCGTCATCGTAGATTGTTGTTTCTCGACAGTGGCCTGAAGTGGTGGCGGGGCGCCCTGGGATGCCAGCCACAACCTGGAAGTTCTTGACTGTTAGTCTAAGTATTCGATACCCGAGTATCTCTAGATTGGAATAAGGGAAGTGGACGACGTAAAGTAGGTATACGTACCTCGGCTGGTGATCTTGGGAAGACTTCTTCGTCAGGTCTTGACGGATGGGAAATGCAAACACCATTCTCGGATTCTCGCAAGACCTCTAGCGGGATGGGCAGTGCCTCCTGGTGGGGTTCAAGGGACGCGGGGACAATGCCACTCAGCTGAAGACCTCGCTGTGGACGTACCACAGGACACTATAGGTAGACGACGGTGAAAAGCCCAATGCCATCATCATCACACCTTTCACCGAGATACGGGTACATATTTTCATGGGAAAGGGTAGGAGATGCGATGGATGAAACAAGCTACCCCAAGAATTTCAAACGGTTTTGGTTCCTGACGCGAGAAGGGGAATGCTAGGTTTGGTAGCTTGAACGCCTAAAACTAAGAACTGGTGGGGTACTGTACCCATTGTATGGTCCCCGTTTGTCATTTCGACAATCTGGTCCCGACGGTGGCGATAATAATGAGTTGACGACGGGATGTCGTCGAGTATTTGGAGTTGTTCAGTTGATTGATGGAGAGGAGAAGAATTTACCAAGAATGGGGATGTGAACTGAAGGCAAGACCTGTCACAGTACACTATCTCGCATCGCTAACATGCACGGCATCTAAGGCATGTTAGGGCATGTTAGCAAAGAATTGCACCTGCCATTTGAAGTCTTCAAACACCCGACCTTCATCTTACACGGAAGGTACGGGAATGGTTTGTCCGTTGCCGGCTCGAAGTTGATGGATGGATGCTCTTTCCCTGCCTGCCTGCTTTTGACTTTCTCTTCACAAAATCGAAATCGTCAAAAGAACAGCTGCGCACGGGCCTTTTTGCGCGTTTCTCATTTTCTTTTGGGCTCGGGCAACTGTGTTGGATTTCTCTCGAAGTTCACTCTTCAACTTCTTGCAGGAGATGTGTGTGCTCACAGACTGGGCAGCTTTCAACCATCGAGTCCCCAATCTCCGCGGCGACAAACACACAGCATAATGTTTTACTCTTCACCTGATTGACGGGTGTTGGAAAGGTCGTGATGAGTTCTGATACCTTGTCTATGCGAATCACCTCGAGGTACTAACTCAAACTCGACGCTCATCATCCTCGTCGTCGCCATCTTGATGACTGAAATGCGGCTTAGCCAGGCAGTCCAAGTCAGTTACCACCATTCTCTCCAGTTCTGGGACGTCATTGCACTTCTGTCTTTGCGCTTCGCCATACGGCATTTCCCTAGCGTGTTTCTTCGCCATCGCGGATCTTGAAACAGTCAGACACCACTATGGATGCTTGTGATTGGAGACAGTTGGCGATGGCTTGGCTATAGTGGGGGGTGTCATTCGCTAGTGGAACATCACGTCTTGGTGGTGCTGCGGCTTGCCTTGGGGCTGAGGGGTTGGCAAATCTCCTTTCAGTTCGGCCATCTTGGTGGTTTTCAATTCGTGGTCATATCTGGAGTTCATCCAATTGCCCTATCACCGAGAGTCTCTGGCCGTTCACCGAGGTCGAGATACGAAAAAGCGGCCATCAACACATATCTCAGGGCGCATTTTCACAAAGACCCTCAACATCTCGCCCATTGATATTATCCCCGTTTGGGCTCCGACAAAACTTCAGCCCATCCATCCAAGAGAGATTCACTCTGGCAAGATGGACCCAGTCTCGGCCGCAGGGCTGGCCATCAGCGTCGCCTCAATAGGATTGCAGGTGTATACTGGATGTGTCCAAGGCATCCAGCTCCTCATCACGGCCTTGAACATGCCAGAGGACTGCAAGTATCTCAACCTGCGCCTACGGATGGAACAACAGAGACTCTTTGCATGGAGCGAAACATCGGGCTTGGTTGACCTTGACGGCAAGAACCAGAAAAGGATCCTCGAGTCCAACACCTTCATCCTCCATCGGCAAACTGTCCTTGACCTGCTGGTCCAAGTCGAGTGCCTGTTCAAGGAGTTCAAACAACACCAAAAGAAGAACAAGTGTCTCCAGGTTGCTTCTGACCCCGACAATGTTCTATTGAACCCCGAACGTGATGCCGCCGAGGCAAACTTTCCCTTGCCTGAACGAAGGAGGAACTTCATCAAGAAAGCCATGGCAAGCCTCCGTGACACTTCCAAAGAGGTGACAACGAGGCTAAAGTGGGTAAGCTTCGACAAAGCAGCCTTTGAGCTGTTACTCTCGCGCTTTTCCGCCTTGAACGACAACATGACCAACATACTCGACGCTCGCATGCAAGTCGAGATCCATCATACCGTGCAGGACACCAATAGAGGGGTCCTCCAGCTGCACCATAAGATCGCCGATCTCTCAAGGCTCGTCATGGCACTAAACATCAAACTCGAAGCCAATTCTCCTACCACTCCCATCTCGCAAATGTCGGCAGAGCAAAGGCGAGCCAATGCTCAGGGGCTGCAGCTGCTTTCCCAGCTAGCCAAGTTCAAGGCCTTCAATGAGTCTATCGAGCCTGAAAAGAAGTCAACCCCCACTCCCTGGGATGAAGCGACGGCCATGTTCCTTGAACTGGGCAAGCCAAACAAACAAAAAGATCTCTTTCTTGACCGCTCCATGATACGGCTCGATCCCGATAACGAAGACTCGGACTTGCCAAGATGTGAAGCGACTCTCCAACTGCCAGGCGGTGCCCAGAAGAAGGTCTGGATAGAGTGGAAGGATTATGATCGTCAAAGACCACATGATCTTTCACCGCCCAAAAAAGTCATTTTCGAACGAGTCAGGAAGCTGGCGGCGCTTCTTAACCACACACCCAAGCCAGAAGAGTTCCGAACCCCCCACTGTCTCGGCTTCTTTGACAAAGCGGCTGGCATCAACGGTGCGGAAGATGATGATGATATTCGCAACATGAGATTGGGTCTGGTATTCGAGAGGCCACAAGAAGACGACCTACATACATCTCTGCCACCAGTCTCGCTTCATGATCTGCTCGAGACAAATCGCAAGCCTCGCGTTACGGATCGAATTAGGCTTGCCCATGCGATCAGTAACTGTCTTTTCTACCTTCACGCAGTCAACTGGCTGCACAAGGGACTTCGAAGCCACAATATCATCTTCTTCCGAACCAGCAGCGGTCATGTCGACTATTCCAAACCATTCCTCTCTGGTTTTGACTTTTCGAGGCCCGCTCGTGCTGACGAGGAGACGGATATCCCAGATGATGCCGAGCACAACCTATATCGACACCCTCTCGCCCAATCGACAGATCCAGAAGACCGCGAACGGTTCAAAAGAAGCTTCGACATCTACAGCTTGGGGGTTGTTCTTGTCGAAATAGCTCACTGGGCAACCATCGACAAGGTCCTTGGCATCAATATCAACGAGGCCAGGGTAAGACCCTCGATTGCACTAAAGGTGCGTGATAATCTGCTTGCTGAAGATAGCATTGCCGAGCTTGGGGCTACCATGGGAGAGATATATGAGCGTGCTGCTCGTAAGTGCATTGCTGGTGGCCAGGAGCTGGGTCTGTCAGAAGGCGATGAAGAAACCAACGACGCAGTCGCTGCCCGACTCTCGATGGTGCTCCACGAAGATGTCGTCAAGCGACTAGGCGATATCCATGTGTAAAAAAAAGGTTCAAATAAGCGTGCGGGCCACGCGAATAAAAGTTACAAGTCTTTATGCACCAACCTTTTGGGCAAAACACCGAAACAAAGAGTTCCAAAACAAATGCGCGACAATTTGCACAGTGGCCATCGGCACTTTTATACTCGCAGAGGGAGATCTCGATACTAAGCCACGAATGCCGATTGTCCAATAGGCGACCTAGAAATACTTCGGCATTTGGGTTCCTAGCGTCCCAAGAAGTATGTCGGTGGCGTCGAACACCTGGAGAACTTTAAGCAGACGATGATGGTTCAACGCGCACTCCACAAACCACAAACCACAGAATCCGCAAAAGCTGGACCTAGAAACATGAACGAATGGAAACTCGGCCCGTACGTGCGTAAACGGGTCTTTCACGTGGAAATTTGACACTGCAGGGGGCTCAAACGTGAAAGCGAGAAATGCATCCTCGTCCTTCTCCCGCCAAGACAACGCCGGAGAGTTGGACTGTAACGTGAACCCATGCCGTTGGGTCGGGGTAGATTAACCGTTGGTTGCTTTTCCCTCCAGATCCTTTCATGCAGGAAATCCCATGTAGGATTCGAGGATTCAACATCCACAAGTCCCGAGCTCTATCACCCATCCTTTTCGGGTCCCAGACGGCACACGGCATACATCGACAGACCATCACGTTCAAGCGGCTCGGGTTTAACAGAGATAAATACGCAACAAATCAGCAACAACCAAGTCGGGGTGATGGGATCCCAGAGAAGGGTGACTGCTTGTGACAGTCGTTATGAGTGGGTCATGTAACATGCTCATGTACAACACGCGTGACGTTTACCATCACGAAAATTGGACGGGGATTCGAATGGTGGCCAAGAGGGACCGGAGACATGGTGCCATTATGCTGCTACACGTGCCAATCGACCGGACAATGGAATAGATGAAGTCAAAAAAGCCCCAAATCAAGGGTCACGGAACCCCGCTCTGGGTTAGGTGCTCCCCCCATCGAGATACTTGTAAGCAAGTTGTCGGTATTCTCTCGCCAGGGACAAGGGTCATCTCCTGGTAACCGGCCAAGCTGATGCAACAACGTCCCGTTCGTGTACCGCAAGCGAGCGCAGAAAGGAAAGACACGGCTTATTCAGGTCCGTTATCCTGGGAATGGGTTGGTTGGGGTCCCCATGTGTTTCCCAACCGACTGGTTTTTCCCTCTCGTCTCGAGTTGAGGATGGCCCTTTCTGCTTGTTCCAAAAATTCCGAACCTACATCACGCCTACATCATACATAGCCGTCGTGTAGCAGTTGACAGACATCGCTATACGCACCGACACTCGACAATGGCTTTACTCGGTGCTCTCCAGGCGAGTGACTCGGTCATTAAACTGACTTTGTTTCTGGTATGTTGTCTTACCTTTATTCTCTTGGATGTGCCGACCTTCGGGTACTAGATCCATCAACTCTTGTCCCCACGAGCAACGGTTTAAATTTGGAACCATCTCAACGGTGGATCGCTGTTACGCAGAATAGTGGCAGCTAGCTCTTTTCGTTGTGATGGACTGGGGAACTTCATCTTGCCATCTATCTAACCGGACTCTAGGCTATTTCGACCTCCCTTGCCTTCGTGATACAACGGATATTTTTCCATTCGCTGTCCAGCTTCCCGGGACCATGGATCAACGCGATATCTCCCCTGCCCGAGGTGCTTGCCATCGTGGCAGGAAGACAACATGCCTACCATAGGAGGTTACACGAAAAATATGGTTCGTTCGATGTCTCATCTATCGCTGAAAATTCTTCCTGTCCTGCAATGACCATTCCCGCCACTCAATGCCCCTTCAATCCAAAGATGACGATCACTCTTGAGGAACCCTCTAATTGACCATAACTACACACAGGTTCTGTGGTTCGCGTATCTCCCAATGAACTCATCTTCTGCGGCGCCGATGCCTGGGATGATATCTACGGCAACAAGGTGAGTGGCTAGACACCCAAGATCAGCCAAACTACCAACATACTCACCTTATCCCAGCCCGGAAAGCCAGACATGGAGAAATCCCCTCTCCAAGCTGGCGGTCTTCCCCAACACATCCCCGCCCGAGCCCTCACTCTCGCGCCATGGAATGACCATGTCCGCCAGCGAAAAGCCTGGGCCTACGGCTTCAGCAACACTGCCCTCCTCGGTCAAGAGCCCTTGATCCAAACGCACATCGACAAGCTGATCACCTCCCTGCATCGCTTAGCCGGCAAAGCCGGCGAGGTCAAGGCTGTCGATATGGCTGCATGGCTCACCTATACCACCTTCGACATCATCGGTGAGCTCTGCTTTGCCGAACCTTTTGGGTGCCTCGACAGCGGCGAGGCGGGCGAGTGGTCAACCAGCATCGTCAACATCGCCAACGCGGGCATGTACGACCAAGCCATGCGTCGACTTACGGGAGTCGGGACGTGGTTGACGGCGATCTTGGCCAAGAACCTGACGCCGAAGAAGTATACGGCGTGGAGAGAGGCGCATTTCCTAAAGGCGAGAGAGAAGACGATGCGCAGGCTGGCGGATAAGGATCGTGAGCATAAGGACTTCATCTACTATGTGTTGAGGAACAACGAGGCGAAGGCGCTGTTGAGCGAGTTGGAGATTGTGATGAACACGGCTTTGTTTACGTGAGTCTTCCTGCCCCTGAACTGGACGGCGGGTCAGGCGCTAACAACACCAAACACACAGTGCGGCAGGAAGCGATACCACGGCTACCATGCTAGCTGCTTGGACGAACTTGATGTTACGGAACCGAGACAAGTATAAGAAACTCGTTGACGAAGTACGCGGTACTTTCAAGTCTGCGAGTGAGATCAGCTGGGCCACTGTCAAAGATCTACTGTATTTGAATGCCGTCAACCAAGAAGTCCTGAGAATTTGCGCCCCCGTGCCGACCAACCTTTGCCGTGTCGTCCCTCCTGGTGGTGCCGTTATTGACGGACGCCCAGTTCCCGGTGGAGTAAGTCTTCTTTCCTTTCCTCCTCTCTCCTTTGCCCCCTATCACCAACTAACACCCCCCAAGACAACAGTCTCCCTCTCCCCCTGGGCCGCCACCCACCTCCCGCTCAACTTCTCTCGACCCCTCGACTTTCTTCCTGAGCGCTGGCTTTTCTACTCCTCCAACACTTCCAACTCTCCCAACTCTTCCCATCTCTACTCTTCCAAACCCTCTCTCCCCAGACCCAACCAATCCGAATTCACAACCGACAAACCCCACGCCTCCCAACCCTTCAGCCACGGCCCGCGCGGCTGCATCGGCAAGAACCTGACCAACATCGAGCAGCGACTAATCATGGCTCATTTGGTCTGGCACTTTGATTTGGAAATTCCCGAGGGGGAAACCGAGCAAAAAGAAAATGAGAAGTGGGATTCGAAGGGTGATATGGAGGGGTTGAAGGCTTGGTTGGTTTGGCAGAAGCCTGCGCTGTGGGTGAGGTTGAGGGTTGTGGACCGCGAGAGGGAGAATTGGACGGCTAGGGATCGGTTTGTGGTTGAGGGGGTGGTTAATGGGGAGTACTAGGACTTAGGGGGGACTGTGATGGGTTGGAAAAAAGAGGGATTTGGGTTGCAAAAAGTTGTTCTGTTCTGTTTTGGGTTGTCTTCTGTTCTTTGCTTGGCCTGAGTGGGAAGCACTCTCTTGGTTGTTATCGGGTTGGATGCTTACATGACGTTCATCGAGTTCTTTTCTTTTCTTCTTCTCCTTCTTCTCCTTCCTTCTTACTCTTTGGGGTCTTCTGAAGTTCCCGATCTGTTCCCTCCCTCCATTCTTCATCATATTTCTCCCTCTTTCGTCTTCGAGGGCCTCTTTTTGTTTATTCTTCACGACATGATAGCTATGAATGCTCTGCGAAAAGGCGCTGACGCTAACGAATATGTTGTTTCTGTTGTCATCTTTCTCATCTAAAAGCATCGTTTGTATCGATACCATACCTACTAAGCTACTCCTTGTTCATCATTCAGTTCCCCTTTTCAAAATAGAGTCCCTCACAGTAAATGAATCAGTCCTTACCCAATCCTTTGGAATCAGCGCCAAGCCAAGCACCCAGGGCGCCCCAAACGACGCTGAGTAACCCATGGTCCCATCCATTTGACAAAGCTTCCGACTTACATAGCTCCTTACCCAATCGGGTAGTCACAGCGACCTCCTTCTTCCTACTGGCAACCTGACGTTGCTTGGGAATCTGTTATCCAATGTTTAGACATCGCTTAAAGATCCCGTTCCATGAGCTTGAAGGAGTGAATGTTGAACACGAGAGTGGACTGGAATTTCATCGCGCTTTGACAGGCGGGTTATGTAAGTTGCTGAGTAAAGATGAGGGGAATGCTTGACAAGTTGAGTGGGCATCTGTTGTGATCCCCCATGAATTTGGGAATGGGAAAGGGAAAGCGGCGAATGGATCGTGTGTGTCACCCAGATTCTTAGCTGGAGATGGGGTTCTTGAGGATGTATAAGAAGGGGAGGGAGGCATGGTCTCGAGGAATGATACCGGAATGAGCAGTAGCAGCAACAGCAGCATCACTTTCACCAGGTTCTTCTCATCTCAACTTCCATCGCAGATACTGGAACGACATCTATCGACCAACATGAAGTTCAACGTCGCAACTCTCCTCTCCGCTGCCTCTCTCTTGGCCGGAAGTGCCATGGCCGACAGTGAGCTAGCTCCCAAGATATATTATATTACCTTCCAAGTGATATCGAAGACACTAACCGTGCCTACCTAGGCTACCCATGGGAGCGACTTGAAAAGGACAACTCCGTCCTTGTCATTCTCGACCTCCAAGAGGGTCTCTACCAACTCGCTCGCGACTGGGGTACTTACTGTCTCCTTCTCCTGTTTTCCTTCCCCTTCCCTCTCCCTCTCCCTCTCCAACAACCAAACAACCAACAACCACTAACACCCCCATCACGATCACCCAACAGACGCAACCCTCTACAAACAAAGCATGATGGCTCACGCCTCCCTCGCCACCGTCTTCGACATCCCCGTCATCATGTCCACATCCGCCGAGACTGGTAAGTCTCTCTCTCTATACCCTGTCCCCCCCCCCCCCCTCTTTTCTCCTCGCCTCCTCGCCTCCTCGCCTCCTCCTTCCCCCTTCCTCCCCCATCCATCCCTATGCTAACAATACCCTCAACCACAACAGGTCCCAACGGCCCCCTCCCCCACGAAATCCTCACCCTCTACCCACCCACCACCCCCCTCATCAAACGCCAAGGCGAAGTAAACGCCTGGGACAACCCATCCTTCGCATCCGCCATCCGCGCCACCAACCGCACGCAAATCATCCTCGCCGGCATCGTCACCGATGTCTGCACGGCTTTCTTAGCCCGCTCCTTGCGCGCCGAGGGCTACTCGGTGTGGGCGAACCTGGAAGCTTCCGGGACGACGACCAAAGAAATCCGGGAGATCACCAATGATGCATTGATCAGGAGTGGAGTGAATGTGGTCAGTTTGTTTGCGATTGTGTGTGATTTGATGCGGGATTGGAGGAATACACCCGGGGCGAAAGAGTTGATTCCTTGGTTGGATCGCTATCTGCCGGCGTATGGGATGGTGGCGAGGGCGCATAAGGCGGCGGTGGAGGGGGGGGAGGTGCAGCCCGGGGAGGATTTTTTGGATGAGTAAGGTAGGTAAGGGGGAGGTGGGTGGGTGGAGGATGAAGGGGGCAGGAGAGGAAGGAAGGGAAGGTGGGCGGTGGGGAGGTGGAGAACGAGAGAGGAAGAAGGAAGGGAGGAACAGGTTGTGACGGGAGTTATGGGGCTGGAAGTTGCGATGTTGAGGTTTGGAAATAGGCTGGGGAAGAAGGTGCAAGGACATGTGGAGGGAAGGAAGGTGCAATTTTGGAGTGCTTGCTGTATGTGAAACTGAAACGATAGAGCATTCCAGAATCAAAATCACAAATAGCTTCTCTTTCGCAACTTCCAGACTTGCATTTCCGATCACCGTATCGATCGTGGCATGAGCAAGGAGAAGAAGAGCCCTGATGAAGGTGCGAAGGACACCATCTCGAGATTCCATGCTCCCGGACAGAGTGTCAACTTTTCACAGAAAGAAAGAAAAAAAGGGAGTGACAGCTGGCAATGGACGTGCACAATGACTGAACCCTGTACTGGATACCTATATGAACAAGGTTTTTTTTCTGCTACTGTACGCTATATGTGTGCTCTTTAATTTATGTGTCTCTATACCGTAGACATCACACATAAATTAAAGGGACCTTGTGAATGTAGGTATGAACCATTGAACTACCAAAGACGATACGATATGCACTGAGCCGCCGCCATGTTATATGCTTGAGTGAAGAGAAAATCAAATCCGTTTACTCCGTTTCATACAGTTTCATCCCAATCATAACATGACATGACATCGTAACATCATAAACCAGAACCAGGAAATACAAGTAACCTGCTCGCTTCCTTTTTATGAACCCGCTTAAAAGAGACGTCCAACGCCGCCAACTGAGATAGCCGAAGAGAGAAATACCAATTCGCAAAACAAACCCAAGCTAAGAGCTCATAGAGCCTTCTATCTAAATCCCAAAATGCCTGCCTAGGTATCAAAAAAGAGTCAAAAGAAATTTGTCCAACAAGAAGAGAAGAGTCGTAAGTCGTTAAGAACCCCGTTCCCAAGAAGAAGAAAAGCGCCCTTGTACAAAAACAACCAGAGAAAACAAAACCGGTATATCCGCCCATTCCATCCTCAGTATATGATACTGTTGATCTCATATCAGCCCCAAAACTTTTCAAACTCAAAAACTTTTCTTTCCAGAAGTCCTAACCATTTGCTTTTCCCGCCTAGTTCCCATTTTTCCTTCCCTTTGTACATTCAGCCACTGTCAACAAGTAACTTCTTTCATCCCCTAATCCAGTGGTTTTCAACTTCCTCAACTTCGTTTGCGGGATAGTCCTGAAGGTGACGCATCAGCGCCCCTGACAGTCCATTCCATGACCTCTGGTCCGGCATCAATGCGCTAGAGTCTCAAGTAGGTCCATGGAGCCCATCAGACCTTGGTCCGGATCATCCTCACTCCCGGCACAACAATGGCTCATGGGTCGGCCTCGACTCGGCGCGGCGAGGTGGCTAGCCCGTCACAGCTTTGTGGCCAGGAGTGGTCCAGTACCGTCCTTTGTTTGACGTTGACTGGTTCAAGTGACCTAGCACTTGAAGAGATCGTGGACTCAAAGTCCAGGAGGCTATCTCCAGGAAGTCGGTTGGTAGTCGTCATTCCAAACCAATGTCTAATCATCCAGTCAGTAAAGTCTGTCATGTTTGAGGTGAAGATGGTGAACTTACCAGAATATTTACATCTTCCAGCTGCGGGGCTGAACACCGTTGGAAAGGGCTTGGTGAAGCTTGCCCATGGCGGCCAAGTGCTCCTGAGCATCCTTGATGTATTGGAGGCTCTGAGGGTCCTCAGGCTGAAGGTATTCCTGGAAGATGCTCTGGAGAGCCTTCTGGTGCTCGCTCCACTGAGCACGGTGGACATCGGCCTGGGCCTCAGCCTTGCTAATCTTGTTGGCCGACTTGCGAGAGCTGGTCTTCTCCTGGGCTTCCTGCTTATCGCCCTCGCTCTTTCTCTTGCGGCCCCGGGAGGAAGTACTGGCTCCCGACGGGGGAGGAGAAGAAGCAGCGTGGGCAGTAGAGCCGTTGTCGTTGTGCACACGCCTCATGTGATCCCTCAAGTTCCATTGGCGGGGGAAGCCATGTCCGGGAAGCGAGCGTTCACATCCCTCATAAGTGCAGAGATAGGGCTTCTCTCCATGTCCATGCATGGCGTGGGCCTCACGCTCATGACGAAGAAGGCAAGCAGTAGAAGAGAAACGGGCGTTCTGGCACCCTTCAACCTTGCAGCGGTAGGGCTTGAGGTGAGAGTCAACGAACTTGCTGTATTGGTGGATAGTGGTTAGTCAAGTGGCTCGTAGGGAAAGCAGAAAAACAAAAGTATCTTACTCATAGTTGCACTTGAGCTTCTCGGGCTTGTGGTTGCAGTTGGTCTCACCCTCCCATGGGCAGTGGAAAAGACCGTCGGCTTGCGGAAGAGCGTTCTTGTAGAGATAGTGATCCCTGGCAGACTCACCATCACCGCTCATACGGCGAGCGCCGAAAGCAGGAGGAAGAGAAAAGGCATCTTCAATAGCAGGAATCACATTTCCATGGATATCCTCAGTAACATATTGCGAACCATTGCGGCTCATCCTGATGTTCCCATAATCGTAAGAGAGTGTCCCGGAAGAAGGCAAAACTTCGGTAGCAACATACCTGGGCGATTGGCCGGGAAGAACGGGAGAGATGGAGCTCGTGCTCTCCTCAGGGGAAGACACAGAAGGAACACCAGAGAAGACATCCCCCTCGAAGAAACCGGGAGAAGACATGCGCGAAGAGCCAATAGGGCTAGGAGAGCCCCAAGACTGAGGAGAGCTGCCAATCATGCCGGCAGTGAAGATCTGGGGGTTCACATGCTGGTTCATAGCAGAAGCTCCCATCTCGGTGGAGAAGGGAAGACCATCCGGCATGTTCATAATGCTGGTGTAAAATGCCGGGTGTCCATTGAATGATTCAAAATCCGGAGTAGAGAACTGGGGCACATCCATGATGCGGCCGTTTGTCAATGAAGCATCCTGATAACTGGAGCCATTGCCAGAGACATCAAGCTTGGACAATGCCGAGGAGGTAGAGATGAGATGAACCGACGGAACTCTCGACCTTCCTACCCTCTTGGTTGGGGGTGTCGACTTGGTGATCCTTTGCTTGTGGCTGCTAGTAGAGCTCTGGGAAGTCATGCGGCGCATGGGTTCCGCCTTTGGAACCTTGTCAACCGCGGCAGCAGCAGCATTCCACCTGGCTTGATAGTCCTCCATGGTCTCCGTTTGATCCGGCCTTGGTGTGTTCTGGCTGAAAGGAATAAAGCAGTCCTCGGCATCTCCAGTGGTATAGTAGTCTCCGGCAACAGTGAATTCGGAAAAGTTCTGTGGGCCTTCCGTTGTCGCATCCCAAGACGAACCGTTCAGGTCCGCTGGTCCTGTTTGACAGAAAGAAAACATCCCAGTAGCGGAGGGAAGCATGTTGGTTTGGGAAAAGCTGTAATCGCTGGGGAAGGGTTAGTATGCTATCAAATCAGATCCGGTTGTTGAAGTTGCGAAATAAGAAAGACCAAAGAAAAGCCGGAGTCCAGATGTCACAACTTTGTTCCTGCACATCGTTTCATGTTAGTTCTTGTGTTGCGGGTGAAGGGAGTGAGCATGAATACGGACCAACTGGGCTGCCAAAGCAGAGTATTTTTGGCGAATACGCCATCCAGATCCATGGAGTAGTTTGAACAGAAAAAGAAAACAGAAAATATCCAGGCAAATCCAGACAGTCCATATTGGTGACCAGGTCCGTAATGGCAAGACAAAAGAAACAAATCCGGCGTCAAAAACCATGGGTCGAAATGTCCAGAGGAAGTGAAAGTCCAAGGCATCACCGTCACACGCCTCTGTCTGATACAATAACATCAGGAACTGAGAACATGTTCGGATGTTGTCGAAGAGTCCAGGGGCCTTTGTTTGTCGAGAATCAAAAACCCAGGCATGCTGACGGATGATCCACAAAAGTCCTCGTTAAATCCAGGCGAGTGAGAAGAGAGAAATGGCGTCCGACTTTTCTGATGCTGGGCGAGTGACCGAGGGCGATTGATGCGACATCTCTCTAGCACCTCAAATCCCATTGCGAATAACTGCAAGGGACAGGGAACAGAGATGAGGACGCTGCATGGAAAAGCAGAAAAATGGAGAAATCCTGGCGTACAAGTGGTGTCCTTTTGGGTATCCTCGATTGTGACCGGTGTTTTGGCGTCTCCTCGATCCTTTGAACAGAAAAAAGCAAAATTCCGAACGGAAAATCCACGGCTGTTTGTCCGGCAAGGTGAAGTGGTCCACGGCGATAAATGGCGATTTTCCTTGTCCGGCAAAAATGTGAGATGATTGAATCGTCCGTTTGTCCGATACTCACCACAAGATGCTCCGAAGAGACATGCGAATGATATAACAGGAGAACACGCATGCATGAAAGCAGCAGTTCGTGAGACTCAATGAAGAGTCGCAAGTCCTTTGGTGGTTCAGTCCATGGCGTTTGAAAGTGAGATCCGGCAGTGTCTCGTCCGATGTGTGTCCTGTGATCCTCTGGGTCATATCCATGAAAACGGCTTCCATAGGCAATTCAGTAGTCCTCAAAACGGATATTTGTCAAGTCTCCTTTGGCCGAAGACGCCTCAAGCGCAGCCTGACTGAGGCGTTGCTATGGCGAAGTTGTTGTTGTCGAGATGGTAAACACACCGAACGCCTGAACAAAAGAAATAGACAAGACTTGACACGCAACATGAAGACGCAGAAGAAACGCAAAAAAAAACACAATGGGCCTCCCAGGTAGAAGATAAGAAAGCAGCGCAAAATACCTCGAGGGGGTGTGAACCTCATCCAGCTCAACGTGGGTGTTGTAGCCAGACATTGTGTTATCAGAAGTCCGTGGCACAACAATGGCAGTCATTCCTCGGGCTGTGTGTCCTGTGTCCAGTGGTGGCAATCTCTCCGGCAAGCACTCTGAGCAAATAACACTCGGAGCAGAGAGCAGAGAGTAGAGAAGAGTCCTGTGGGCTGAAAGTCCTTATGGCTTGAATTGAGAGTGAAGAGAGAAAAAGTCCTTTGGGCTCGAATGTGTGTCGTGAGACTCAACCTAGGGCTGTCGTGAAACACCTGGGCAGAGCGGGAAAGAAATCCTTTGATCCTGTGTGGGTTGTAGATCTGTTGATCTCCAGCTTTCTCTTTTGGAGTGGAACACCAGAACAGAAAGAGAAGGGACGCAAGATGACGAGATGAGGGGGAGGCAAGAGCTTGTAAAGAAGCTGAGGAAGGAACCGAAGAAGCGTCGAGAAGGGTTGGATCCGGATTTGGTGTGAGTGGTTCCTGTGGTTGTGTGTGCGTGTGGTCCAGGGCTGAGTCCAGTGAGGGCGTAGAGCAGCGGCGCTTGGTGGTTGGCTGAAGAGGGTCGTTGGGCACAAATCCAAGACGGGTTGGGCTTCGAAGAAAGTGCGGTGAGGAAATTTGGTCGAGGAAAGAGCAGCTGTTGGGCAGACGAGGGGGAAAAAGTCCGGTTTTAATGTCGAGCAGAACCGTCGCTCCTTCCCCTCGTTGCTCTTGATTTTCTCTCTTTTCTTGCGACCACCAGTGAGAAACCGAATCATTCCGTGCAGCCTTCCTTCCTCGTCGCAATCCCTCGGTCCTCTCAACCCCGGTCCCTTCACACCCTCACACCCCCCCTGGTTGCGAGCAGAGTGGTCGTCCAACTCATTCGACATCGCTTGCAGGGGAGCATCCATGGAATTGCACCCTTGACACCGGTGCAGAACATTGCATACCCCACTTTTCCCGCTCTGCCTCTGCCTGCTGTTGCTGTTGCTGCCGTCGTTTCGTCTTTCCATTTGCTTGTGAAATGCATCCAAAACACACCAAATCTCAACTCCAAACCAAATTCTCACCACTTTCCCACAGCCGCGCGGGCAAACTTCCCCCTCTTTTCCCAACCTCGCACCTCCTCCGCAATTTAATCGCACTTCTGCACCCGGCAGACTTGTCACATTCATTCTCGCAAAAATCATGATGTGAAAAAGCTGAGCTGGCACCACATCCTGCTGCACGTGCAATAGGCCCGCGGCTGACGAGGCCCGGCGTGATGGTCATGGTCCGGCGTCTGACTGGCCTGTTATCCTGTTTTCCGGCAATGCGACAAGCGAGGGAAGAGAAACATGGAGGGGGTATCAGGGTCTGCCAGCGGGGCTAAGGATGCCTCCCCGGCCTATCATGCCCGGTGACGATGGTTAGCCTGCAACCGGGGCCGGCTCTGAGACCGCATTGGCTGCCCTCGCCCGGCGTTGGATGGAATTGGCTGCAGCACATGGCTTGCCAACACATCAATGCAGATATCCCCCGGTCCCAGAGGCACCCCCCAGCCCACTTGTTTTCACTGAAAGGAGGGGTCTGACTCCGGGGTGTCAGGGTGTGTCTTGCGCGAATTGCGAATTATCGCTCCCACAACACCACCGCCGCCGTCATCAACATCAATATCACACACGCCCTTGGCGGTGATAAGATAACAGGGTGATGAGACAAAGGGAAATTGAGGCTGATGAGACTGATAGGGGGTGATTTGGCGGGAGATGATGATGCAACGAGAATACGAACAAGAAATATCCAGAGAAGCCGGCTATACCGATGAAAAGACACACCGGGCCTGCCAATATCAGCATCCCGGACAATTGCGATCTTCAACCGTCCGTGAGCCGGGTAATCTCATACTCAGCAGAGACAGACTCGAAACTTCGAAAGCCGTCTCTCCGTCTCTGCTCATCAATCTGCAATCTGGAATCTGGAATCTGATCAAAATCTGGATGATATGGAGCCAAAAATGCGAAAAATGTTTCAAAGGTTTCGGCATCTAACGCATGCGCCGCTGCAATGGTAGCCGCGCTGCACTGACAACGCGCAAATCCAAACCGACCCCCGCCTTGGATGGTGGTCTGCTCGGGATGCCTGCAGAAAATGGAAGACTGCCTCGTTGACAACTCATCAAGAGGCTTGGATCTGAGGAGACGAGCAGCCTCTTCGCAACTGGTCTCACCAAGTGCGTGCTCACCCAATCGCCAACCCGCATATCGTCAAGACCGAATGAGAGGCTCTCTCCCAGCCATTGTTGTCCCGGCGCTGCTTCCACAAGCCGTCTTTGCGACCTGAGTGGACAGCCATGCACCACTGAAGAAAGAGATGGCTTCCGTCATGATCCAGTCTCGAGGGCCGGATTGACAAACAGAAATGACAGCGGCACAAGATGGTCTGATGGTTACTGCTGACTATCGGCCTGCCGTGTCTGCTGCAAAGAGGCCGTCTGTCTGTTGATGGTTGTGTCCATGTCTGGTTGTCCGCCCGTCTGGATGGATGGGACTGCTTGCGACGACTTCCTGGCGGATGAAGCGGATAATCCAAATCTGCCTGCTGCTGTCGACGACGCACGATGCTTATCGATAGGTTATCGACGTGTGTGCGGCTTCGCGATACCTAGATGGGCGCAGAGGATGCGATGGTTTTGTCCGATATTCGACGACTTGTCGTTCTGACATGCATTGAGCCGCTTCCTGCATTGCCAGCGTGTAATGGAACCGCCTCATTTTTTGAAAGAATTTTTTTCAAAGCCGCATCGACACGATGCTACCCTCCACAGTCTCCACGATGTCCGTCACTGGCATGACCCTCGGCATGGATTTTGCCGACAGCCTCAAACCGCAACATCTGAGTGGCATATCTTAATTGCATCTGCACTCAATGTTTACCAATGTCTGCCAATGTCTGCCTCACGAGATAAGCTGGTTGGGCTTCACTTACCTGACCTCAATGGCGATGCGACAAAGGAGGCAATATAATGGTTCCGAATGCCATGGTGCCATTGACCATGACAGCGCCGATTTGCTCTTCGTCGTCGTTCTTTATGCACTCAACGGCTCATAAAGTTGATATGTCGCCAGCATCATGATTTCCATGCGCAAAGGCACCAATGCGTCCGATATCGTGGGTCATCTTGCAGGAGGGTCCAAAGAGGGTCCAAGGGAGGTCCAGTCATCGCCGTCGTCGTCCGGTCAAATCTCGCTGTCTCCCCAGAAGAATCTTCCAGCCAGGTTCCGTCTCGAGTCCTCGACCCAAACCGCCCTCTCCATCTCCTGTTCCAACGCCCCAATCGCATAATGGCCTTTTTCCATGTCCTTCCCTCACGCCCCATTGACTGCGCTCATCAGCTTTGTTGATATGGCGATCACCACCGCCGTCGCATTGCCATCGTTCAATTTTCGCCCCTTCATGTTGTCCAAGTGCGCCGACCGGCATGTGTCGAACCATTGCTCAAGTGGGACATGCCGAGGATGGACTCCGTCTTCTCCGATTGTGGTGAGCCGTGAACGGCAAGATCAGTCGTTGGTCTGGCCAGACCCTCGAATCGTGCAGATGCCGGTGGAACAACTTCGGCATCACCATATCGCTCCTCTCTTCGTGATAGGGATCAATTTGGGCCGGATCATCGTCGATAAGACCGGCGCATTACTCCAAGCTGTCCTTCGCGCCGTGTGTAGCCATGTCCGCAAGGCGACATTGTCGAAGAGGACGCGTCGAGTCGGTGGATTGTTGACGTGCCTGTGCAATGCAGCCATCGTAGCAAAAGTTGGTGATCGATTCCCTATTCACTCGCTCACCAGCCAAGCCCTTTGCACTCTCCCTTACCCAGTCCAATTGCGGTCCCCTTGCGCTCTCCTCGTCGCGTGAATCCAACACATTCCGATCCGATCATCAAGTCCAACGGCGGTTTCGTAGTATGGATCGTTTTGGAAGGCGTAACACATCGTGTGTAACCGGGCCACAATCGGAAGTGGTTGAAAAGGTGGGCATACCGATGAATGTCTCCGAGTGAACACCGGCATCAAGAACTCGGACACATTCGTAGGTGACTTGTTGAGACCTGAGGATGCGTCCAAATGTATCGAATTTTGCAGACGCAATTGATGGAGGATGTTGAAATCGTGAACCGAATGCCGGACGACAAAAGATGACGGAGGTGGCGAAATCGAGTGTTCGGTCAACAAACTGCTGGGCTGTTAGTGCACTGCCAAGTTGTTGTCGCGACCGTCACAAACTTCTTCGCCGAGCTTCCTTGATTCCAATTGCGCCCCGTTAACATCATTCCAATACCATGATGGGATGCTTCCTCAAGGGATGTCGAACGGTTAAGACACAATCGTTGGTCTTCAACCACAAGAGGCTGAGGCCATGACATCCTGCTTTGTTAGTGGCTTGATCATTCACGGCTGCGTTTGCCATGGGAAGAAATCGCACGCAAGCCCCATACAAACAATCACCGCCATGCAAAAGCCATGCCACTGTATTTTCATGGCCATGAGGCAGAGCAGATCAGAACCCCCCAGCGCAAGCCTCTAGCAAGACCTGTCCGCTGTCGGATTTTACCCTGCGCAGATTTCATGCCCTGCCACACTCCGCGAAAAAACTTCCAGCCATTCCTTGGTCCCTACCACTGAGTGAGGGGCCTGCGTCCGGTCATCGGTCTCGATGGTGGCTTGACTGAGTGCCACAACATGTCGTCGATCTCGGGATTGGTCCATATCTCACACAACACAACAACGTGGTATGCTGTAACACCTAGAACCCCTCCTCGGACAGCTCCTGGACATACAAAGCACCCCGCCAGGCCTCATCTGGAACTTGATCTCATAAGGATCCAGAGATGCCAAGCCAACTGATATGGTGGGTAGGGTAAACGAAACCTGCGGTGGCACGCTGTCGAGTGGGCATCGGTCGGACGATAGTGTCATCAGGGTCTACTGCCTCCAGATGTATGTAAGTGAGTCTCAGAAAGATATCGGTATCAGATGAGGTTCCAGGGGATGGCGCAAAGCTCCAGATCGGTACTACCGCAGATTTCGACCGGGGCAGACTTTCACCCCGAGGCTGCCTCGGCCATCGGCCAGAGGTAAGGCCCATCTGAAGTTCCAACTTGGAACAACATCAACACCAACACCATCCATCCGGGGAAACATGAACCATCAAGGTGCTCCAAGGGCTGCTATGTCTTGTCGAGAGACGTAGGCTGCTGGTGGTCCAGCACAGCTACGCCGAGTATTTCTCTTTACAGTCCTTCATGAATGGTTGTGGGCCGATGCATCTTCTCGATGGTCACTCACCTGACGAAACGTAATGATATAATACCTGCCTCCGGAGATGACACGGAGGTAACCGGCTGAAGGCCTGTCCGGGGCTGGGTCCGGGGCCGGTTGTCTGGGTAAGGTGTGTTGTGTTGTTGGGAAATCCCCACTCCGGGCTGAGGCTTCGGGAAAACGGGCGGCTCATTCGGACCGAGACAAGAAGGGAAAACGAAAAGGGCAAGAACATGGCCGGCATCCAAATCCGCGACGGGACGGTCGCAAAAGAAACGGGCATCCAACGTAACGGGGTATCCGGGACTGGCGGAGAGATGGGGCCGCCCTTCCAGTGCTCCAAAGGGTTTCCACACAACCGGCGGCCGGTAAGCGAGACCGTTGCAACGGGAGTCTCATCTCATGAATGAGTTCCCATTCCGGCCTCACATTTTGGGCATCCGTTTGGTTTTCCTTGGGGGTAATATGGCGCGTATGCGGTCTTTCCCAAGGCCGATACCGTACACCAGATCTCCGGACTTCGAAGTCCTGATGCGGATCTCAGCTTTGGTCCTGACCCTTTTTAAGGAAGAGGAAGAGACCCAAAGAGGGAGGGTTGCAGGAGAAGGGGGCAGGACACAACATTAAAGAATCCGGAACCGCATGCCCGCACCGGCAGAGGCCGCAGAGGTGCAGGGCCACAGAACGGGATGCGGGATTGGGGGCAGGATCAGGATGGGGGGAGGAAAAGTCGGTAAACGGGCGGCATGGCATGTGGCATCAAGACATACATTGGGCTTGCCAGCGAACTGTGTTCCATTTGTGCCCAACCCTTCCAGAGCTTCCACGTTCTCCGAATCACAACCAGCTCCGACTTGTTCGGTCGGGAGCAGGGGAGCTCCTTGCACCAATCACCTCGGATGGCCTTTGGACGACAACACATCTTGCATTCCCAAGAACACGCCGTCTTTGGCAACTTGTCTCTGCCATTGCCCAACGCTGGTGCCCTATCCCGTGGAACCTACACCGTCAAACCGTTTTGGTGAGCCTCGTCTTCGCGATGTTTGGGTGTTTTGGCACGACGACACTCATCCGGGCAACCAGGCCAGACCACCCACTTCCCGCCGGTCGACATGCCAATGGAATGGCCTGGGATTCACCACCACGACGCACCACCACCAGCAGGAGCACTTTCCACCGTACAGATGCTTCTGCCCTGCAAGCGCAGGCCACCCTCTGGCCTTGGAGAACCGAGGATTACGGCGCACAATCAGATGTCCAGGGTGTCCCGGCAACCGAGAACAATGACCAACAAAAGAATCCACGAGCATGCAAAGATGCACTCACTCGTCCTGCGGTTTGACTTTGTTGACTTGTTTGCGGCCCGCGATCATCGCCACGTCTCGCCAACCCGAACATCATCTTCCGTTCTCGTCCACACCCGATTGATTTGGACCCTTGCGCGAGTCAGAAGAAACATCCCCCACGCGCGCTTGCTGGCGGTCCAAAGTTGACATCGCTCGCTTGTGTCTCTTGCTGACCGGGAAACGGGGCGTGTGATTGCACGTGCGCGTGTCGTGCTCTCATCCTCCTCACTGCCGGGGCGAACCGGCACAGGCCACACACACACACCGCGTGTTTAACCTAACCTCCACGTCCACCGGCCAGGATACCGTGTCGCGCCGTGTCTGTGCTGCTCACTGTCGTGACAGCGTCAACCTTGCCACACGCTCCCAACTTCGAGGCATATATGTCTCCATCGTGGGCCTAGCCCTCTGGAGTCTCTGGAGTCTCCTTTATCTTTCATCATCTTTGTCCGAAGGAAGAGTGTCATGCTGCTGGTTATCGAGCACAGGACACGCCGCTGTTGATCTCGGGTTCGGTTCGTGATCAGAAAAAATAGGAATCCACTCGTGCGCCCGCCGCCGAGCTTTCATACCCGCCCGCGTGTTTGGTCGAGTCGCCAGCGAGAGTCCTACCGGACCCCTGAATCATTGCGAACCCGCCGAAAAGATCGGATATCCCAGTGAGGTTATCGCCAGCTCCGTTTCGTGGATCCTTCTGGAGTTGAAAGATTTTGGTGGCCGGTATCCCAGGAAATCCTGGCCGCAGGTTTTTCGGTTTCTGCCCTTTTGCTGGATAATATTTTTTTTTCTCCTCTGCCAATTTGAACACTCTTGCGGGCCATTTTTCTGATTTTTCCGTGTTGCGGTTTTTGCGCTCGCCCAGTTTTGCAAAAAGAGGTCTTGATAAAATACCACCATTTTGGACGGGAGCTCTTTCAACAAGAATTGCATCTTTGGAAATCCCATTCCGACAGATCAGCTATAGAAAATCCGAAAAAAAAGATGGCGCAGCCGGACTTTGCCTACCGCATGTCGGCAGGTATGCCGAGTGACCCTTGGCTCTCTACGCGCAGGTGGGAAAATACAACCCAAACCCCCAACTTTGACCGTCATATGATCCCTCTTTTGGGGGTAATCGGGGCGCATCTAGAGCTAACTAACCGACGCACCAAAAGCCCGCTATACAACGATACAACATCATACCAGCAGCACACCAACAACACCTCGTTCGATGTCACGGGCAGGGGTCCCTATCGGCCGCATAGGTAAGGAAACCATGCCTCCAACGAGAATATCCCGATCTACAGAGGAACAACGAAAATAACACCCAAGCTCAAAGCGTGGCCTTCTCAACAACCGGAAATGTCTCGACGTTTAACCTGCCAACGACCGCCGTGTCGATGACGGCGCTAGGCAACGGTATCGGCCTCGGAAGCAACCTAAAGAACCAATACAACCTTGGACGAGCCGGACCCGACCACGTCTACCACCACGCCGCTGCTGCTGCCGCCGCCGCGCCCACTCCTCAGCTTTACAACCCCCGACCAGCCCCCGTCGGGCCGGCGTACACTAGCGCGCCAAGCCACGGCGCCGTCCACGGGCACCTTAACGGGCAGTACCGAAGCACCGCGCCCAACCTCAACCATACACAGGGGGGATGGGGTGATCACCACCACCCGACGTCGTCGTCGCGGTTCGCCTCGTCGTCGTCGGATTCGGTCGACGACATCATGGGCTCGCCCAGCCTCTCCGACTACTCGCTCGACAACCCGTCGCTGTCAACAGCACCATCCAGCAAGCCGGGCGGCAACAAGAACCACCACAACCACCACAACCACCATAACAACCACAACGGCAACGGCAATGGCAACAACCGAGGCGGCCGTTCCCAGCGCCGGCCCTCCAACCGGGACGAGTTCGACGGCCCCCACCAATTCCTCCAGCGTCCTCCGCCCGAATACATCGCCATGCAAGAGCGCGAGCTCCCGCACCTGCCCACCAACCTGCTCGTGCAAGAACAGGACTCAGTCCTGACGCAAGTCAACGACCGGCTCTCCCAATGCGCCTACGATTTCGTAGCCAAGTACCAGTTCCCCATCCCTTTAACCCAAGACATGCGGCCCGTCGAGAGGCCGCAAGACCGCGAGTGGACCGAGTGGGTGTATCTTTTGAAGAGACTGGCCACAAAGCGCAGGATCCCTGCACGGGTGCTGTATAACGGACAGATCAAGCAGTTTGTGACGATTCTGGAGAACAGTCTGGAGATGAGGCATGCGGCGAAGCATCAGAGTCGCCCGCTGAAGGACGATCGGAATATTTTGCAGCTGATCAGTGCGGGAATTCAGGTCGCCAAGATTCTGAAGGATGCGCCGGCTATGGACTTTTTGGACAAGTTGTATGTGAGCACGGAGCAGCAGATTCAGGAGCGGGCGGCGGCTGCGGCGGCGAGGTTTCGTTGAGCCTTTGGTTTGACTTCTGCTTTGTGTTTTTGTCTTTTCTCGCGCGTTGATTTGGTTGGTTATATCCCCCTACAGGACTCCCCTCTGGATTTGGAACTCGGCTTTGGCCCCCCCCTTTTTTATTGTTTTTTTTCATTGCATCACTGGTTGGGAAGATATACGGGCAAAGGAAACGGCCGCAAGGCTTTATATAGAAGGTTTGGTCATGTAGCATCCACTCGGTCGGAGGCATTCTGTTTTGTTATATCTGTTTTTGTTTCATATTCTTGTTCTTGCATTCTGCTTTGGCTTTCTGGAAGAAGAGCCCCGGACGGACACTTCATGTCGACAAAACAACAGGAGGCTATATCTACGCTACACTACGCACGGATAAGTCAAGAGAAGGCTTGTTGGCGGATTGATATATAGAACGGGAACGGGAACGGGAAAGGGAAAGGGAAAGGGAGACAGTACCAAAGACATGGAAGCATACTTACTTTACTTCCACTGGTTTGTCAAGGTTACCTAGGAAAAAGGGAAAGTGAAAAAAGAGGGAGAAAAAGGAAAGGAGGAACACGCATTGGGTAAAAAACTGGTTTGGATTGGGAACGGGAAAGGGCATACTGTTTGGATAGAAGGAAGGAAGGAAGGAAAAGCAAAGGGGGAAAAAGCAAAAGGATATGGACTGTCGATATACCTCACTCATCTCTCAGCTCGGATATGGATATGGATTACCTGCATCGGACAGCTTGGCTGGAACCGGGGAAGGAAAGATGCTTTTGGATCAGAAGACGAGAAAGGCGCGATCTTTTCCTTTCTCCATGTCTCTCCTGGGGTCTCATTATTTCTCGCGTGGTTGCTACTCTTGATTTACGTTTTGCAAATCAACTGAGGTGTTGGTTGGGGTGGGTGGGTGTTTACTCGTGGATCATGGGAGGGTGGTCTTCTGATATTGTTAGTTATTGGCTTTTTGCATCAACTACATTTTGATACCTCAACGTGTTTAAATGTTTACTCCGGCCTTTTCTTGCACCTATTCGCACAACATCGACACACCCTCGCCTCCCTCACTAAACATACGTACCAGCTTCCTTGCTCTACGCTACTCTACTCTACCTCTACCTCTACCTCTACCTACCTCTGCCTCTACCTCTACCTCTTCTACCCCCACCTCTACTCTACCTCTACACTACCTTATCTCTACCTTACCTACCGAACAAACCGGCCCGACCTCTCTCAATGTGTAGCACGGGTTATAATATCTCACAACCTACCTACCTACATACCTACATACCTACCTTACGACTTACCGAACCTGATTACCGGCTACCAGTTACCACCACTACAACCACATCACTGATTAATGTCGTGGTTCCAGATTGTATTGTGTTGTGTTGTGTTGTGTTGTGTTGCCTGTCATGTCATTCTTGCCGCCGTGCCCTTCCTCCTCGTTTGGACTTGCCTCGTCTTAGAGGTACAGTACCTAGGTAGGGAAGCACTCATATCTTGCGATGGCGAGGCGGCTTTGTCTCGGCTTTGTTTACCGAGATCTTTTGGTGTTTGTCGAGGGTTACATATGTACCGGAGGGACCTCGGTCGAGCCGACCTTGTGGTGTAGAGTCAATCAATGTCTATTGGATCTGGGTCTTCTTTTCCCTTTTTCCTTTCTCTTTTTGATTTTCCTTTCTCTTTCTCTCTTTTTGCCTCCCTGTCTCTCTTACCTAACTTGGTTATTTTCTTTCTTTGCTCTTTTTTTTTCTCACGTTTTTGGTGTATTTCTTTTTTTTCTCTTTTTTGTTTTGGCCGGTGGAGGAAAGCACCTCCATCACGAAGGATATAAGAGATCATACGTCGAGTACAACTCTGAGGCTCAGCTTACTTGACTAGGGGTATCTACGTAACCGGCCATCATAGGCATCTTTCGCTACCCCTTCTTCGTATTGTCGAGTTGTTCACAACTCGGGGTTGTTACGGATGACGCTAAGATCAAGAAAGATTCCGTGGAATCTTACATGATACATATGATACATACCATTCAGTAAGCCGAGGCCGATGCCGATGAGGCGAGGGCGGATATAAGAGCGTGTAGACTAGTCTGTGGTGTAAGTGATGTGTGGTGTGTGCCGTGGGGAGACACAGCATGCCCACCTGGTCCTTGTCCTTGCTCTTTTTTCCCCATGAATCCATGATGCGTAACGCTGGGTATACTGGGTAGGTACGCTTGGGATGGTGGCACCGTGGGGGTAGTTGGTGAACGAGATGTTGAACGGATTCTTGATGTTTAAAATTCATCTTGGTCTTTTGTTTGCTAGTACTTGAAAGTATTGGTCGTCATCACCGCAGTTGTCGTCATTGGCAAAGGGGATTTGGTCGTGTGTAAGTTATAGTTGATTGAGGCATTGCTGGCCTTGGCGGGTTGTCCTTTCGTAGTTCTCCGGTGTAGCACCAACATATACCAAGAAGAATTCCAGAAGCTCTGTTCGATTGGTAACGTTCTCTCTGCATTCAAGTCTTGTCATTCATAAGCGGACGGCGACTCGATGCCTCGGAAGTGTTGGGTTCAGATGAAGGCCAGACGGGCAGATTGTTTGCTCGAGTCGAGTGACGTTCGCCCTGGATTCCATCTTTGGTGAACAATGCATCTACGGTAACCTCGCCTCCACGGAATCTGTCCGTCCGTCCATCGACCTGTGATGCAAGCAAGGATCCAGGAAGGTGAAACGAAGTGACATATCTGGTGGGCAGCATCGGTGTGTAGTACGGTAAGATCAGTACATGAATATGGAAATGGTATAGTGAAATGGTAGGGAAACCAGAGAAAGAGAGGCCACTGGCCAGTGGGAGGAGGCGCGGTTCAAATAGTGGCTGTTGGAATCGGTATCCAAATTGGGTATAGCGGCGCCAAGAGTGTTGGCTTCCATCCTTCTTCCTTTTCTGACTTCTTTCGCATCGAGACATTTCCCCCAATTTGTCCCCAATGTCCCCTCTCTGAATGACACCTCGCCCACCTCATGCCCATCCCCATGACCCCCGCGGAACACCCACGGGTTGCGCATCCCCTGGTGGCAGGGCGGGCTGAGTGAACCACGCCTCGATTCTGTCCAATAGGAACATGATCATGATGAACAATGGGGGATGATCGCAAGGAATGGGCATGCAAGTTGCGCATCTGTTCGGTACCCTGAAGAGGTTAGTATATCGTCCGGTTTGTTACAAGAATGTTTTTCGCCAGAGAGGCTGAGCAAGAAGACGGGTCCTGGATACTCTTGACACTCACAAGTTTGAAGCCACTCCCGGCCTGTCTACCGTGTACAACATTGTATCCCATCGGGTCCAATCTGTCATGGAGGGGTAGATCAGGCAGGCAAACGTCTTGTCTTGGCTTTGACTGACCTGTCCTTGACAACGTCAGGTCAGGGTCTCTTCAGGATCAAAAGGACTCGGAAAAACAACACTAATCTTTTTTGTGTTTCCAATATCTGAATCACTTTCCTCGTTTCCAGTTTCTCAACTCATTTCTCGTCTCTCATCACTGTTCCCATTACCCTCTTCTTACCACTCTTCTGACTCTCACGGATGGGAATCCCTCGGTCTTGGTAGCTGTCGTGACTCGACTCTACCCTTCCACAGTCCTGCTGCGACACCTTTCCTTGGTCTCGAACAGGCTCGATACGGCAAACAAGAGAACGACACTTTTGACAAAAAGAGCATCTCATGAGCCATTGATCTTCGTGCTGCGGAATCCCAGAGCTCTCGCTGGGTATAAGAACGAGGATTACATCGCACAGAATCTCGAATCGGTTTCACCTTTCTACACCACTTTCGAATAGACCGTTCAACAAGCGTCAAAGAGCTCAACTGTCCAAAGCATCACCGCAACACAACATCACACCAGCGTACGACCCAACGTCCACAAAGCCATAGACAACAGTCCCTTCACGTTTCACCAACCGAGGTCCCAGCCAACGCATCTCAAGGCGTCCAAGACCCCGAGCCCCCGGAACAAGGAGGTTTCCCGTTCAAGGAAATCCCGAAGATTACCTTTCCAACCGCCAAAGTGGAGGAATCAAAGAACGAAGCCCTCGACACCACGAGGGCCACTGACAAGGGCAAAGGCCGCGAAACCATAACACCACCAGCCGAACCCGCTCCCTCGGAAAACATGTCTACTTCACCCCTTATGGGCTACTCACCCTTTCAGGGGCATCACAGTAACCCCGAGCATGAGCAAGCCGAGTATGAACACAGCTACGGGCATGGTCATCAGCATGATCACGCCCACATCCACAGCCCCCAACATGGATATGCCCCCGAGTCTATCGGCGGCGACTCGGACTTTGACCAGCACGCTTGGGCTTTCGTCAATGTCAGCCCCGACACCGGCACTTTGGGCGGGCTTCAGGCCAGCCCTGTCCAGGGTAGTCTAAGCTCTTGGACCAATGTTGAGGGACAGTTTGGTGGCGGTTTGAGCCCCCTGCCAGCTGCCTTAACTCCAGATGCCTTGTCTGGCTCGCCGGAAGGTGGTTACCAATTCTCTGCTGATGATCTCTCACACCTCGTCGAATACGAATATACCTTTGACAATGAGATCAACTCTCTTCTGTTTCATGATTCGCAGTACGAACAAGACATGGCTGCTGCAGGGCCATCTGGACAGCCTGCCACCCACCAGAACCAACAACCACAGAACTTCCAGGACGACTTTAACCTCGAAATTGCCTTGTCCGGCGCTGATGTCCCACCCTGGGATCCTCTTTTCGCTGGCGGCCTCGCGCCCGGTTCCATGGAAGAGATCCCCTCACTCTTCAACATGGACGACTTCAACATCGAGACCGGCGCAGGCGCACTCAGCTCCAGCCCCCCAGAGAGTATCAACAGCCACACCTTGAGCCATCACTCCGTCCCCGAGAATGCTGCTCACCTATCCGTCCCAGTCCAGCAGCCATACCCGGCTCCCTCCGTCCCCGTTCCGGGCCCCTCCTCATCTTCGCACGCGACCTCCAAGCCCATTGCCATCCATAAGACCCGTGGCAATGCTCGCGTCCAGAAGAAGAAGGCTTCGCCCAGCCCATCCGCAGTCTCCTTCACCACCATATCCTCTACCGCGGCGGTCGTGAACTTCTCCGGTGAAAACAAATTCGTCGTCATCACGCCCCAGTCCATCAGCCAGAACGCTGCTAAGGGCAGCAGCGCGGCCTTGTTCGGCGGTAAGGACGCCGAGGGAAGCAACCGCACCACCCTCAGGGGCCGCAAGGGTCCTCTGGCCATCTCGACCGCCATTTCCGCCTTGCAGGTCCGCCGCATAGGCGCCTGCTTCTGCTGCCACGCTCGTAAGGTGTCGTGCGAGGAGACGCGCCCGTGCCGGCGGTGCGAGAAGCTGAAGCTCACCGTGCCTGAGGTGATTTGCTGGCAGTTCAGCGACTTCACCGAGGTCATTTTTCCGGGATGGCTGAAAGCGCACCTGAAGCGGGAAGGCGCTAAGGGAGCGGAGGAGTACGTACGGGGAAACGTCGCCTCTTTCTTGGTGCGCTTCCGGGAGGATGAGGAGGAGTCCGAGAAACCGATCAAGTTGCGTCTGACTCTCGGTCGTGGCTTCAACAAGGATGCTATGCTCACCGTGTTTGCCAAGTTCTTCACTCCCACCCCCGACGCCCCCGACGCCACGAGGTGGTATACCACGCGCGAACACCCGGACGGCCACGGGATCGTCCTCGAAGAGAGCCCGGCGACGCCGATCGCGCTGCCGTACGGCTGGCTCGACCAGCGCGAAGAGCTGCGTCGCCACCTGCGCCAGTTTCACGAGGGTCTCTACAACGAAGACAAATGGGCTTACCTCCTCACGCAATCGTGCGAGCATACTACAGAAATCCCCACGCGGGTGCTTCCCATTCTTCGACGATACGCCAACGAGTCGCGCAACGTCATGGTCAAGCGCGCGCTGCAGATCCTGACCATGAACTACACCATGTCTTACCACCTGCACCTGGACCCGGATTCCGTGCACGCTATTGAGGTCGCGGGGTATCGGGTGCCCGAGGGCTTGGACAGGAAGGTCCTGACGGCCAGGGTGCTGAACAGGCAGCTGAAAGCCGTCACAAACGACATGGTTGAGCGTGAGGTGAGGAGGCTGTTTGAGGACTTCAGCAAGGCGCTGAAGCCAAGATCCCGCAAGGAGTGGGCGGGCTGCTTTGCGGCGTTCGCGGCGCTGAGCGTGTTTTTGGAGTATAAGGAGGCGCAGGCGGATGCGTATGTGGTTATCGAGAATGAGGTGAAGAAGAGGGATTGGTTGTACAAGGTCCAGCAATGGCAGCAACAGCAGCAGCAGCATCAGCATCAGCATCAGCAACAGGAAGCGGAGAATGTTATGGGCAGGAAAGAGGGGGGTGTCGAGGATGTTGGGGGGGAGATTGAGCAGGGGATGGATAAGTTGAAGTTGGACTTTTCTCGGAAACAAGCCTGGGATACGCTCGAGGCGATCGACAACTTGCCGTTCAAGCAGTTCATGTACCAGTTCCACCAGATTTATCAGACGCATCCGTCGACGGCGAAAGACGGGAAGGCGTTCAACCCGTTTGTGGATGATGAGGCGTTGGAGAGCTTGAGGGAGTTCCCGGATGGAGAGGCGGCGATCTATATGGTGAAGACGTTCAGGGACCGGTTCTTTGATGTTTCGGATGTTCGTAAGTTCGCCCCTTTTTCCTCTTCACCCCCTTATTTCCGCTGTGGCGCAATTCCCCTTCCGCTCTCTTCATCACCCCATCTTCCCTTTTGTCATGGTGCTCAAGACGACTTCAACCTTGACGCAGCCACGAACCTTGGGCGAACCTAAACGTTCGAACTATGATTCCACCTCCACCTCCTACCATCCTTCTCCATTCCCCCTCAGGTTTCCTTTTTGAGCCCTTCACCCATAATCTCTCTCCTAATTTCCCTCCCCACTTCCTTTTTTTTTCTCCCCATTACCTTTCCTTTTCCACCAACAACCACCAATCCTCTCTCCCACCAAAGTCAATACTCCCAAACACCAACTAACAACACCCCCAACCAAAATAGGCCACGAACTCGACTTCCTAACCTTCGACCCCAGCGGTCCTCCCAGAGAGAACGTTGACCCTTTCACCGATCCCGCCAACAAAAACAAGACTTCCGTCTTCCATCTCTTTACCGGTCGCCTTCTCTCCAAGTTCTTGCTGTCCTTCATCGACGAGAGGATGATCATGGGATCTACCGGATTTACCGGCGGTGGTGGTATGTGAAGCGTGAAGTGTGTGAGGTGAAGTGTCGGTGAAGGGAAGTCTGAAGTTCCAAGGGCGAAGGGATGTGAAATGGGATGTGAAATGTGGTGTCAATGGGTATGACTTGCTACTTTTTACTAACCAGTGTTACAACTGTCGTCGACTTCCTGAATCAAGCTAACCGACCGGCTTATCGGTAGTTAATGGAGGAAACGAAGACGTTATCGCCGCTGCGGACGTCGACAGCACCAACAGGGGAGAGAGCAACTATGAGAGCGGAGACGAGATCAGCCCCGAGGTCAACAACGACGGTAGCCAGGACAATGACGACAACAGCGACAACGACAGCAACACCGGCGGCAATTTCTTCATCATCGACTTTGACCAACTCGAGGACAACGACAATGACGAAACCAGAGAGGTGATCGGCGAGGCCGGCTCTTTCCGCGTGTTTCTCAAAGCCATCCTGCTACCCAGTCTCTTTGCTTTCCTGGGCGGTTTCTCCAGCGGGTGTTGAAGGTTGGAATTCATTAGGGCGGTCGGACGGTTGGGATTAGCATGAATTATTGCGTTGCGTTGCGTTGCGTTGCGTTACCTGGCGTTGCTTTTTTCGATCGAGCAAAGAATTCTGGGAGTTCATGGGTGTCAAACCGCGTTGAGGTTGGAGTTTTGGGTTGTCTTATCTTCTTCCCCCTACTTCTTCTTTCTCTCTCTTTCTTTTGGAGCATTGAGTATCCAGGGCATATCAGTGGAAGGGAAGCATACCATGTCTCTATGGAGATGATTTTCATTTTGAGGGGGGGGGGGGGGGGGAATAAGAGAACAGAGATGGAAGTCATGACTCATGAGAGAGGAAGGACGCTTACATAGATACCCATGAAGCTAGGGATGGATACTCGACTGGGTGCATAGGTACTCGCTGCATATGGATAAAGAGCAGGCGCGGGAATCATGAAATGAAAAATTCAACAAAAAAGCAAATTGACGTGCGACTCTTGCTTGATTGGTGATGATTGCATTGTTGGTTGTTGTATTCAACGTCTACTTCCACTCCCTTCAAGGGGGTGGAGACGTAAAAGACTCAAAAAAAGAATGGGGCCACCCGGGGATTGAACCCGGGACCTCTCGCAAGAATGCTCAGGATTGAACCCTAAGCGAGAATCATACCACTAGACCAGCGGCCCATTTGAGTTGTGATGGTGACTTTTGAGTGTACTGGTGGTTTTGAGAACGGGTTGCACGAATTGGCATGGCACGACTTGTGGGCAGCAGAGTTGGGGTACAGACAGAGTCCTGCTCACACCAACGGGTATCTAGATAGGCTTGGCAAGGCTCGGGTCAACTGTAGCTTGTGCAAAAGACGGATCATGTAGGTATCTTTGAGATGCATTGAAGATCCACGTTGTTGGTGTGAGTGAGGTTGTAGATCACCTCTCTCCAAGTCGATGCAAATGTGGTTGACGTTGTTGAGGTTGGGATGTGTCGTCCAGATGTTTGTTGGTGGATCCTCCAGGTGTTAGTGTTAGTGGCTTTTCGGGATGAACCGACAGGGTTGGCTGATGGTGTGTAACTTCTCGGTCCAGAACAGGATATCGCGCTGCCCTCCTCGCATTGAATCATATAATCAGATCTCCAAGCTCATACAACGCCGATTTGGGCGATTCATGAGAGTCGCATCCGATGTCTGTTCGATTGCGAACATACGGGAACGGGGGAAGAAGATTGCCGCTGTTAACATGCGCTATCACTAACAGAGTCCAACCCCTGAAAGCCGAGACGCCAAGCGCGAAGTCATTGAGCAACCTGGAAGCAGTTCAGGATGATGTCATTGCCCAGACGTCTGGCCCAGCCGCTTCCCGTTGTTGCTTCTCTTTCACCTGCCCATGACACTGCAGAGAAAACAGGAATTATAGATTGCGCCTACCCTTGCATTCGAGCTGCATTGGACCTCCCGGCGCGTGAGCAGACTCGGCAGTGACACGAACCACTTTTGCTGATCAAGGAACCCAACGAACGGCATTTGAATTGGCAGTCATCAGGGGAACACCTTCACGACCATCATCTCCATCATAGCCACTCGATCGATCATCAGTCAAACACCAAAAGCTCACCCAGTACATTTGGCGATTCATCCAGGAGAAACATGTTCTGTCGCCAATAACCCGTCACCCAGTCCAACAACGCAAGCACTTGACGTAGAACATCGTACATGCGTCACAGTCGCTGGTGGTACCATTAACTCGTCATATAACAGCAATCCTCCCACAGCAAGACGCGCCCCATCATAACACGCGCCCAGGGCGCCATCATCCTACATCCAAGCACCGCAACAACCATAACGAGCATCTTCCTTGAAGAGAGATACCCTCGGGCCCAAGCCCTCACATCACAACACGATGGCGACCGCTTTCGAAACGCAGCCACTGGTTGCGACAACCTCAGATACCACAGACCCGGCTCCCGTCAAGCTCGAGACAACCACGAGTCCGACCGGCGCTCATGTCACCGTCATTCGCGACGCCAAGGGCAACCTCGTTTACCCTTCCCACGTTCCCCCGGAAACCCAGTCACCGAGCATCTCCCCGGTAGTTCCACCCAAAACCCATACCGAACCCCTCAAGCGACCCACGAACAAGCAGTGGCAGACCGAGGCAGCGAGACGAACCGACAGGCAAGACTCCTTTGCCGTACCGCCTATGCAGCGGGCTGGTACAAATACATCGCAGTTCAACCGCGCAATGTGGGATCCCAGGGCAATGCACGCCTTTGGCGACAACTCGGATTCCAGTAGCGAGTCCTCGTCGGATGAACAAGAGCATGGCCATGGGCACAAGAAGCACCTCTTCCGAAAGAAACATGCCGACAAAAAACCCCATGAACAACACGGCCACTTCGGTCGCTTCAATGTTGGAAATGAACACTACAGGACAAAGGGCAGGGTCTCGAAGCGTGATGGCCGTCTTAGCATTTCGGTCAACGACATGAGCAGTACAGGCTACCTGGCAAAGGCCCTCGGAATGGCAGTCAAGAAGGTGATGCCGGAAAGGCACGAGATTTCCAACAAGAACGCTGAGCAAGTCAGGAAGCCTTCGGTCGTGTCGCGACTCTCCACGGCCTCTACTACTGCCGCTCCTGACAAGATTTCTTGCCCCAAGCTAAACATCGTCATCATGGTCATCGGTTCCCGCGGCGATGCCCAGCCTTTCCTCAAGATCGGCAAGGTTCTGAAAGAGCAACACGGCCATCGCGTACGCATCGCTACACATCCTGCCTTTCGCGACTTTGTCGAGAAGGATTCTGGCCTAGAGTTCTTTTCCGTCGGCGGTGACCCAGCAGAGCTCATGAGCTTCATGGTCAAGAACCCCGGTATGATCCCGACTCTGGAATCAGTAAAAGCTGGCGACATCGGGAAACGACGCGCCGCCATGGCTGGCATGTTCCAAGGTTTCTGGCGAGCTTGCATCAACGCTACCGATGACGAGCGGGATGTTCACAACCTCAAAATGATGGGTCGCATGGACCCCTTTGTAGCCGATGCCATCATTGCCAACCCTCCCAGCTTTGCCCATATCCACTGCGCCGAGGCGCTGGGTATTCCTGTTCATTTGATGTTTACTTTTCCATATACCCCCACTCAAGCCTTTCCTCATCCACTAGCCAGCATCAAAAAGTCCAATGTCGACCCGGGCTACACAAACTGGATCTCCTACCCTCTAGTAGAGATGATGGTTTGGCAAGGTCTTGGTGACTTGGTCAATGACTTCCGCGTCAAGACACTCGGTCTCGATCCCGTTTCAACCCTCTGGGCCCCCGGCGCCACCTACCGTCTGCACGTCCCATTCAGCTACCTCTGGAGTCCCGGTCTTGTATCCAAGCCCGAGGACTGGGGCGACGAGGTCGACGTATCCGGCTTTGTCTTCCTCGAGCTGGCTTCCACCTTCCAGCCTCCCGATGACCTGGTCAAGTTTCTCGAAGCAGGCGAGGCGCCCGTCTACATCGGTTTCGGATCCATCGTCGTCGATGACGCAGATAGGTTCACGCAGATGATCTTCGACGCCGTCAAACTAGCTGGCGTGCGCGCCCTCGTCTCCAAGGGCTGGGGTGGTCTAGGCGGCGACAGTCTCGACGTTCCCGAGAACATTTACATGCTCGACAACACCCCTCACGACTGGCTCTTTCCCCGGGTTCGCGCTTGCGTGATTCACGGTGGTGCAGGCACCACTGCTATTGCGCTCAAGTGCGGCAAGCCGACCATGATCGTTCCCTTCTTTGGCGACCAGCACTTCTGGGGTTCTATGGTGAGTAACGCCAAGGCTGGCCCGGAACCTGTGCCGTACAAGAGCCTTACGGCGGAAAAACTGGCCGACGGAATTAAGTACTGCCTTAGCGAGGAGGCTATGAAAGCCGTGGAGGAGATTGCGCAACGCATCAGTGAGGAAGGTGATGGAGCTGAGAACGCTTGCAAGGCATTTCACAGGGGGTTGATGCTCCAGGGCGACAGGTCGATGCGATGCTCAATCCTGAGAGATAAGGTGGCGGTGTGGCAGGTCAAGGGAAGCCCGACGGGGTTGAAGCTGAGTGCCATGGCTGCGGACCTGGCGGTCGAGAAAAGACTTACCTCGTGGAAGAATTTGAGGTTGCTCCGACATGTCGAGTGGAATGACTTTGAGGGACCTGGTGAGCCGGTGACGGGTGTGGCTGGCACGGTTGTGTCGACGGTGGGCGACGTTTTCTCGGGAATTGGTGGAGTGCCGATCAGGCTGGGCAAGAAGGCCAAGCAGAGGAAGGTCAAGAAGCAGGAGAGGAGGGAAAGAAGGGAAAAGAAGTTGAAGGCACGAGAGGCTAGGTCGGAAGAGAAGGGGAAGGCGAAGGAGAATGGCAACTCAACGACCAACGGCGAGAAGACAGACAAGCCATACGAGCAGCAAAACGGAACCCTCCAAAAAGTCGAAACAAAAGACCACGCCGCCGCCGATGATAATAGGAAATCCGACCATTTATCAAGCGATACAAAACCAGACGACGCCACCGCCGTCGACAACTCCAACGAGACCACACCCGAATCAGGCCACTCCCTCCCCAACATCACCACAACCACCACTAACGCCATCCATAACACCCGTCCCCGCCTCGAATCCCCATCCCCATCATCATCATCCCCATCCCCTCTCCTCGCGCCCATCCGCCCCGCAAACGACCACCGCACCGACACCAACCTAACCAACCTAACGACCACCACCAACGGTGGCGAATCCACTACGGACCCGGCCGAAGTCGCCGAGGAAATCGTCCACGAGATCGGCCAAGGCGCCATCAAGTCTGCCTCCGCCATCGCCCGTGCCCCCGTCGACCTCTCCATCGCTCTGGCCCAGGGTTTCCACAACGCGCCCCGTCTTTACGGCGACGACACCGTCCGCCGCCCCACGCGCGTGACGGGGATCAAATCGGGTCTGAAAGCCGCGGGCCACGAGTTCGTGTTTGGGATCTATGATGGCTGGACGGGACTTGTGAGGTTGCCGTATCGAGGGTTTAAAGAGGGGGGGTTGGGTAGTAAACCCTCTTCTTCTACTTCTTCCGAACCCGGAAAACCTGGCAGCACGACAGTGGCGGCGACAACACCAGCCCCCGCGGGACGGATGGTCGGTCTAGCCAAAGGTGTCGGTATGGGAATAACGGGGTTCGTGCTGAAGGATATCTCGGCGATTATCGGCCCGATTGGGTATACCCTGAAGGGGGTAGTCAAGCAAGCACAGAGGGGTCGGGGACCGGGCAAGTACATCAGGAAGGCGAGGATCGTACAGGGGGCTAGGGAGTTGGAGGCCGTCAGCCCCGAGGAGAGAAGGAGGAGGATGGAGGAGGTGGTGGAGGGGTGGAAGGTCTTGAGGGAGTTATGGGAGGAGTTGCACGAGGTTGAGAGGGGGGATAAGGGGAGGAAGAAGAAGATGGCGAAGAAGCAGGTTAATGGGAAGGTAGCTGCGAATGGGAAGGTGGTGGATGGAGTAGTGAGTAATGGGAATGGAGTGGTCAAAGAGAAGAATACGAAGGAAACTATAGAGAGGAAGAGGGAGCGGAAGAGGTGGTTGAAGGGGAGGGGATTAGGAAGGAGAAGGAGGGTGGCGGTGCAGGGGGAGGCGTTTGAGAGTGTGGAGATGGCGAGGAAGGCTTTGGAGGAGTTGAGGGCTTCGTCGTCGTAGTCCTGTTATTAAGAGGAGGGCGAGATACCTCTAGTGTGATTGGTAAGATTACTGTTTGATGGTTTGTTGGATGCGGTATTATTGTTTGAGTATATGAAGTGGGTCCGGTTGGCATCAAGAGATACACCAGTTAGGAGTTAGGCGCAAGCGACACGGGCGGGCTGTATATCAACCGCGTACACGATTAGGTAGTCATGATATAGCAATATTAATGGTAGTGTTAATTGCAAACTTTCACAAGTAATCATCAGATCGCGTGAGCTGCTTTGCTTTCCAGCGGTCCTTTCTTTCCAAGGGTCTTTCCTGCCTGGCAAAAAAAAGAAGGCTATGTCAACAACCCAAACAACAACTGCGTCCTCTTATAGTACTCCTGCGCCGCCTTAACCAGTCTTCCCTTAGCCCCCGGATCCAAGCCAGAGTGCTGGAAGACCGTGTTGGCAATCTCGTTGAAGTCGCCCTTACTGCCGTCGAGGAAGATGCCGAGGTAGATGATGTCGAAGAGCCATTGGACGAAGAGATCCCGACGTTGTTGGTTGGCTTTTTCGGCGGCTTCTTGTTTTTTGAGCTTTTCCGCTTCTTCCTTGGCTTGCTGTTGTTGTTCTTCAGAAGGCTTATCTTCTTCTGTTTTGGCCTCCTCGCCGTTGCCTTCTTTTCCTTCTTCCCCGCTGTTATCACCCTCCTCCTTAACCTCCTTAACCTCCTCATCATCATCCTTCTCCCCTTCGTCCTCCTTTTTATCACTTCCCCCCGCAACCTTCTCCGCGTCCCCCTCACCCCCACCCTCACCCTCACTTAGCACCCCCCTAGCAGCCTCCAACCAAACCCTACACACCTCCCCCCTCACCGCCCTCTTCAGCTCCCTCACCGCCGCCGGACTCCACAGGTCCGCTCCCGCATCCGCCATCGCCGCCGACAAGTTCCGCAGGAACCGGAACATGCCTGGCGATGGGGACGTGGGCAACTCGGGACTTCCCTCCCACAGTGCTCGGCCAACCACGGTCTTTCTCGCCAAAGCGACCGTAACAAACTCATCCACGGAACTGACCAAAACGGTGCGGGCGAGGGAGGAGTGCAGGGAGGGAATGGTGGGGAGGCCGAAGGCTTTGATGCTGCTGATGCTGCCTTCCTCCGACGCGCCCGCGCCCGGAGGAATTTGAGGCTGCTGCTGCTCAGTAGGGAGGCGACTGCGGATGTCGCGTAGTAAGCGGAGGAGGTACATGGCTATCTGCCCATTATTCGGACCCTCCCTCTGCTGGTTCCACAGGTCCGTTAAATGTTCATCTAGCGCAGCGAACGCTTTCAGGAGGGAGTCGCTCAAGTGGGTAGTTAGTCTTTCCGGATCCTCGCGCGAGAGAAGTTGTTGTCGCTGCTCGATGGTCTCTTCGTCTTCGACCACCATCATGTCTCCTTCCTCGTCCTCGAGATCGTTTTCCCAGCGCTGGCGGCGCAACTGGTCGACTACGGACCCGACGTCGTCGATCACGTGGAACCAGGATTTGTAGGAGGCTACGGCTTTGGAGACGGCGTCGTTGCGCCCGTAGAGACGGGAGATTACTTCGGATGCGAATTGCTGGGCGGCGCCGCCAGATGGGCCGGAGGGAATGGTGAGGTCGATACCCGAAAAAGTGGACGGGTCCCAAAGGGAGAGGTGCTGATCGGTGGTTCCCTCACGCCAGGCCGCGAGAGCGGCTGAGGCTTCGGAGCCGACGAGGCGGAGCTTGTGGACTTTGGAGTCGATTACAGACAATAAATGGTTGTTGATTGTGGAGCGGATTTGGCTGAACATGGAGCTGTTGATGGGAGTGCCATCGTCGGAATGTTGTTCGTCCTTCGGGCTGAAATCGTTAAAGCGGACGCGCGAGCTCTCGGCGATCCAGAGGCGGAGGACCGAGGTGCGCAGGTCAACAATGGCTTTGAATTCGCTCATGGATTTGACGGTTTTGTCGAGGTCATCAATAAAAACGTCGCGGTGCACGGGGGCCCATTCAAACAACAGGCTGTTGACGCTTTCGGCCTGCAAATCGTCGTGCCGGATGAAGGGCGTGTAGTACCGAATTTCGTCGCCGCACCAGCGCGAGTAGGTATCCAGCCGGAGACCCTCGATGGCGCGGAGGGAATCATCTGCCAGGAGCGCCTTCTTCTTAAGACCGTTAAGCGCGTCCGCGAGTTTGTTGGGCGCGAGGGCTTGCACGTCTTGCAGCGTTTTGGCGTAGAGGTTGAGCCGTCTGAGGATGTCCTTGGGTGTTCGGACTGCTGACGGCTGTCCCTCCCAGGATAGGGCGCTCCCTCTCACCTCGAGAAAATGGCGAAGAGTATCCCGCGCTCCAGAGCTGGTGTGCAGACTATACGCGCTCAACGCCTTGAGGAGATCGCTGCGCGGGGTGAGCTTCTCGTTGATGCTCACCAGGACGCTGTCGATGCACCGGAGGAGTCTATCGCGGAGGACGGTCAACGACCTATCAGCCGACTTGACCGCCGTCCTCGACGCCTCGTTATGGATCCCCTCCCGCTCAAAAGTCTTGACCAACAGTCTCCCCAGCACGCAAACCTTGGCCGCAACAAGCAACTTATCCCCCTTGGACATCACCACCTCCTTCTCTTCCACCTTACCCCCCCTCATCTTCCTGGTATCCCTCCCCGGTCCCTTCTCCTCCCGTCTCAACAACTTCTGAACAGCCAAAACACACCCCTCCAAAATCTTGACCCTCGCCGCCTCCCTTCTTCTTGTGTTATCCATATCCTCAGCCTCATCCCACTTTTTGAGTCCATCCATCTTCTCCTTCACCACCTGCCTGCCGCATCTTCCACCCATGCGCCCCAGCGTCGCCTGCACGGATTCCATGTCCCCCCGCATCTGGACGATGGTGTCGGCTGTTCCCAACAGCTCGCGGTAGGAGCCGCCGACCTGGGTGCGCAGGCGCGACTGCTTGTCGTCGATCTCGGCATGGAGGGCTTTGTGGATGGCGCGGATGTGGGGGAGGGGGTAGTTGGCGGAGAAGATCTGGGCGGAGGAGAGGAGGGTGGAGAGGTCGGGGATTGGGTGGTTCGCCATTTTGGTGATGTTTGTGTCGCGACGTTTTGTTTGTGATAGATAATTGGCGAATGCGCGGGCGGTCAATCTGTTCGAACGGGGGGGAAGAACAGGTGGTTCGTGCTTGCGATTGAAGAAGGACGAATCTATATTATAAGCGCCATTAAAGAAACAAATTAGTCATTAGTCAAGTAAGTGGTCGTGGCAGCTTGTGGTGCGGTTCCCCAAGTCTGCAGATGTTGGATCTGTTCGCCTGTGGTGGTTTGGGAGATCTGAAGCTATCCCCAGACGGAGGGACTGGAGGTTGTCAAGGTGGTCGAGCTGTCAGGTCGCGGCCGTCGAGTCCACAGCGGTTACGTTTCAGTGGGGTACCGATGTCAGGGGTATTTAAACCCTAACCCTTGACTCATCATGGAGTTCGATGATGGGATTCAAGATTGGGGAATGGACATAACAACAAGTACCAAGGCACTACGAACAAACTCAACTTTAGAGTGTGTGCTGGAAATCTTCTTACATGGTAGTCTTAGACGCTTACAACAAAACATAACTTTCCGGTCCTAAGCCGGCAGCCACTACCTTGCTACATCTATACAGGGGGGTATCATAACAAATATGTATAACAGATAACCGCCAGAACCCATCACCTAAACCCATTAACATTTTTGTCGTGCAGTAGAACGCCGCCAAACACCAACTCCAAAACATCCCAAACCCCAAAAGCCAGCAGACCCATCAACACTCAGGAGGCCGCCACTTCTAGGGGCTGCCGACCATAATAGAGTCTTCATCCATCTCGTCCCCAGTACCTATCACCCCATCCTCGGCCAAACTCGTAGTCTCAACCGCATCAACAAACGCCCTCAACGACGCCGCGCTCCGCTCCAGCACCTGCCTCCCCATTTTCTCCGCAGCCGTCATGGCCGCTCCTCCCCTCCCGTTCCCCTTCTTGATCTTCTTCTCCCGTTCCTCGATCCCCTTCTCCACCGCCCACTTCAGCCCATCGAAATAATCCACGCTTCCGGACTGAAACAGACACCACGCCATGCTCTCCAGCACCAGGCTAAACTTGGCATTATCCTCCACGGTCACGGTCTTGGCCGGATACGGCAGAAAACACTCTCTAAGCATCGTCTGACTGATGGCGTGGTCCGCGTCTGCTTCCGGGTCGGCGTCTTCAGGCTGGGGCGCGTTGCGGGGTGTGAACGACTGAGCCACATAGCGGAAGAGGGAGACGTAGATGTACCGTGGGAGGGCGAGGTCGACGTGGTCTAGAGAGAGGAAGAGCTCGAAACAGGGGAGGGGTAGGGATTTAAGGCGCGATGAAAATAGGTCGTAGAGATCCTTAGGCTTGGAGAGAATGTCGGGTGGGAGGTAGTAGGCACAGGCGGAGATGAGGCGGAAGAGACGCAGTCGGAGAGGTATCGAGTCCGCTAGGCCGTCGGTTACGCGAAGGGGGTTGGGAGTTGTTGTGGGGGAAACGTCGAAGGCTTTGCCGGGTTTGGAGAAGGGGGTGGACCTTGGTCGGCCTTTGGTTCTTCGGCCGGTTCGGGCGGATGGGAGGTGAGGGGTGTGAAATGCGTCTGCTTTGTCGTCGTCGTCGGTGACCGGGTCGTCCCAGTCTTCGAGGTAATCGCCGAATTGGTCCTTTTCTAGGTCGACGGCGGTCATATGCGAGTGTTTTCGCTTGTTGCTTTTGTCTGTGTGGAGGACTGTTTCCTTGTTGAACACCTCTCTGTAGTACGTGTTGTCCGCGGTGTTTTCGTCATCAGCGAACGCGAACAGTGCTCTAATAACTTCATGGAGCACCCTCTTTCTATCCCGCCGTAGGTCATCCACGTATTGAACAAACAGACTTTGCTGCAGCAGAGGGTACTGGCACTTAGCCTCGGACCCGGGGTCGCTGCTTCTGTTGATTTTGGCTTGGAAGTTGGCCTGATCCTGCGCAAGCCGCTCATCCCAGTCCTTCTCCAGGCACTCAATCATGAAATCCAGCCACGCCTTCCAGTGCACCCAACGGTGCGGATGTGTAGTGCTGCACCGGAACGCCCAACCCAAGACGGACCAGAAATCGGATGATCTTCTCCATATGCTGTGGTCATTTCCAGACCACTTGCTCTCAATGTTATCCGCTTCACTAAAGCTGCCGATACTGCCACCGCCGTCGCTTTCGCCTGGGCTGTTGAACTCTCGCGAATTTCTCCGGGCCCATCGACCACTGTTTTGCCCTTGCCTGAAAGAGAATGCTGATCGGAAGTCGGCGTTTACAGGCCCGACCTTGTTGAGGAGCGTGCGGAGGTATTCTCGGGATTCGGCAGCGATGTCGAGGTTGGCTTGCTCGGGAGCGCGGGATGTATACGCGGGGTGGATCGTCAGGGTGCCGAGAAGAGCGATCTGGGCAGGAGGAGGTACTCGGACGGGTTTGTCTGGTTGTTGCCCTTCACCGGCATCGCTGAGAAGACTTCCGAGTAGGTCTATTGCTGGGAGGTACATCTGCTCCTCGAGATGGATCTGGCAGGATTGTTTGAGGACATGGGGAATCTCTTTGCATTTGTAATATTTAGGTTTTTGGTCGTCTTCGTGATCGGGACTTGTAATGTTGGTGGTATCGGCAGCGTTGGGGGAGTCGGCGGCTGTGTGGAAAGAGGCCGGCGTCGATGTGCCGTCGAGATCTGTGAGCGGCGATGAGGCCGCCATGGCGTAAGGATTGGGCCTCCCAGCTCTATCACTCTCTCTATAATAATGATAGGTGGCAAAGGGTACAGAGGTTGGTGGTGAAATCCCGGGTAAGATGGAAAAAAGTAAAAGTTGGAAAACGGTGGGAAAAGAAGACGCGCTTGATTTGGTCCGTGATGCAAACGAACGCGACGACAGCGGGGCTCCCAAATTCACCCCAATGCGCAGTCACGGGATGAAGCACAGCGGTTGGCCCGGTACCTTGGCACCTATAACCCAATCGAGTTAGCGCCAAAGCTTAATCCCCGTTAGTGGGTCTTTATTGTCAAAGCTCCATTGTCTTGTCTTCACCTTTCATTCGAATAAAGAACAACAACTTCAAAGTTCTTACAGATGGCTTTGTAGACTGATCTCTTTAGATAAGGCGATATCAGACTTTTCTTGAGTTCTGTTATAAACGTCATCCACTGTCATTCAGCCTGTCAATTATATCGTCATTGAGAGTCAAGTTGGCGTCAGGTCATGGTTCACTTCAATAACCAACAAAGTGCAATTTGCCATGGTCTCGTGGGACGCTGGTGGTCGTAAACAACGAATATGCTTGTAGCCGCTATACAATGCACCATGCTACCGTTTGACGTCTAATCATATGTCTTGACCTCATGTTCCTCGCTCTTGGTTCTTTTACAGTATAGATACACTATATACATATTTGGGTCAAACTAAAAGCGACTGGGACGCTATCAGATGACTGTAATGAATTCAGCCGTCGTCAGGAGGTCTCTGTGTTTCCTCAGAGGTATCTGTGTCCCCTCTTTTGTTTTGTCCGCCGTGGTTTATAAGACTTACAGAAGGGCTGGATGACTGGAACATCCAAAACTCCTTCCGCCTTTCGTTCCAGCAAAGAAAGCGTCCTGTATCACCGCTTTTTGTTGCTCAAGTTCGCAGACGGATCCCACGCCTTAGGCTGCCACTCCCCACTGGGATTACTGGCCTGAGCCTGCTTCCATGGATCGATACCCTTCTTCTTCTGCTGCTTTTGCTGCTTCATCATCTGATCCCACGTTTGTTCCCTCGCTCCGCTCGTTTGGTCTGCTGGCGTCGCATGTGCCGTGGCGGAGCTCGCACCGGTAACCGTAGCCGTGGCCGTCTTAGTAGCAGTCTCCATAGCCGTCGCCCTGATCTTTTCCTGCTCTTCCTTCGCAGCCTGCTTCGCCTCCTCACTCCTAAAACCAGCCTGATTGCTGACACCACTGGTCTCAACACCGCTCACAACCCCTCCACTTGTCCCCTCCGTGTAGGGACTGCTCTTCTTCATACCCTCTCCCACCACAGGCGGAACCGGCTGCCCATATTCCTCGCCTGGCTTTCCAATGGTCCTGGTTGATGGTTCACCTGGCGAATCCGGAATGTACTTCGCCTTGGCCTCCCATCTCTCGTCCGCCATCTTCGCCAGCACTTTGATCCTCTCCTGTCGTGCCACCTCGGCCTCCTGCTCTTCTATCGTCGGTGGGTCCTCCCGCGTATATCGAAGCCATTGATGCCAGGAGGGCGGAACGGCGACGTCACTGAAGTGAGTGCTGCGACCGCCTGGGTACTGGACTATTCGGCGCCAGCGGATGGTGGAGCGAGTGGGGCGGAACTGATAGTAGGCATTGCCGGCTAGGTCAAGGCCTGTCTGGGGTTAGTCATTGTGAAAGGGGAGAGTGAAGATGAAGAAAGGGGTTGGGTGAGTGAGTGTGAGTGAGTGTGAGATGGTGATGGGAAAGGAGATATCAGAGTTGGGAAAGGTAAATGATATGTAAATGAAGGACTTCTTGGCCTGAGGATCCCCCAAGGATCAAAGCGCGTATATAATCGATCTACGGCGTTTACGGCGTGACCGGGACAGCAAGGGCCCAGGGGGGGAACGGGATGATCATTTATTTGTTCTCAGTTCTTACCGACGAGCAGCTTATTACGCCATGGGAACTTGATGGCCTTCCACTTGTACCATGCCCGCTTCAGGGGGGAGATGGACTTGAGGTTGAGCGACATGAGATTGCCGGTAGATCTGTAGATGCGCCCTATCGAGTGATGTGCACGGGATGAGATGAGAGTGAGAGACTGAAAGGAAGAGTCGGTCGGTCGTCGTTGGGGGAACTCGCGGACCGTTGAGCCGTTGGTATCAGGATCATGGGTGGTGGAAATTCCACTTCTGTGAGTGACGTCGGTTCCGGAAGTGACTGACTGGCGCCAGTGATGAGTCCAGTGACGGCGACGGCGCTACGGAAGGACCCGTCCGTCACCCGCTGCACGATGGCCGGGATTAACAGCCACAGACATGGGAAAGCGCATGGCATCAAGCCACGTGTAAATCTCGGCAGCAGCGCGTCACATTTGTGGCTGGTGTACACACTATTTCATGTGTGATTGCGTAGGCGATTGGTGCCATGTGCAATTGCCCTGCACTAACATTCCCTGTTGCGAAGCGGGGTGCTAACAATCACAGCGCCCGGCAGAGTGGGATAGTGGGTATCGCAATTAGGGCCCCCCGCTGGTGCTAATTTACAGCTTATGAATCGTCCGAGTCGTGGTGATTGACGAGGACGACTCTTTTCGACTATCGAACAACGCACCTGCCAGAGGGAACCAGCAAAAGAAACGTTGGACACAAATCTCCCTCAAAAGAGAGGATCCCAATCAATCTCTGGTCAGATTGGACGCAATCTCGAGAACCCAGCCGGCGTCGTCGTCAACACTTAATACGAGCTTTCGCCAATTTCTCTGCCCCTCTTTGCATCCTTTTTTTTCTCGACGACGACTTGTTTCTCTCGCGGCGATCCATCAGATACCACTACCTACTTACTCAGCCACCTTTGCCGAAGCCTTTCGAATTCCAAGGATAGCATCAGGAGCGAGGGATAAGCCGGGAATTGCGCCAGAGTCCGCCAAATTCCACAAGATTGCCCTTTCTGGAAGCTCATCTGGAACATCCCTGTTGGTGATCCAAGATCCGGTTAGAGACACTGCTCTTACTTCCATCCCCTGGCCAACCTTGGATCCCGTCCCTGATTCCAAGCCTGGGCCTGACATGACCCTGGAACCTGGTCCCCATTCCGGCCGCCAAAGTGACCCGACAACTCCAAGGTCCCATCTCCCAACTGGATTCCAGGAATCCTTATCCCAAACACTTCACGCCTCCCCTTGGGACACCGGTGAATAGTCTTGACCCTTTCCCCGACGTCTTCTGGTGCAACTGGAACACGCGCCTCAAGCAAAGATACACCATGGCTTCCGTCTCTTCGCTGGACAAGGACCTGCGCAAGCTGCGCGCCGAAAAGTACACGCCTCAGGCCGCCGGCGAGGCAAAGTCCTGGATCGAGTCCGTCCTCGGCGAGAAGCTGCCCCAGCCCGACCTGCTCGATGCCCTCAAGGATGGCGTTGCTCTGTGCAAGTGAGTCCATTCCCCCCCCCCCCAAATCTGATCAGACCAAACAGACTAACCACCCATCTATCCAGGCTCGTCAACAAGGTGCTGCCACCACCCGGCGTCAAGTTCAAGCAGTCGGCCATGCCCTTCGTCCAGATGGAAAACATCTCCATCTTCCTGCGATCGTGCAAGGCCCCGCCGCTGAACCTGCTCGAGCACGACGTTTTCCTGACTGTCGATCTTTACGAGCGCAAAGACCCCGCACAGGTACTTCAATGTATCGGTGCCTTTAGCCGAGCGGCCAACGCCGCAAACCCCTCGGCAGTCCCGACAGTGATCGGTCCCAAAGTCAACGCTCACAACAACAACTCCGTTGTAAGTCCCCAGGCCACCGGTGGCGCTCCCCTGAAGAGCCCAGGTCTTCCTGCCCGCAACACCTCGACCGCCAGCAATGCCACCGTTTCATCCTTCAGCTCATCCTTCGGCTCGTCTCTCCAACCCACGGCATCGCCTTTGGTTGCGCAGAAGACGGGAGGCTCGGTAGCGAGCAGCAGATGGGGTGCCAAGTCCCCAACTCTCAGTGCCACCACTCCCTCTGTCTCGGGGAGCGTCAGCAGCTGGAGCAGCAAGAACCACGAGGGCACCACGTCCCCGGCCTGGAACATTGCCCAGTATGGATACATGGGTGGTGCGAGTCAAGGCACCATGGGCGTTTCTTTCGGCGGTCGTCGACAGATTACTACTGCTGCCCCGACCGTGCCTAGCGTACAAGAAAAGGAGCGAAAGCGAAAGGAGGCCGAGGCCGAGGCGGAACGCAAGCGCAAGGAGGAGGAACAACGGAAGAAGGCTGAGAAGGAGGCCGCCGAGAAGCGCGCTCGTCAGGAAGAGGAACGCAGGTGGGAGGAGGAGACCCGCAAGGCCCGCGAGGAGGAGCGCAAGCGGCTCGAGGAGGAAAAGCGGCGTTGGCAGGAGGAGGAACGTCAGTGGAAGCTCGACCAGGAGAGGCGACGCAAGGAGGAAGACGAAGCCGAGCGACGACTGCAAGCCGAGCTGAAACAGGAGGAGGAGAAGAAGCGCGCCGCCGAGAAGCAGATCCAGAACCAGGCCCAGGCCCAGAACCATACCCGCGAGAGGAGCGATCCCCGGCTGCGCGGTCAGCTACTCAGCCAGTACCAGGCCGAAGAGTCCCGAGACAAGGAGCGGATAAGAGAGCTCGAGCGGGAACTTGAGAAGGCCCGGAGGCGAGAGGCCGAGTACGAGCGCGAGCGCCAGGAACGCTCCCGTCGACTCGGCGTCAGCAGCGGCGACGACTCGGACGAGAAGCAGCGCTCGCGCAGCCGCCCTGCTCGGCCCATCAGCAGGCAGGATTCGTGGAAGCCGCGCGACGAGCGGCGGTTTTCTAGCAGACCTCCGTCGCCTTTGGTGCAGGACATCCTAGACGGATACCTCGACAGCCCCGTCCAGCCGGCGGCAGGAGGAGCCCGCTCCCCACGCGCAACCCTCTCTCCGCGCCCGCTACCCGACCCGACCTCGCCGTCCAGGCCGCTTCCGATCCCAGCGAACCCCATGCTCTCGCCGCCTCAGAAGCTTACTGCTCAGCGAACTGGCGGCAAGGAGAACAACGGTCTATCCCCTGCCCTCCCCATCCGCCCCAACCATACCGGCAGCAACCGCCCTCTTCCGAACCAACCCGTCACCCCGACCAAACCTCAACCTCAACCTCACGGCAACATCAAATCCCCCTTCAACAAGCCTCGCTCTCCCTACTCGCCCACCCAAAAGACCGGCGGAGGATTTGGGGCTTTGTCTCTCCTCGAGCGGGAGATGGAGCTCGAACGCCAGCGTCAGCGCGAGTGGGAGGAGGCTCAGCAGGAGACGGCCAAGACTGTTCGTTCTGATGAGGGAGTCAATGGAATCGGCGGAGGTATCGGTGGACGGTGGGACGTCGGCCAGTGGGCTGGGTTTACCGGTGGTGATTCGCAGAATCGGGGGAGTCAGGGGATTGGAGCGGGAAGGAGGCCGATGGTTGGGCCGAGGCCTCTGCCTAACTTGCCGCAGTAGACTTGGGCGAGGGCGGAGGACGGAGCATGGAAGAAAGTGGAGAGAGTTGAAGAAGAAGAGGAGGGGATGAGAGAGAGAAAAAATGGTGAGACTGAGAAATGAAGAAGAAGAAGAAGAAGAAGAAGAAGAAGAAGAAGAAGAAGAAGAGAGAGAGAGAGACAGAGACAGAGAGGAAGAAAGTATACCCAATAGTTTGTCGTTTGTCTGTTTAAGGCTGGCCGGCAGTCTGTAGTATTGCAGTAATTGCAAAACAGAAAAGTAAGGAACTGGTTCTTTTGAGTTTATAGGGAAACAAAAGGGAACGATTGTTGAGGGGAAAAGGAGATATACCATCATTATTTAGTATAGTATTATTCCCTTTTTGTTGTCGTCTGTCTGTCTATCTGTTTGAGACTGTGGACCAACCCGCGTCGAGGTAATTAGGTTTTAGGTTATAGGAAGATTTTTACTCAAAAAATAGTCTTGTTCACTTGTCATGTGCAACTTGGGTCAGTCAACAACATCAACACTTTTGAAATATTGATGTTACACAACAACTTCGGTGACTACCTAGCTACCACATCATACATACCATCCAAGATACTCGTTCGTACATACACCAAACTCCGCCCACGTACACACTATTCTAGACGCCGATGCCAAAACGGTATATGATACAGATACAGATACAGATGCAATACATACGCATCATCCTAACTCCTGACATTTCAAATCCAAGCAAAAAAAAAAAAAAAAAAAAAAAAACGCCCCAAGATGCCGAGTGCCAACTCCCTCCCCCGACACGACACAGTTCCTTCATACACAGTACAGTCCTACACACCTCTCTCTTCCACAATCATACATACATACTTTACATTCACCCACGCACCCCCCTTCCAACTTTACTTCCACTGCTCATATATCACTTAAACATAACCAAATGGTTTCCAAGTCTTCTCTTCTTCCCATCAACTCCCACCCCAACCGCACCCGCACCTGCTGCACCTGCATCCACGCTCGCAGCATTAGCCGTAGCCGTAGAATTAGCAGCCCGCATAGCCTCCGACACCGAGTACACTACTCAAGCCCACTACCCGAATACACTACTACAGTTTCTCAAGGAAACCAAACCTCGGGACCAAACGGATCTTTTTTTGTTGCAGTCCAACTTGAACCCGAAGAAGTCCCTGTCTTCTTCTTTTCATTCTCATTAACAGCCGTCGCCGTAGCATTACCCCCCGCAGCCGTAGCAGTCCGTACAGCCTCCGACACGGACATCAGTTCCTTCTGCTCCTTGGAAAACGCGCCGTTGGGTAAGTTCTTCTTGGGGGCGGTGTAGGGGAGGATGGGGGTGGTGCGTGGACGGCCTTTTTGTTTTGGTGTTGTGGTTGGTGTGGTTTTCGTCCAAGGAAGGGATCTCTTGGTTGGGGGAGTAGGGGTGGGTTTTGCTGCCGTGGTGGGTTTCTCAATCTTGGGAGTGACGGTTGGCGGCTTTGCGGCGGCGGCGGCGGCGGCGGTGGAGGAGGTGGTGCTGGTGGTGCTGGTGATGCTGGTGGTGGTGGCGGCAGCCTCAGCAGCCGCAGCGGCCCGCATGGAGAGGGAGGCAAGGGCGTCTAGCTTCGCGGCAACGGAGGCCTTGGTCCCGGGCGAAGTCTTGGAGACGGCTTCGAGGCGGGCGGCGATTTCGGGTTCGTTGAGGGAAGGGTATGGTTCCTCTTTGGTTTCCTTCTTGGGGGTTGACTTGGTTTCCTTAGTTTCCTCCTTAGGGATCGACTTTGGTGCGAATGTGGTCTTCTTCACATCGACCTGTGATGAGGGTGGAGGAGACGTAGCCTTCTTGGTGGTTGTTGTAGTTGTTGTGGTTGCAGCTTTGGGTTTAGAGGATGGAGGTAAAGATGAGGAAGTAGTAGCCTCCTTACCCGCGGCCTTGGAAGCCGCCACCTTCATCTCCTTGCTTGCAACATTGGGGACTGTGGCCTTCTTGGTGGCAGCGAGTCTGGCAGCATTAGCCTCCGTCATGGCTTTACCCTGGGCTTTGGCTGCTCTGATGGTGTGTTCATCAACACCAGCTGCGACAGACTCTATTCTTAATGCCTCCGAGACGGAATCAAGACGGCGTGCGGTGGAAGCCTTTGAAGGAGCCGCAGCCGTTTTCGTCGCCCTCGAGACAGAATCTAGACGGCTTGCGATGGAAGGTTTTGAAGGAGCCGCAACAGTCTTTGTCGGAGCCTGTACAGCGGCGTGCCGCTTATGTTGGTTGACAGGTACTCGTCCATTAGGCGTCAGATAATCAGCACCATATGGGTCGCTATATCTCGTCTCTGCGATAATCTCCTTCAGTTCCTCATCAGAGTTGGCAATCTGTGCCCGGATGAACCGAAGGAAAGCTTGGTGATCGCCGGCCTCGGCCCTCTGGAGGAGTGTCTGCATCACAGGCACACGAGGCGTGTACTTGATGTTGTCCAGCCGAGGCGCATACTGTGAGTCTGGGACAACGCTCTCATCCAACTTTGCTTCGTCTCCCTTCTCTAAAATTTGGAAGATATCGATGCTCTCGCCGTGCGCAATGGGTATCGGGTTACTAGGCGTGATACAATCCATGTCGACCTCCTTCCGGAGGACGTGGTCGATGTCCACAGCGCTGAAGAAGGCGCAGGACTGAGGCAGATCTTGGATACCGACTTGCTGCGCGAACATGACGCGGGTCCACAGGTTGGCAATCTGCAGTGCCATGGCTACTCGGTATTTGTCGTGTTCCTCGGCGAGGTAACGGATTTCGTCGTGCACGGTGATGGCCAGACGACAGGCGAGGTTGAAGCGGCGGGTGAGATAGTCCATAGCGATGATGAGCAAGTGAAGGTAGTCGACACCACTAGATTGGATGGCCCAGTTGATACGCGAGGTCAGGAAACCTCCCTTGCTAACCCAGCGGCTCATGAGGGCCTCTGTGATGCCCGCACCGAGAACAGGGGTACGAGGACGCTCTTGCTCGGCAAACTCTTCAAGCATGTTAAACACGAAGGACTCGGTGCCGCCTCGCCAGAATGGTCGCTTGTAGAGAGACTTGCGGTTGGTTTTAGCACCCTTGGTAGCATCGTAGAGCTTGGTCGCGATGGCAGTCGTTTCCGCCTCGGTCAAGCTAGGGTTGAACTGCCGGAGAAGCTGAGAAGCGAACTTTAGACCGGCACCGTAGATACGGCCGTAGTTGAACACTTTTGCGTCATTACGGGTGATGCCCAGAATGGCTGCCGTTCGACTGTGAAGATCAGTGCCCTGGGATTTGGTACCCTCGAGGGTCATGAAGCCGATGGCATTGCCACCATGCAGTTTGAAAGTGGCATCTCCAACCACCGACGCAATCCAAAGTTCTTCCGAGTCAACGTCGGCACCGACAAAGGCGTAACCCGGCGGTGCGCGAACCATGGCTTTGAGCTCTGATCCAACACGGTTCTTCTTGGCGTTGGATGCCGTCAACCACGTCCTCTCGACCGCACGACGAGTAATGGTACCCATGGGGATGAGCTGGGGAAGAACAAATCCTCCAACAGGGGCGTCATTATCTGCGCCCTTGGTGGCAAACCTCTGAGAAGGAGGAAGTTGATCTTCATAGACAACCATCTGGTTCTTGATTCTTTCTCGAGCGCTGATCCAGTACGAACAAGAAGCATTCATCTCCAATGCCTCCTTTGCGTACGGGTACGCGGAAGAGAGGATACCCTTTTCGAAGTAGGCAAGATAGCCCTTGGCCATCGGGTTGACACATCTAGCAGTCGGGCCATCTTTGTGAGGAAGTTTGAAGTACTTGTGATCGGAATCCATCCTAAGTCGGTCATCAACTTCCGGGTCATCAAAATGAATAGGTGTCATCTGGCGCTGAATGAAGGTCTCTGCTTTTTCTCGAGGAACCTGGAACGTCCAGCCAAACTGATCGGACCAGAATAAGGGATAGCCTTCCCACGATAGTTTGAGGAGCAACGGGGCTACCCGTGTACGGACGGTGAGATTGATGAACTCGTGTCGAGCCTTCCTACTTTCCTGTTCTTTGCCAGGTTCGTCCATGCCCGAGAGCTTCTTAGGAATCTTTATGAACAAATCCTTGTACCATTGGGGGTATCCTGGTAGTTTCTGGTTCAGGGCTGGCCGTTCCACGTCACCCTTCTTCTTTGGTTTGGCCATCTTGATCTCCTGCCCCGACCAATCTAACTGGCTCAACCAAGGGTCAGCGAGATATTTCTCGGGGTCAGTCTTATAATCCAATGTCTTCTCCATCAGAGAGAGAAGGCGCTCCTGGACGCCGTGTAACATTTGAAGGTAAGTTGCCTCAGCTGTCTCGATATAAGCATCCCAAGTCTTGTTGACAGGCAGAATGACAGAAGCGAGGTGGCGTAAAGCGGCAAAGCTGACGGGGTGAGGACAGACCCCGAGGAAGTTGGGGAAGACGACCTGGTAGACTTGATGTGTGACTTGAACATCTGCCGCGCAGTAAGTCAGGAGATGGTCCAGCTGGTTCAGAATCACATTCCGATCAGTTTCGGCGAAAACATCCCTGATTTCCTTATCGATCTTGACGTTGAGATGGAACTGGGCCACGTCTCGTAGCGAGTTGATGGAGCTTTTGTCAACCCAGAGGTCAGCCTCCTCAGCAGTAAGCGAACCGCCTTGCAAGAGTTCTTGCAGTTCGACACTGGCATTTTCATGCTCTGCCTTCTCCCGTAGTTCTCTGGCCTTCTTGTGCTTCATCCATGTCGGCCTTTGTTGGGAGCACATTCCGTTCACAGCAACGTGTAGAGACATGGTGTCGAGAAAGAAGTTCCTTGTCTGCTTCAAGTCGTATTCCTCCAGTATCTTGGCACGGTCATAGCCAATGTTGTGTCCCACGATAACCCTGTCGACAGCTGGATCTCCCATCGGAATCAAATGGCACTTGTTTTCCGTCTCTCCAAGCAGCCACGGCGACAGCCAAGCATACCAGGCATCCGGAGTACCAGCACATGCCATGACAGCATAGGGGTTATCCTTATACATGACCTCCACATCGAAGCACATCATGTTGCCCTGGGGCAGAATATCGTTCTCTGTCGTGCCATCACGGTTGTACTTGGTCCAACCACTCCTACGCACCCACTTTTTCGGCTTGGGAGGTAGGTCGACGTCTGCGAAGTGCTTGGCATGGGTGAGGAAGGGTTCGGCGGCGTCGACGCCCAGCTTGTGGAAGTGCTCGTCGAGGGTCTCGCCTACCAAGGCAGGTAGTTGAAAGGCAATGGGAGGGGTCTTGTCGGTAGTTTTTCCCAGCAAGTCGTGACGGGCGAGGTGATCCTTGGCCAGCTCAATGAGTTCGGGGGCCGGAGGGTCGGTGTTTCCGCGGGGGAAGAGCTGCTTGTAGAGGTGCTCGCTCAGCTGCTGAACACCGATCTCGTTATGGCGCGCGGTGGAGGGGATGGCGAGGCCGTTGCGCTCGAGCACTTGGGCGACGGTCGAGTCCCATCGTAGGTGTCGTAGTTGTCGAGGGTATCGGGAAAAGAGGTTGGCACGGCGGAGGACTCGGGCGGCGGTCGCAACAGTCGCATTTGGTACCGCCCGGCAGCGGACGGGGGTCAGCATTCTAGAGGATAACCAGCTAGAGGTCGGATATCAAGTCATGGTAGGCCGGTTGCGGGGCGGCGACCGAGTCCATCATCGATGTCATTCGCAGAAAAAAAAGTTTAAAAAGGTTCCAGTCCATGCCAATTGGGACCCCGGCCCCTCAGTACCTAGAGGCACGCTAGCATGTACCCAAGTACCTACCCTCTCACCTCTCTATCAGACTGCCGCTCACCACGCTCCCATATTACATCTCTATTTGTACTCAAGAGTATATTTAGTTAAGCTTGAGTTGCTTTCATTAGCCGGGTTTTGAATTCCTCATTCAGTTTTGTTTTGGTTTTACTGTCTGTCATACAGCATTTCACTTGCACAAGTCTCCCGATTTAAGGGTCAGATAGCGGGCTGCTCGCTAAAGAGGGGACCCGGAATGTGGAGGAGTAGTTCACTCTTCACAGCACGATCGAGTCCAGATGGCTAGCCAGCACAGCGTTGAAGAGCATCATGACAAATCGACCCTGAAAGGAAAAATTCCCGATCGTGTTAGTGTCGATCCACTTCTGTTCCTGTTCGGTTCTCGCCGATTGGCCTCAGCAACAATGACAACGTCATTGGCCTCCGTTAGCTCCCCGGTCTGCACGCTTAGCCCGGCCCGGAAAAGGCCCCCTTGTCCGCCGCTCCTGGATACCGGACGGACCCACATCTCCGTATGGTTCCGGATGGGGTCCGGCCGCGATACTTTAGGGCGTAAGGAACTAACGTAGTGATACAAAATTTGGCACTTTGGCGCCGCTCAAACAATGAAATGAGTATGAGGTAATCTACTCGCTCAGCTGAAGAGGCAGACCAAGTTCGATGCTCTTCTTATATACCCCTAACCCTACCTCTGGTGGAACAATGATTGAAGCCTTCTGTACCTGTACCAAAGATCGAATGCTATCTGTTAACAGTTTGCACTACATCTATGTGTGAGCTACTAACATCTACTGCGGCAGCCACGATAACAGCTAGATAGCGATGAAGAAGCTCATTCAGCGTCGTCCAGCTCGGGTGTCGTAGGTACTTAGGGTTGTACGAGACAAACCGATAAACGCATGCTCGAGACCCATATACATGCATATCCCTAACGTACATACTATATAGAGGTACGAATTGAATGTTACAACTGTCCTACTACTATATTACTATCCCCTTTGATTATAGGACAAACATTATTAATGACATATAACCGATACTATAAAGTATTCAAATAGAACCTAATACAAAGAAAAGTATTATAACCTTTATAATTTCTTTTGCAATATTTATATCGGAATCCGCTAGATCGTATTATTTCGATAAAACCTGATATAAAGGAAGGTATTATAACTTTTATGACTTCTTTTGTAATGTTTATATCAGAATCTGCTAGATCGTATTATTTCGACAAAATTTAATATAAAAGAAGGTATTATAACTTTTATAACTTCTCTCGTAATATTTATATTGGAATCCGCTAAATCGTATAATTTTGATGAATTTCAGATATCTCTCGCAAAAGAGGTTATATTTAAGGTACTTCGGATTAAATTATTATAATATATTTCGGGGTCCTCCCGCAATATACGTAAAGGTATACCCAAGGGATTGTAGATGGTAGTATTATACTAACATTTTTTCTAAGCGTTCAAAATCGACTATGCTTAACCTTCATACAGATTTCGATAAGTAGTTTTATAATTAATATCTAGCCAAACGCAACATACATACGCAGCACCTATCGAACCTAACCCTATGTTGCTCTAGTCTTTTGCTTACTATATATATATACTAGTTAATGGTATAATTATGAGTTCTTTTATATATGTAATAATGCGATGTATCTATGTGTATTCTGTACTCTGTATGCTAACTCATATTTATGCACTACTAGGGTTATCCATGGAAAAATTTTGTGGATCCTGCAGGGGGGAGGGGGGGTCGCATGAGCTATATGGCCGCTCATTCAGTCGCCATCACAGCGCCAGCGTTCCTTTGTACTCCATAGCATCATTTCTTCCCCGTCATGAGAGGCTTGAGTGTGCAGACGGCGCGCGCGCCCATCACGATGGCAACTTGGACTGCCCAAAGTGATTCAGTACATGATCTAAGAAGGGCTGGATCCATCTGTTCTTCGGACCTTCCCGTCTTTCTCAGCTACATGTTACAGAATTTATCGTCAACTGGAGGATCAATTCCACCCATCTTTTCTCCTTTAGACAAACACTTCCTTTCACAGTTGCTTCCGTCCCCCTCTTCGTCACGAAACTTACAAAACCCCCAAGCAGCCGCCTTCTTACCTTGTGTTCTCTGTATGCTTAATACCGATCGTTGCGCTCTTCCCCGTATATACCATTGTTAGCGACTACCCTTGTTTTCTTTCGTCCCAGGTATTGTCTGTAGCCCATTCACTCTCGTTTGGCTGGAACATTGCGAGCAAAGTGGACGGCCACCGTCCCAAAGTCTACTCGCCACCGCAGCAAACGCACGAACGAACGGGTTGGAATCTCATCTTCACCAATCTAATTTCTTGTCCGAACCTTTACCTTTTGTTCCGGCAATTTGTCGGCAAGCCTCCCGGGGGCCATGGATGACGACTTCCCCTTGAGTGATGCGGCCTACGACGACATTTTTGCAGGTACTTACTGCCCTCTGCATCCAACCCAAACCTCAAGAATTACATCCCGCTTCACCCATACCCCTACCACTTTGTCTGAGCTGTGTGTCTCTAACAAGTCGCGGCGCTTCGCCCTACAAAAAGACCTTGACCTGGACGCTCTTCCACCACCGCTGTCCAGTGTAGCGCACCCGAACCCTGGTGGTGTTCCTCAGTCGCTCCCTTCCTTGGCGCCTTTGCTGCAGCAATATCCGGCCCCGAACCAGAACTCCAACTCCGACAACTCTCTACAACACCCACACAACCTCCCTGGGCAAACCGCAAACATATTGCCCTCACTCTCAATTCAATCCCAAGCCCCCTCTCCAGCAAACTCTTACATAACCCCGCGAACCCCATTACTCTGTCCGCACCCACAAACCCGGTCTGAACCCGGCCGTTACCTCGACAACCGCCAACCTCAACCCGCTCATTTGCCGCCGGCTTCTCGCGCCCTACCACCACCTCGACTGCCGCCACCGTCGCTCTCTTTTCTGCTTTCCGGATCTTCCTCTACCCCAAACAACAGAGGAACCAGCTTTTACGACAACACCAACCCCGCCTTCACCACCAACCTCGCTACAGGCTCGCGCACGCCTGGTCTACCCGTCACCACCCATCGCGGCGATCGAGAACCAAATAGTGACGACTTTCTCAACGAGCTTGCCAGTCGAGACTTTTCCAGTCATTCGCTTCCACCCCAGACTCCGAGACATCTTAGCGATCTTCTCTCTCCTTCACGCAACAATTACAACACCATGCCTTCGAGGAGGGATGAATCCGCCGCCGAGGGCTCTCGGCGACGAAGCCGAGGCACCTCTCACAACATTGTCAGCTTGCCCACACTGCCGCCTCAGTCATCCGGGGCTCCCAAACGGAAAAGAGAAGACGGGCTAGAAGTCAAGACAAACAAGCGAAAAGCGCACGTGTTGGTATCCAGTGACGACGAGAAAGATCCGTTCGGGGACGACAACTTTATGGATGTGGTCGACCTGGCGGATACGGAAGAGGTGCCCGAGAGCATGCGAGCGAAGCCCAGGCCTAAGAACGAGATCAAGCTGAGCGCCTTCCAATGTGTCATTTGCATGGATAATGTTACGGGTTTGACGGTTACGCATTGTGGTAAGCTTTTTTTTTTCTCCCTTGCGTACCCCTTCCGCTCTGTTTGTTCACGGCTAACAAGTCTTCTTGTTATTAGGTCACCTCTTTTGCTCCGAATGTCTCCATTCCGCCCTAACCATTGACCCAACCAAACGAACATGCCCGGTGTGTCGCCAAAAGATCGACAAAGCACCGACAGGCGGCAAGTGGACGACGAAAGCGAAGGGTTACTACCCGCTTGAATTGAAGCTGGTTACGAAGAAGAGCTTGGGGAAGAGGGCCGCTCAATGACAGCCCTATTAGTGGATATAACGAAACCACCCCCGCCACTTTGTCAGCGAAAGAAAGCGACAGACAAAGCGGTTGTCGATATACGAGTATTTGTCCGGACATATAAGGACTGGAGGGCTGCGGCTGGCTATGTCGTGACTTGCACGGCATGATGTTAGAAGGGCGGAAGCAAAAAAGCACAAGGATGCCGCCGAGACCGTGGTATCCATATGCCTGAACAAGCCGCTACACAGATGAGTGGCGATACGAGTCGAGGTGGCACCCACCGGCTCAGAGCATGGATGACTTGGATGGCAACAGGTCATCCACACCTGCTCTTTGACCAGGCACAACTTTCGCAGACCAATGGCGCCCATCTATCACAGACCAATCCTGGAGTACTAGCCGTCAAGGTACTGGATCTACTGGACCTTACAAGACCAGACCAGCCCTGTCGCCAGTTTATATACATGCTGAGACGTTGCTACCCACTTCGCTATTCCTGGATACAGCTCGGACAGAAGAGTCTTCTGATAGGGGAGGCAACAAACATTGCTTGGCGTTTGGCATGGAGGAATCGCCGGCGATACGTCAGCGAATTGATGGAGAAGCGTGGACACTGGCCAAGCAGCAAGAGAACGATAGCCAAGTGGCTACGGAAAAATTTCTTTCCGTTTTGTCGGTTTGGTTGGTCTTTTGGACGGAAATAGCTAAAAGAGGCATGATGGCATCAAATGCATGGAAGGAAGGGCATAAATTACGGCGTTAAAGATGATGAGGAGGAAGATGAGACCTTAAGATCTCGTCTTGTGTGATAGATACCCCCACTTTTTTGTTTTCCATTCGAGTGTGTATAGGGGAGCTTGTCTGTTTGGTACATATTGGTATGGCATAGTAAGCCTTGTGTTGTTTTCTCTAGCGCCTACATAGAGTGCGGAATGAGAGTTAGCATAAGCATAAAATAACATAAGGCTTGTCGATGACAAATGGTATGACTGGTGGCAATTCTGAGTTGCTTGTCAAGAGAAAAACAAGTTATTATGACCAAGTAGACTTAGATCCATCCCAATGTTTCCACATCTATAGACATAAACCCACAGATATTTATGTAGACTTCCCCTTACTCTTTCAACCCAGACGAGTGAGTACCTCTTTCGTACAGCTTTTCCTTTGATGCTCTCCTCCTCAAGCATAAGCAGCCCAACCTAGATAACCTCACCGTTAGCAATCTCTCTAACGTCGTTCAACTAGAACCATGAAGCGGGGACAACAACTTACCACAATACAACACGGCCAAATTCCTCTCATCAGTCGCCTGATTAATCAAATCATTCACCGTAGCCATCACACTCAGCGTCTTACTCAACTTCTTCCGAACCACCTCCAACGCCCGATCCGCCTCACTAGGCTCATTGAGGTTGTTCGTCGTCGACTTCTTGTTGTTTCCACCACCACCACCACCAGCACGATTCTGATTCTGATCCTCCTCCTGCGCCTGATCATCATCCACCTCATTCCCTCTCGCATTCGCATTCTGCAACCTCGCCATCCGCACGGGACTCATCGACCAGCTATAAAGCGGATCATACCTCAACACGTCCAGAATAGTCATGATGCTGTACGTCTCCTCGCGCAGCGCGTCCAGCGTGAACTCGCAGCACCGGCGGAACACGCCCTCGGTTTTGGTGATGCCCATTCCGTCGACGATGTCGCGCGTCAGACGGAAGGGCACCAGTTCGGGCACCGGTAAGACGCGACCCATCTCGAAGGCGATGCCCAAGTCGATGTGCACCACCTCGCCCGTCTTGGTGTCGAGCAAAATGTTGTGGCCGTGTCGGTCGCCTAACCCAAGCACGTGGCCGAGCATGGAGATGGCGGCCGTGGTGCGCGTGTAGGCGGTCCGGCGGGCGAACCACTCGTCCGGGTCCGGGAACCATTCCATGAAGAAGTAGCGCATCACGGGGTGGAACTTTTCGGTGACCTTGCGGTAGACGGCGAGCCGGGTGTCGACGGATTTGGACTGGGCGTTCATGATTTCTTTCCGGCAGTGCGAGCCTTTGAGGTCCCTTGGGTAGTAGGTTTCGTGGGCGGGCATGAGGTATTCGTGCAGGGGGATGGTGTCGGAGACGAACTCGATTATGCCCGAGGACAAGGTGAGCGGGAGGACCTTGTAGGTCCGGATGCCGAGGTTGCGCTGGCGCGTGGTGCGGTGGTGCTTGAGCAGCTCCGAGACGGCGGCGAAGACTTGCTCCATGATGGCGTCCTGGCGGAGGTCGTCGTTGCCGCCTTTTACGAGCTGCTTGTACCGCTGGCCGTCGCTGCCGATGGCTGTGATGATCTTGGGCGCGGAAACGCCCGAGGCGATGGACATTTGCGGTTCGAACTTGATGATCATGGGCACGTTTGAGTAGTCGCAACTCGCCAGCAGAGGCATCTGCATGGTCGGCGGCGGGATCGGGAACTTGGCAAGCGTGGCGAGAAATTGCGAGCCTGCTTCTGAGTCCTTGATGGCCATCTTGTGACCTGACTTGTGTCTGCTAGCATCGCGCTCCATGGCGAGCAGGTGGTAGACTCTGCTTGTCGCATCAATCGCCGGCCAGATATTGGCGGCTGATACACCACTCTTGACGATGGCTCTGGCTATCTTGTCCGTCGCCTTCTGTCGGGACAAAGCAACCTCATCATTCTTGTTGATCCGTGTTCTTGCTCCCGACCAGATCTGGTACATGCCGTGATAAGGGTGGTCGAGGCAGATGCTGTAGACAAGCTCTAGCAGGGTGATCTGGAAGAGCCCTTTCTGATCTTGCAGGCGCGATGATAGCTGATTGATCAAGGGTGCGAATTTCCGAGTAGGCACTCTGCTGAGGTACCCCTTCACAGTCTCGTTCACCATGTCGTCCTCTGAGCGCTCTAACCACAGAGCTGTGAAACGTAGCGCATCGTTATTGTACTCATCCGATGCTGCGAGAGAGAGCAGGTAGTTCTGTAAACTCAACCTCACAAACTCAGAACGAGTCTGTTCAACTCGGCGAAGCTCCTGCTGATCTAGGTCAAGCCACTGCTTTGCCTTCGACAAGTGCGAGGAATACTTGTTTTTGAGTTGCGAATCCCGGGTGCTCGCAATAAGAGCTTTGAGCTGCGTAACCTCGTCATTCTTGCCCTTTTTGAGATTCTGGAGGCGAGCAAGATCCTCAAGGCCATCTGGGTTTTGGAGCTGTTCATCACAGAACATGGCGAACTGGTGGTAAACCCGGCTGGCTTCCTTTCCTTCACTCTTGCCCTTCAACTCCTTCAGTGCGGGTTCGAGATACTTCTTCTGAATGTTGTCAGGACTCTCCAGTCGGGCAACCGACACCTGGTACCCGATCTTCGACAAGAGATCCGAACGGCTGACAGGAACAGTTTGTTTCTTCAGTGAGGAATCCTTGTCAATATTCTGCAGCATCCTGATGGAGGAAATCATCTCGCCTTGATCCCATAGCGAGTTGGCAGCCTCCATCCGGATTGCCGCGTCGACGGTAAGCCCCATTTGTTCACTCGGCTTTATAAGATCTGTGAGTGCGGTAGACAAGTTCAGCGTTTCCTGTGTGGCACGATGGAACCGGTAGATGTCAGAGGAGACCAGCATGCCACGAATTTGCACCAGACGAGCATCTGCAGGCGTCAACCTCGATGGCCGGAGGTTGTGGTGTTGACTCCACATGCTCAAGGTTGTCTCCCGGCACGAGAGGATCTGACTGACATCGTCGTATTGTCCACTCATCATCCACTTGGACCGCGCTTGGAAGTCATTGATGATGCCTTTCAGCTCGGAAAGATCTCCAACATTCAGCACATCATCGAGTTCAGCCAGCGTAGCGAGAGCACCCAGCTGGTGACGCAGTGTTAATGTGTTAAGGCTTTTCCCCGTGAGATGTTTGAGTGTTCTCGCAAGACCGTCGTGAACCGCGCTTCTTACCATGTCGATGTCAGAAGCTTGATGCATACTTTGATAGGCTTTGTACACAGTTACCGCCCAGTTTCCGGTCGCAGGCGGAGCAGGAAGATTCCACATCTCTAAACGCCTTGCTGTGATGAACGTGGAATCAAGAGACCTCGAGGACCCATCCAGGCTCTGTTGCGTCTGAAGGAGAGAGTTCGACAGGCCGGCGAGACCCAAGCTGCTCAACGCCTTGATAAGCGCCTGTCCGTCTTGCTGTGAAGCTACATCCCGGCGCCTCAGATGACTGTCATATTGGGCTCCACGGAATGCTAAACTCTTGGCTCCGTCGTTTTCGTACTCGAGACGAGCCAATACAGTCGACAGCGAAGCGTCCTGGGTCAAGCCGTAGTAGGCATCTGGATCGTCGATATTCTCAAAGATATCCAGCAAGATCTCGCTCGTGTCCCCAAGTCCCTGAATCGCGGACGAACGGCGAGACTGGCGTGTAATCTCGGTGGATGCCAACTCGGCGAACAGGAGAGCAACTTTATACATCCCGCATCGCGTAGCAGCGGCCGCGGCGGTTGAGAAGTTGACCTCGAGCCAGTGCAATCGATCCGCTATAGATGTCTCATTTGGATCTGCCTGTGTTCTGAGGTACAGAATTGTGTTGATCAGGAGCTTCTGGTTGTCTCTGGCTGCTGGTGAAGTGGAGGCCAGCCATTCTTTCAAGGCTTCCGAAAGCTTCTGCTTCATCCCTTGGGTTTGATCTAGCTCGTATTCCAGCACATTATGGACGATGAAGGGGAAAGCTTGCTCAGCAAAGCCTTTGACCTTTGTCAAAATGGGAGGCAGTACCCTAAGTGCTACGCTCCCGGGTACTGACTGAGCCAAAAGTGTCGTGAGTTGCTGTGCCCAATCCGGACTTTCCAAGAATTCCGCAGAGAATATCTCGGCCTCGTTGGGGTGTTCGACACCGAAGCGATCAGACCGTGGTATGCTAAGCTCTCCCCAGTCCGATGCTCCTTGCAACGACTCTGAAAGAGTCTTTTGGTAGGCGGTGACCAAGGGACGATTGTTCTCATAATTGGCATCAGATACTGCTACACGGAGGGCAGCCTCAGCCAACCCAGCCCTAAAGTTGTCGCTACTTGCAGTAAGAGCTTCAACCAGGCTAAGAAGAGCCTCCTCGGACTCCATGAAATCAAAGTTTACTGGGGATTTCTTCCGATACTCCTGGAGGCGCGATTCGCGCAAGAGCTCTGGTGGTACGTCGCCTGAGGCTGCAAAGGACCGACCGATAACTCGTCCGGCCCAGGCCAAGTACTCGCTACTAAGCTTCTTGGAACTACAACTCATCCAGACAGCGGCACCATGGGCCAACGCCTCTTCGTCGCTTTCAATCACGTCCAAGCGAGTTGGTGGTGGAACATTGAAGGATCCACAGAGCATGGACAGAGCAACCGATCGAGCCGGCTCGTTGAGAAGCTGATGCTTTCGACCCCAATCCTTGAGAATCTCCAAAAGCAACTTGCTTTCGTGGGTGCCCTTCTCTGCGTTGCCCATGGCACGGATATTAGCAGCGGATTGAGTGATGGCCTTGAAAGCTTCCCTTTGTGTCTCATCCTTCCATGCACTGGTGTTGTAGTTGGCCAGGTATTTGGAGAACCATGAGTGAAAGAGCTGTGCCTTTGATTTTGTCGCCTTGAACTGGCTCTCCTGGGTTGTACTCGATTGGCTCGACTCTAGGAATACCCGAAGATCAGCTAGGCATGAAAGAGCATACCCAGCAAGGAATGAAGGAAATTTGACCAAGTGGTCCCTTCCCCTGGTAAGGAGATATTGGGTAATTCCCAGGGCATCATCGGCGCACTCTGGATCAACCACGAAAGCCCGGAGAGAATGTAGTAGCATCTCCAGAGGGTAGCCATACAGGGCAGTGCTGCTTGCTAGGCAAATAAGCACACGGATCTTCCGTAGCACGGAACAGGCATGCAATGGGCCTAATGCCGGGTGAATCGTGTTCAATAGCTTTCGAGCTACGAAAACGACAAGAGCGGGTGTCCATATCTCATGTAGCTCATAGTTGGTTCTCTTAACGAGGTGCAGTATCTGGTGCTGGAGGAACTTGGCCTTGAACATAGGCTGCTGGTTTGGTGGAAGTGTTGTGTTCAGATGACCGAACGCTTTGATTTCTTCCATGATGTCCGCTGCATAGGCAAAGTTGGCATCTTTGCGGAACCACTTCTCGATAGGAGCCTCTTGGTCGCATGTTTCGAAAAAGATTGCCAGGATGTCGGCGAAATTGAGGATTATGTTGCTGTTGTAAGGCTCCGCTCCGATGATCTTCCTCATGCGGCTTTCTCCGGTCACTTCGTTTGGGGAGCTTGAATCGTGTGCGATGCTGTACGCCATGATCTTGCTGAAGTTCTGTGTGACCAAATCTCTTATACTAAGCTTCAAAGTTTTAGCCAGCTCGCGGGCGTCCGTTTCATGGCCGCGCATGATCATTATACCAACAGCTTCTGACTGGCCTTTGGAAAGGAGCTCTGCCAGGTTCGAAAACCCAAATATGCTGTATGGAATCTCGTTGATGGAGTCGACCACTGTCCAAGTAAAAAGTATCTGGGGGGCAAAAAGCGTGAACAAATCTTGAGGGCTGCTGAGATTCAGACACCTCGACATCCGCTTCAGGCTACTTGTCGCATAGCTTACCGATGTTTGGTTCTTCCCAGTGGTCTCGAACACGTGGTAAGTACACCGACGAAGCAATGTAGGCCATTTGCATGCGAGTTCCGCGAGTGCAAACAGACGAAACGCGATTCCCTCCGTTCCTTCACCGGGAAGCACTTTGAGGATATCGACAAATATGTCGTCGTGAGTCTTGAGAACATAGAGCCCAAAGATTCTCGGCAAATTAACGCCAATGAAGAACCTGACATCCATGGGCGCGTCTTTTAAGATCGTCAGAAGCGTAAATAGGGTGGGAGGGAGCTTCAGAATCTGTGAGGCAAACATAGACTTGACCTCCAGCAGACGGAAAAGAAGTCTCGAAAACCAAATCTGTGCAGTAGTTGAAAGCGAATTGTTGGGCAATGCTTGTTTGACGAGCCAGTAGTATATATCGCCCACCATGTTCGAGATCTCAAGCTCCTCATCGGTCCACATGGTGATGAATCCCTCCATGATATCAATCAGAGTACATATGGCAGCTTCACAACAGGAATGTCTGATTGTCTCGCCGATCCTTTCAACCATCCTTATCGCGAGATCAGCAGGTGTGACAACATCTGATGCGAACAACTCCTGCATGAAAAGCCGGCATGACAGAAGATCCTCGTCGGAGAGCTCCAAGAGGTGGTCCACGATCGGATCAGGCACCCGGCCAAGCTCACCGTCGTCCGCACGGATGATCCTAAGAAGGTGTAGCCGAAGGCCGGTGTCGAGGTAAAAGGCCTCGGGAGTGTGATTGAGTGTGATGTCCCTCCTGGGTAGAGATTTTTTGCTCGCCGTTGCACTTTTGTGGGTTGCCTGGGAATCGAATTCATCATCGAGATCCATAGACGCTGGATCGTTATCCGTGGGAGACTCTCGCCGGGATTTCTCCAGCAAACTGTTTGAGATTGTGGCAAAGAGCCTGAGGGCATATTGTTGCTCGCGTTTAAAATGGGTTAACTCAGCCTCACCCAGGGTAGGGATGTAGGGCGCAGAGGCTTGAAGGACAAGATTGAAGAAAGATTCATTCTGGGGAGACTCAGAAATCGCCTTCATCATGCCCTCAACGATGCCAAACACGGTTATCTCCAGATCCCTCGACATGGAAGAGTTGAGACCGACGAGCTCGGGCATGACGAATGCTCCAACAATACAAGCCGAAACGACGCTAACTAGGCGATCCGTAGACACAGGAGCCGGGCTGTCGCTTCCACGCTTGTGCCATGATTCTACTATCTGTGATAGTTCCTCAAGCTTTGGAAAGAGCAGTTCCAGAATCAGCCGCTTTGTCGAGTGGGAACTCGACAAATCAACCGCCCGGGTTTCCTCCGCCTTTGGCTGATTAGTTGATGTTGCTTTGTGCGAGTCCTCTGGGGGGGCCTCATCTTCCAAGAGCAACAGATACCGTATCATTGCATGACGCTGCTTTTGGGTTGCTCGGAACTGAGCAACGGGGCCGCCAAAGACAGCGAGGGATGCATTCATACAAAGAGCCGGCATCTCATAGCAAGCCCGCAGGAGGTTGATAAGGTCTACCGGTGCTGCATGTACGGCATGAAGTGAAGCATATGCGGACTGTGATGGATTCCACTTCAAGAAAGCCCATCGAATAACGTGACTGGAAGTTGATTGACTGGCATTGGGGAACATGGCGTTGCGGACCCGCAGTAAGGTCAACATCAGCACAAGGGACGAGTCAACGAGCATCGCCGGTCCGCTGATATCGGCAGTCGTGATGATCTGGTTGACGTCGCCAGCTAGTTCATGGTCAGAAACTAGCTTCGCTTTCAGAATCCAGTCCAAAAGGACGCATGCAGAGCGGCTCGTAGGGGGTAAGCTCAGGGATCTGACACCAATTTGCCATACTTGCTTCCACATGGCAGAAAGGGATGGGTCGCGAGACGTTTCGTGAGCCGCCAGGCTAGAGCATGCAACCATTGCCCACGAAGCTACCAAGCCTTGTTTCGCTGAGATGAACTGTGACAAATCCACCAATACCTCCTTGACCTCCTCGAGAGATAGATGCTTCAACGCGGACAGGAATGGTATAAGCTGTAGAGCTGTGAATTTTACCGCGGCATCCGGCGACATAAGCTTTTGGTGTATTCGGTTCGAGCTTCCTATCACTCGGCGCCTTTTCCGTGGTTTGTCGGGCTCATCTTCTGGGTGCTGACGATCTCGTTGAGAACTCTTTGCGTAAACTGTCTCCAAAAGGGCAATGTTTTCAAGCAAGGCCCAGTTCTGTTCCCCCGCTGGATGATATGGACGTAGACCGAATACCATAGTCGATGGGTGATCTGGGGGCAGTTGCATGGTTGAGAAGGTGACGTCCTCGAGCTGAAGGCGGGTCTTGTCATCGCGCCTAGAGTACTCGGACCATAACGAGTCGAGCAAATCTTCGGTATCTTGCAAGAGCATATCATCCGTTGCCTCCCGAAGCAAACTCTCCAAGTACAAGTGTACTCCGTATAGGGTCTTGAGCATCTCATCCCTAATGGAATTCAACATGGCATCTCGAGATAGGGACCGAGGTTGCCAGCAGTGCGATAACACTGGGACCAGTGCCGTGGCTATTGTCTTGGCCAAAGCTATGTCCTCGGTTTGTACCCGCACCAAGATGTTGTTAAGTATGGAAAAGGACTCCCTTTGTAGCTCGCCTACCTTGATCTGACGAAGGGTGAGCACGCGAAGCACAAGTTGAGAGACCCTTTCTGCTCTCCTCAGAACTGGAGCATTTGACGCCGACGTGAGTGCCTTGACACATGTCAAGAAGTCGAGGGCCAGTTGGCCATTTACTTGGCCATGTGCGGAAAAGAGTCCAACTGAGCCTGCTCTTGAGGTAGCAGGTGCTCCCGGGGCTGGGGAAGCGCGGGATGAAGTGCCCAAGTCGCGTTCGGCAGCCTCTAAAAAGCGGGAGAGAGCATTCAGGCAAAAGTCAATCGAAACCTCCCATCCTTCGCCCTTGTCCTTCCATCCTTCGCCCTCGTCCTTCGGCTTGAAAGTAGCTAGGGTTTCGACATTGGCTGGGACGTTCAATAAGGCGCTCAACGCCTTGACGTATCCCTTGAGTAGGGGTTCGAAGAAGTTCTCGTCGGAATCTAGAAGAGTTTGCGTGATATGATCGACGATGGCCCTTGCTGTTTTCCTTTTGACCTTGGAGGCACCATGTTGAACAGCTAGACGGAGTGCTTCGGCGCAGTTCTCGAGTCTTTTAACGCAGGCATCGCGTATTCTGTCGGTGGTTTTCAGCGACTTTTTGCCGATGAAGTAGGCTTCCTTTTCGATACGGGTGCAGCCGAAGAGGGCTTCATAGACGGCATGATATATCTTGTCATCAAAGAGTTTTTGGCCCTGACTTTCGGCCTGGGAGCCTTTTTCGTCGCTCTTGAAGTACGATATTAATGCTGAATCACGGGCCGTCAGTCTTGTGGTCCAAACACAAAATCTGCAGTTTTCTGTATGGGGGGCCACTCACTCTTGACAGCATTACCCCGTTTTTTGATAGCATTTTCGGTAAGAAGACCTGTGTTGTGTCAGGGTAACCATTCTAATGGGGTCTTGTGTGCATCTTCTCTTCGCCTACCGATGAGCTTCTTCAAGTCTTCTACCGTCTCGGTTGCTGGCGCCATGTTGAGGTCTGACCAGGCCGTCCACCATCTGGCCGGTCTCTGTTACACTCAGTAGCACAGTCTCGTAAAAGATGTTATGGTCGACAATGATTTTGCTTCCTTCACAGGGAGGCGACGGGATGGTTGAACAAGTGCGGAAGGATGCCTGTTCGAGAAAACAAAAATCTGAATGGACAAGGCAGCCAGGGGGTGGTTGTCAAGGAAACCATCTACAATGCCATTAGTCGGTTAATAACACCGTGACGGCAAAGCAACTCTGCAATTGAGCAGCAAGGTTCTTATGTTCTGGAAAATCCGATATGTACCGAGAAGAGAAACGAAATGGAAAAGAGAAGGTTGAAAAGGTGATGAGAAGATAGTCGAAAAAAGACAATTACTACAATGGGTGTCATGGCGCTATAACATTGGATTACAGGGCCGCTGTTGTTGCTGAGCGCATGTGGTGGGCAGAAGTGCGTCTCAGTTATTGATCTTGATGATGTCCACAAAGGAAAGTGAAGAGAGTGAAAGAAATTTGCAGTTCAAATCTGATACCTGATATTTTCTCAGTCTTTAATCTTACCAAGTCCAAAAAGTGCATCTTGATGGCCATCAGAAGGAAGGAAGGAACTGATGCTACTGCCTGGTGAAGCTATGACCACCTCCCATCACAGCTCCTTCTGAAAGTCAACAACAAAACAGTCGATGCAAAAGTCTTGGCGCGCCTCAACACGCGGCAGAATCGCTCACCGCCAAACTTTTTCCAGCGTCCCGTCAGAGGCCGTCACCAGTAGGGGCACTCCCGCACCACCTTCCCGCGGACGTCCCACTGTAGCACCCGCTGGCCGCCATTGACAGCAGCGCATTCTGCCGCGATCATTGGCCGCAATCTCGACGACAACTCAAGCTTCAGTGGACTGCGACAACCTTGGAGAATTCCATCCCGCTTTTGTTCGCTTCCTTCTCTCCAACAAAGTGAAGCGCGTCACCAACTCGGTTGTCGCCGATTCGCAGTCTTGCCCCAACATCACGACCACCGAAAAATCCTCCAACACGCGCCGGCTCGTGCTTGGACTAATTATTAGAACACGACAGGAGGGACACCCGCACACAGAAACTAGCGCCCACCGAGATTCGCGATCCAAGAAGCGCATTGGATTGAGAGCGTGCGCATCACGGAAGCCCAACCACGGCCGTCGCAGTCTTCACGAGTCTTCAAAAAATGCGCTGAGGCGCTCCGAGTCCATCACCAACACCGACACCGACAGCACGCCCACCCACCCTCGATCTCTCCTCCCACCCGACGACAATCATGGCCGAACTACGCAAATTCGAATCCCTCTACGCCCTCCACACCGAGCTCCAGGCTATCAGCCAACAGCGCTATGAAGAGCTCCAGACCGTCGAGCAGCTGCTCGAGCAGCACGCTGATTCCTTCAGCAAGTTCCTAGACAAGCCGGCCCGGAACGCGACCAACAGGACGGCCCTGCAGAGCGGCAAGATCAAGGTTCAGGACGAAGAATATGCCGTCACCCAGGACTTCATCAACGACGCCCTTAAGCTTGCCGATGAGCTCGATCTCGACGAAATCGAGGCCGCCCGTGTCCTCCTTGATGCCGATGCCGAGGGCGACCAGGCCAGCTTCGACCGTCCCTTGTGGGTGTGCGGCCTCCTCCGCTTCCAAAACGAGCGGAGTTACCTGCTCGACTGTATGCGCCTTTGCATCCAGATAGCAAACGACGAGGATATCGACCCCTCCGTGCAAGAAGGCTTTGGCCAGGTTGTCGATGAGAGGATCTTTGGCATTCCCGCACAGGGTAGCAAGCCCCAGGCCGGTGCCCAGAAATTCGTGCCCAAGTGCGTGGCCGGATTCCAAACCATCAGGTCGACTATGCAAAATATCGGGGAGAAGGTGGCAGCTCAAAATGTCCTGTTTCAGCCCAACGTCTCCAAGCGAATGGACCAACAAGAACCATCCGAGATCATGCGCCTCAAGCTAATAGAGCAGCACGAAACCCTTTCCCTCATACTGTGTGCTGCCGTCGAGAAGAAACAAGCCGAGTCCAAAGATTTCAAGGAGTTTATCCAGTTTCTGAGGAAAGTAGACAAATACGATCACCTACTAGGTAAGCCTTCCTTGATCGATCATCTCTGGACCTTGCAAAGACTAACCTCACCCAAGTACATCTCATCCCGGTACTTGGTGCCTATATCGCAACCTTTGGTTCCAATGTGGGTGGTGGAGACGTTGAGCCGGTGCGACAACTGAACGAGTTCATCTGTGGAAGGACGGCCGAGGATGTCTGGGCGATACCGAGTCTCGGCGCTGCGGTGCGCGCATGGTGGATCGCCGAGTATAGCGGCTGGTATCACGACGATTACGCCGGCTACGAAGCGCGGGGCATCAACCTTGACAAGGAGGACGAGGAGAGGACAAAACAGTTCATGGATGCCCTAAAAGACGGCGCCTTCGACTTCCTTCTCGCCGTTGCCGCCGATTGCCATGCGCATAACCAGGACTGGCAGGACCCTACACGCTGGGGAATGCGTCAATGGTTGCAGCGTAAGGCTCTGCCTCTGGCATCTGAAGCCCTGCCATTCGCGCCCCATTTTCACACCAGTTTGATGACGCACCTCGAGGTCCTCATCGATGCTGCTATTTCTAATATCCCAGACGTTCTGCGTAAGTTGAGGACAGAGGAGGACGAGCAGCGCCAGTTGAGCCAAACACATGAGCAGGACCTTGATCTGGAACGGTTCCTCATGATCATTGCCTACGCCTACGATGGCCGACCGGACGCAGCCATGACCTTCTGGGAAGATGCCGACAGCAACCTCTCCGGCTTTTTGAATTGGGCGTCCAGGAGAGCTTCCACCCCTCTGGTCAGCGCATTCTGCGAGATGCTCCAAGCTCTTTCCTGTAATGAAGAATGCGCAACGGCCGCCCACAACTTCTTGCTCGACGAAACCACTCACTCGGGGGGCAAGTTGAAACGCTCAGCCTCCTTGACCTGGAACCAAATCTTCAAGGAACTCAAGTTCTTCATGGAGAAGCTCCAGACCAAGCCACTTCCAGCACAGTCTCAACTTGTCCGCCACCATGCGAAGCCCAGCAGCGATCAGGCCGAGACTGAACCTGAATCCGCCATGATGCTGGAGTGCTATCTGCGCCTCATTGCCAAACTCGGCTATGAGAGCCCAGTCGCCAGAAATCTTCTGCTTCTCGACACAAGCGTTGAGCTGCCCGAAACTCTGATCAGGCTGGCCAGTGCCCAGATACCCGGCCGTCTCCGGGCTTGCGTTTTCAATGCTTTCCGAGCCCTTATGCATGGCAAGACCCATCAGGAGTCGGAAATCATGTGGGACTTTATCGACCTTTGGCTAGTAGGCGGTTGGGGTCCCAAGGCGGACACACAACGAACCGTGGCAATGTTGCAGCCCAGTCCTCAGGCCGTGATGGATGCTATTTTGGATGACATCAGTGATGGATTTGAGCAGCCCGTTGCGTTTATCCAGCTACTTAATTCCCTCATCCAGCCATCGGTTGATGATGGAGAGCTTTGCGACAGGCTGCCTTTCAAGGAAGCGCTTGGCACCAGTAACCGACTGTCCGGCGTTGATGTCTATGTTGACTACGTATTTGGTCTCGTGTTGACCAAGAAGGCTAGGGATATCACCGACCCTATGCAGTTGAGGATCCTGCAGCTCAGCTGCCTGGAGTTTGCGCTGGCTTCTCTGGCATCGTTCAACGAGGACCTGATTGTCTTGGGCAATGAGAGCAACGTGAATGTTGATCTCGCCATGTCTACTTCCAGCCTGGAAGCCTACGTGCGGTTGCACCCATTCGCCCGGGTTATGGAGTGGATGTTCAATGAAAAGGTTGTGAACATTCTTGTCGACATCATCAACAGGGATGCGGATGTCCTTGGACAGTCATCCCACGATTCCCCCGTTGTTATGGGTGTCTTGCGAGCCGTCCAGGTCATGATCAAGGTCATTGAGCTACAGGACACTTATCTCGATCTCGTCCGCCCACTTATCAAGAAGCAGTTTGGACAGCGAAGCCGCTCTGTCGCAAGCGGGGCTTATTCCGCTTTTGAGGATGGCATCATGAACCACCTGTCTCTCGTGGAGGATCTCGGTCGGTTCACCAACCTTGGAAACCCCGATCTCACCTGGGCTTCCCTTAAGCTCTTGGAGAAGATCTCGACATCCTCCAACATCATCTCAGCCTGGGAACCCGATGGTCGTCACGCGCATCGCAACAAGGCCATTGTCCAGCTCGAGAGGGGCGGTGCAGGTGTATCGATCGCCGCATCTTTGGCCAACACCATCGCCGAGACGCTCGATCCTGTTCAGGAGGCCGAATCGCCAGGTTACCAGACCAAGATTTTCATTTTGGATTTTCTTTACAAATGTCTCAAAGCCAACCCGGACAAGCCCACTATTGCTCATTTGCTCCTTGGCTTCCGCTGCGAGATCAATGGACTTGCCATCGAACCCAATGGCGCCTTTGACATTCAGCGCTCACTCTTCCATAGCCTTTTGAACGCGTTCATTGGCCTGTCAGTTTACCAAGAGGAGTTGGGCATGCGCGGTTATCTAATAACTCTGAAGCGGAAGATCCTGCGCATCTTCCAGATCCTCTGGAGTTCACCCCTTTCTTCCAAGTTGGTCATGGAAGAGTTGCGAGCTACCAACTTCCTCTTCCACACTCTACTCCAAGAACCACAAGTCCAGCCACACCTCAGGTGGGACGGTGCAGAAGCGGTCTCTCCCGAGTTCCTGGTCACCGACGCATCGCATTCTTATATCGAGTTCCTTGCGACGCGTGCCATGGCCTTTGAATACATTGCCAAGGAGCTTTGCAGTGTTTCCCAGAAACGGATACCCACTGTCAAGCGTCAAATCTTTGATGCTCTGAACGGACAGATCCGGGTCGATGACGACGAGCCCATCAACATTGCTAATATCTTTGACTTTTTTGACTTTCTCAACATCGACTTTGTGAACATTCCCGCCCCAGAATTCGATATCTACAGGGACATCGACCTCACCCCATGTGTCGAGGAGGACGCGATGACGGGCTCGCAGTTCAATGTCCACAAGGTTCACCAGTTGGCTTTGCTCAAGCGCGCCGAGAGACTCAACCGGGACAACCCGGAGAAGAAGGATACCCAGGCCCTGATCACACAAGATGAGCTGGCAGCTTGGGACCGCGAGCAGAGCCTCTTGCTCGAATACGTCATCTACCGCAACCGCCAGAAGCAGTTCAGCGCCCACCGGCTCAAGGTGCTCCGGGCGTGGACCAACATCCTTCTGGTCATGTTCGAGGCCAACGACTTCAAGGGCACGGCCAAGATGGCTTTCCTCCTGCAAGCGTTGCAAGCCACTCTGCCCAGCCTCGAAGCCTTCAGCACGCTCAGCCCCGCCGAGGCCTTTGAGCTCGCTCGCGTGGCCAAGGTGCTGCTCTTCAAGCTCGACCTCTCGGACAAGGGCGACGATGTCACGGACAAGGACATCGGCAACCTCATCAGCGACAAGCTCTTCCAGCTGTTCCAAGTCTGCCTCACCTCCATCGCCAGCTGGGTCGGCAGTGCCGATTTACGCGCCCTCTACTACTCCATCTGCTACCGCTATCTCACCTCGGTAGTCGACAAGACCACGGACCACACCGGCACCACCACCAGCAACACCCTGGCCACCGCCCGCTCCCGCGCCATCAAGACCATCCAAGCCTACGGCGACCGTCTCCTCAACGTCATCTGCGACGACGCCTACGGCTCCGACTCGACGTGCCAAACCGCCGCCATGATTCTTTTGGGAGCCCTTGTCCACCTCGACCACACCACCACGGCCTCTGGTCTCCAGCACACCAACAACCTCGACGGCTCCTTCGTCGTCAACGCCCTCAACCGTCTCAACTTCATCGGCGTCCTCGTCGACTCTCTCAAGACCATTCTGCAAGATTGGTCCGCCGCCACCACCTCTTCCTCTTCCCAACCGTCCCAACCATCTCCTTCGGTTCCCTCCCACCAACAACAACTAGCTCTCACACAACAAACCGCCTCGGCCACAGACAGCCAGTACCTCCTCTCCAAACTCTCTCTCCTCCTCGCCCTCTGCCGCTCCAAGCTCGGCTCCAAATTCGTTCTTCAGTCGAACCTCTTCCGCGCTCTAGAAGTGTCGGGTGCCTTCTCCACCGACCCCGAACTTCTCGTAGCTTCTTCCTCGGGTTCCACGGGCTCCACGACTGATGTCCGCGCTTTGGAAAGGCACTATACACTTTTGGTGTATCTAGCCAGAATCGTCTCGGCGGCTGTAATGGCCGGCAAGAAGCGCGGGAGCCATAATGCGCTGCAGGGACGTAAGTTTTTGCAAGGGGCTAGGGGGTTGGTGGTTCAGGTTTTGAAGAGGAGTGTTGGGATTGGTGGTGGTGGTTCGGGGAACCTTGGTGTTTCCATGAGGGCGGTAAATGGAAGTGCGTACGGCAGCACTGCTGTTGATGGTGGGATAAGCCGGGTACAGCTGGAGTTGGAAGAACGGGTGGATGAGCTGGCGGAGGCGTTTATGTTGCTGATTGACGCTACGGGGTTTTTGGAGGTGAGTTTCCCTTGACCCTGATGAAATCCACTGCATGAGGAGGTGGTGAAGAGATGATTTGTGCTAACGGATGATATTTCAGTTCGAGGAAGAGCAAATGCCTGCTGAGAAGCCGAAGGGTGGTTTACTCTTTCATTAGAGGGTCATCAACCACTCAACGAGCTAACAGTTATGGGCTTGCATGAGAGACTGGAGGTAATTGAGAGAGAAAGAAAGTATGCTGAGAGAAGGGTGGTGTGAGTGAGAGAAGAAGAAGAGGTCGAAGAGGAGGCAGAAGAAGAAGAGAAAGGAGAGAAAAGAGATGGCCTCATAGCATCGAGGGAAAGGAAGGGAAGGGATGGGAGTTTTGTGTACTGGTACACTGTTGGTGTCTTTTCAGGTTTACATCATTTGACAGTAAGAAATTGTTTTTCGGTTTTCCATTATCGAGTTTCAATTTGGCAAGCATTTCGGCGTTGAGTCTAAATTGGATGTGAAGTTGGTGAAGAGCGGCGAAGATCGAGCTGTGATGTTGGAAGTTAGATTGCTGTTAGCGTTGAAGGCTTGATAGAGCCGAGATGCTTAACGCGAACTTGCGCGCCGTTAACAGAGAAGACGCGTCCCACTTCCCCGCGATAAATGGGTTGCGCCCACAAGTGCCGTACAGTTATCGCCGTTTGCCGCTGACACGGTGCCGGAGCTCCTCCCCCACCTGGGATTGTAATGGATTGTTAACTCCGTCATCTCGACTTTGAACTCTTCCCATGCACCATCTCAACTCTTGAGACAAATAACGACATATATCCTTTGTTGACAGAAGATTGGCTATATAAGCTGCCGCGCGGGCGAGAGAAGACGTTTGTGGAAACGACTTGTCCATCGATGCCTTCGACCAGCTCTGCCAATCCGTCCGAGTTGCCTCGTGACAACGACAACGACAACAACATTACAACCAGCCATATTCATCAACATACGCCATCATCACCTCCTCCCGCTACCCCGACCAAGCGCCGCTTCGACGACTTTAACCTGAAGGATAAAAGCGCCCAACAATCGCATCCTCAAACAGCCGCATCATCCGGCACCAATACTGCTGCTCCCCCAGACCCCAAGCGCTCCCGCTCCGAATTATTCGCAGCTTCTTCCGCCACCCACCCGACAACAGTCACCACCACCACAACTCCCACCATGTCCGCCAAACTCAAGGGCAAACGCCCCGCCTCCGGCCCGCCAGAGGTAATCGACCTCACCCAAGGAAGTAACAACTCCGCGGGGTCTTCGCCTGTTCCCACCTCTTCTCATTCGCACATTAGAGGACTACCACTAGGCCGAACGTCAACAGCGCCGCTCAACCCCAAGGGCGGCGGCATGACCAGCAAAACACCAGGGGGCACCAACTACCTCCAAACACACATTGGCGCCCGCCGCCTCGTCGTCAAGAACCTCCGCCCTGTGGCCACCCAGACTCAGACCGAAGAAGCGCACTACGCACGCATTCGCGGTGATTTGGATGCCGCGCTCAAGGCTGTCTTTAGCGGGCACGGTGCTGGTGCTGGTGCCGGTGCCGGTGCCAGTGCCGCTCCTGCTCTTGGAGGCCACAGTCCTAGTCCTGGCCCAGGTCTGGGTCAGGGTCAGGGCCAGGGTCGTAGCGGAGTGAGCAGCAATACCACAACAGGCGGTCAACCGATGGAAAAGCTATACCGCGGGGTAGAAGATATTTGCCGACGGGGGAATAAGGAGTCCGGGGAGTTGTACGAGTGGTTGAAGGATCGGTGCAAGGGGTGGTTGAACAGTGACAAGGTGCTCAAGGCGCTACTGGCGGCTGCTCCGTCTATAGCCACAGACGCGGGAGGGGAAGAGGATGTGATCCTGCTCAGGGCGGTGCTGGCCGCTTGGAAGAGGTGGATTGCGCAGCTTTTGGTGATCAGGTGGATCTTCAGCTACTTGGATAGGAGTTATCTACTTCCTGGTGGTGGTGGGACTACTGCGGAAGGGAAGGGCAAGAGTAGTGCTGGTGGGAAGAGGGAGGGGCCAACGAGCGTTAATGATATGGGTATCAGTGCGTTCCGGAGCGCCATGTATAGCTCGAGGAGCAGGAACGGCGCTAATATGCTCACCATCGGCGCACGGGTGGTTAATGCCGTGTGCGTGTTGGTTATGTTTGACCGGCTCGATGATAACCGGTTCGATTCGCAGCTGTTGAGGGAGTCGGTGGCCATGTTGAGGCTCTGGGGGGTGTACGGAAAGGAGTTGGAGCCCAAGTTCATCAACGAGTCAAGAGAGTATGTGAGGAGGTTCGCGGAAGAGCGCAGCGAGTCGTGCGGGCTCAAGGAGTACATTGTTGCGTGCGAGCGGCTGCTCAACAGGGAAAGCGAGCGGTGCGATGTGTACAACTTTGACAGCACCACTAAGCGCCAGCTTAAGGACGACGCGCATCAGATTCTTATCTTCAACTATGCGGAGAAGCTGCTGGACAGCGGCAGCGTCGCAAAGTTGCTGGATGCAAATGATCTCGATTCCATGAAGGCCCTGTACGAGCTGCTCAAGTTGTCAGGTATTCAGAAGAGGCTGAAGGGACCGTGGGAGCAGTACATCCGAAAGACAGGCGCGGCTATTGTCAGCGATACGGCTAGGGGCGACGAAATGATCATTCGCATGCTGCAGCTGCGCCGCGCGCTAGACGTATTGATTCGCGATGCATTCGGCAGAGACGAGGATTTCACATATGGGTTACGCGACGCTTTCGGGTTCTTCATTAACGACAAGTCGGTGTCATCATCGTGGAATACGGGCACCTCCAAGGTGGGCGAGATGATCGCCAAGCACATCGACATGTTGCTCCGCGGCGGTCTTAAGACGTTGCCCAAGGCATTGTTGTCCGATGTCAAGGACAGGCAGGATGCCGAAAGGAGCGGCATTGCTAGCACGGCCGATGAAGATGCCGAGTTGGATAGACAGTTGGATCACAGCCTGGAGCTGTTCCGGTTCATCCAGGGCAAGGACATCTTCGAAGCCTTCTACAAGAAGGACCTGGCGCGCAGACTTCTCATGGGCCGCAGCGCTAGCCGCGACGCGGAAAGAAATATGTTGGCCAAGCTGAAGAATGAGTGCGGTTCTAGTTTCACTCACAATCTGGAAATCATGTTTAAAGACCAGGAATTAGCCAAGGACGAAATCGCCTCCTACAAGACCTGGCTAGCCGGTAGGGGCGAGGACTCGCCCGTGGCCAATTCGGACCTCGACCTGAGCGTTAACGTCCTTTCAGCCGCCGCCTGGCCCACCTACCCTGACGTCCGCGTCCTGTTGCCGCAAAACGTGTTGGATCACATCACCACGTTCGACACATACTACAAATCCAAGCACACCGGCCGCCGACTAACCTGGAAGCACAACCTCGCGCACTGCGTCGTGAAAGCGCGCTTCGACCGTGGCCCGAAAGAGCTACTCGTCTCCGCCTTCCAAGCCATCGTCCTCGTCCTCTTCAACGAAGCCGAAGAGAAGTCACCCGACGGGATCCTCTCGTACGATCAACTCGCCTCCGCAACGGGTATGCCCGACCCCGAGCTCCAACGGACTCTGCAATCCCTAGCCTGCGGCAAGACGCGCGTCCTCAACAAACATCCCAAGGGGCGCGAAGTCGACAAGACGGACACTTTTAGTGTCAACAAATCCTTCACCGACCCCAAGTTCCGAGTCAAGATCAACCAGATCCAACTCAAGGAGACCAAGGAAGAAAACAAGGAGACGCACGAACGGGTCGCGCAGGACAGACAGTTTGAGACGCAGGCGGCGATTGTGAGAATCATGAAGAGCAGGAAGAAGATGGCGCATGCGCAGCTGGTGGCCGAGGTGATTAATCAGACGAAGCAGAGGGGGGCGGTGGATGCGGCGGATATTAAGGCTAATATTGAGAAGTATGTTTTTTGTTATTATCCCCCGTATACTGACACTTTTTCTGGGAGACAGATTGCTAACCTGCTTGGTGATAACAGGCTTATTGAAAAGGATTATATTGAAAGGGAGGGTGGGAATTATGTTTATCTTGCGTAGAAGGTGGTTGTGTGGGTTGGGTTGGTGTGTTGTCGGTGAGATAGATGGAAGGAGAACGAGGCAAGGCATGGCTGCGTGGGAAAGGAAAGAAGAGCGTCAAACGAGTTTGGAAGCGTTTTTTGGGAAGGATAACCTGTTTTTGTAAGTTTGTTGTTGTGTGATTAACGAATGGCTTTTTGGTATCGTGGGTTTTGCAAGGGACGCATATGTTTATGAATAGGTGTTTTTCATGAATGGATTGGGTTCAACAATCGCCAAGGGTACAGTGTTTGACTTGTATGTACATACTCACTCAGCATGTGATATACAACATATGCCAGCAACAATGCTCTTTTGTCAACAACATCAATTCATTTTGCTTTCTCACCCAGCCCAGCCCAGGGACGGACGGACAGGTTCACTAACTAGTGACGGGTCAAGGGCAGTTACACAAAAGAGGGATACCATATCTTCAAGTACCTGATCTCGAACCATCTTACCTATTCTTAACCCGTTCACTTTGCCCGGCCAATGCCCGGCCGGTCTCAGACATGCATACACATGGCGTATCTGTATACGATACGGACAACACCAAACCCGTAACTCCGGTTGAATGCGGGCGTTGACATGAGGGATCCATGCGTGATTAGGGGGCATGTGTAGGCGAGCAATTTTTGCATGAAGGAAGGAACTGAACAATCGATGTCTGGGTTTTGAAGTGGGTGAGGCCGAAGATGCACTGACTGCTTCGATAAACTTCACTCAAGGTACCGACCGCTACTCAGCCAGCCTGCCGATAACGATGAAATAAATTGATGTTCTCGCTCCCGCGAAGCCAAAGCATCAATTGTGGTGCCCGATGGCGTCTGGTGTGGCTTTTCATGATAGGTATCTCGAGAGGGTAGAATGTCTGGCGAGGTGACCGACCCGAGACCGATTGTACAAGCCATGTTTTTTTTCTTTCCTTTTTCTTCTTCTCTTTTTGGCCTTTTCTTCGCTCTTGGGAATAACCAATATCCACCATGCTGTCTATTTTTCGACCTAAAACATCTTGCTGCGGAAGAACGGTTCTCAACCGATCTTCCAACATCGCACTACAGCGAAAGCGCATAAACCCCCATACTATTCATCCTTAAACAGCAAACCCGACACATCACATCCCCTTCATGGCAAGTCTCGGTTACTGACGTTGTGATGTTCAGCTAAGTAGGGCACCGGCAACAGACACGCGAAAACCATGGTAGTCGTAGTCCATAAACGGGAAGGGACCTGATCTAGAGGCAATTAATTTTGAATTAATTTGCAGTTCCCCCCAGTGCCCCCAGTGCCCCCAGTGCCGAACGAACGTGGCCCCGTGGCACACCCGAAGGCGTGGTGGTGTCTCCGGGGTAGCGCAAACATCGGGGGGCCTTGAACAAGATTGCGAGATTGGGAATCTCTGCCGCCAAGGTCCAACCACGCTGGATGGGTTGAGAGGATCATTTGTGCTGATCCCCGGAACCAGCCGGATCTGCAACAATGGCGGGGGGGAAGAGGCTCAGGGAAGGTCTAAGTCTAGACTTTTTGTCTGTTTTTGTCTGAATCTTTGACCAAGAAATACTTTCAAATGTTTGACTTCAGGTCAGGGTAGTAACAAGGTCGGGATATTGAGCCCGACAGACAGTACTGTCAGGCTGTCAAAGTCGGGATTGTTAAGAAGGAAGGACAAGGAAGCCGTGGCTTGTCAGAATCAGACAGATGGATGTCCTGTCGCACCAACAACGACGTTGTGCGAGTAGCTCCTCGTCGGGCAGGTAGTACTTGAAAGACTCGAGAGCACCCGATCCGAACGTGGACGCGCAACGAGGGAAAGGTACACAGCAGACAGAGACTTGGGGCTAGAAGACATGGAAGGTCGAATAGATCCCCTTCGGAGTCTGGATTTATTCGCTGTGGGCATCCGCCGCGGTGCAATTGTGTAGAGTCCGAGTCCAATGAAAAGTGTTGTCGACGACAGTGATCGGGATCACTTACAAAAAGACAAGAAAGTCGTCGCTTGTTGACTGACCCCCTGCCCCTGGTTATAGTGGGGCCTTTTATACACTCACTGCCACCTCCGCCGGGACATCAACAACGGTACCGAGCTGCACACACCACACGCACGAACGCACGACTCGCTCGGCAGCAGGTGCTGAAGAAAAGCGAAATCTCGCTTATGTGCAACATCGTACGCGTTTGGATTCGCGGTCGTCAATAGGTGGTAGCCTTTTTCTTTTTCGCCCTCAACCACCGATCTGGAAGTTAACATCGGTGGCCCAATTTGTACCTGCGTCTGATCCAAATTGGGTTCATCATCCAGTGATGCGATGCCGAACTTGGCCGGGCATGTAACTCGATGCGTTGTCCGTCTTTGGCTTTCATCGCTTCATCGAATGAGACGACGAGTTGCGGTCAAGACAGCTTTGACTACAACTATTATCCCAACCTACCTTTCCACGCTTTCGTACGTTAGTCCCGTCGCTTGCGCTCATCTGGAGGCTGAAAGAGAGCCACTGGAACGCCACAGACCACCACAATCACCACCATCTCTTTGGCAAATTCGATTGGTCCACCGAGTTCACCCAATGAGAGCTATGGAAGGCTAATGGAAGCACAAAGTCGGCTTCATGCACCGAGCCAATGCGCAGCCAGCAGCAGCAGCGAAAAAGATGCGCAAGACAGGTCCCCTGCATTCTACAGCATGTACGTACCTACCTTATAAAATGCGCCATTCAATAATTGATCACCATGCTTCTCGCCTACCCACCTGCTTGCCTTTCTCGTCCACATCCGTGTAACCAAGCCCCAAGCTCCCGTTGGTGATGGCCTCTTTCGGGACCCCTGTCGACCGTCGTCGTCGAACGGTCATCCACGCCCCTGCTCCACTCCGCATGCATCCCCAAGGTACGAGACACTCTGCTTGTTTCAACGTCGAAATCCTCGAGGACAACACTCATCGACAGTCTCATCATCCACCATGGTCGGCTCATCCAACGTCCTTGAAGGAAGTGAGGGGAGAAGGCTATTGAAGCTCGAGGACGGCACAGAGAGACACAACAGGACAGCCACAAAAGCCTCAAAAACACCACCATGAACAAAGAAGCATGGGGGTCGGCCTCTTTACCCCTGACCCAGCTCTCCCAAACCGTCGTTAGCTACTGTAGCAGTTTACGCACAGCACTAGTGCCAGCACGGCCACCACGAGCACTACCCAAATGGGAACATTGGGACTTATCCGGCTTCCTTTTTTGTTTCCTCTTCCAACCTTCTCAGCCCTCTTTTCTTTGAGCCATTGCTCTTTTCTCTTCTCCGGTCTCTCCTCAACGTGGTAAACAAAAGACAAGGGTACATGGTTTCATCTCCGCAGCCGAGCCAACCATTAGGACGAACCACGATCCCCCCCATGTCTCTTTGCTAGTGTCCGCTACGCCCCCAGCTTCCATTCTGGCCAGAACACCCGCAGACTCTTCTGCAACCGCCGACCGGCATTGCATCTCAGATTCATAGGTGCCCCCCGGTCCTTCGTCCCATTGGTGTCCCATTGTTCTGTCCCTCGTCTTATATTTACCCGCCTACGTACCCATATTGGGTTTTCCTGGTCCATCCCACCCTTTGGCCTTTCTTAAAAGAGAGCTACTACCTACCACGGGACGCCGCCCTTGGACTGGACCAGACAGATGCCAACAGAGACTTGTTAGCTCACCCTCCCCCCCAACCATCCCGCCTTGTTGGGCCGCCGCCATTCATCAGTCATCACCACTCCCCGGTCACCCTACCTATCCGTCGAGGAACTGGCTTGCAGTGATATAAAGACGGGAAAGGAACCCCCACTTGCTTCGCTCGCTCGCTGCTGCCATCGCTTAACCCCCCGTCCTGGTCATCAACAAAAGGGAGATCGACAGACCTACCGACTACCAACCAGACCATACCGAGACACACGACACACACAACCGATCTGCCTGTCTGACCCGGCCGATCGGGAATTTTCTAGTCCTTCGTTTTACACCTACTACAACTCGAGACCTGTGTTCCACAGAGTGATGTACCACCAACTGCTACGACACTCTGTTACAGCCGTGACATGATGATGTACTTGTTTACCACCCCTTTTTCGTCATCAAAGCCCCGATGGGCCCGGGTTATTGTCAGTTTGGTCGTCGTCCTGCTTTGCCTTATTAGCCAGGTAACAGCACGAGCACTGGCCATCGAAATCAAGGATGACTTGAGCACCTTCATCGACTTTAACGCCCCATTGGATATCGACACCTCGGAACCACCAACCATTAGTGAAGGAGAATGGATCTTGCTATCACCGGAACAGGCGGAGTTGAAGCATGGGGCTGGGGGGTTGAGAAAGCGTGAGGAAAAGGAAACGACCTCCTCTCATACCGGTACCGGTACCGCAGGCGCCGTGGCATCCGGCTCCGTGACAACCACCTTCCAAATCGCCGTTTCCACCATCACCGAGAAACCAACTACAACCACTTCAACCACCACCGCCTCCCCGGCAACCGAGACCGCCGCCGTATCGAGCTCTTTACCCAAATTCTTCGACGGCAGTTTATCCGCCAACTTTGTTCCCAACAGCAACTGCCCGGCCTTTCTCAACTCGTTTCTCAACAACCAGACTTTCAACCAGTGTTACCCGGTCTCACTATTAATGCAGGTCCGTTTTGCCCTCCCCCCTTTCCTTTTCCCTTATAATATTCCCCATGCTAACACCCCCCCACCAGGGCTCCCAATCCTTCTTCCAAGCCCAACGCTCCCTCGTCTCCCTCACCCGCGTCCTCGACGTCTCCTGCTCTCCCAACGTCACCTTCTGCGCCACTTACCTCTCCTCGCTCGCCTCCGATCTTTTGTCAGACTCCAACTGCGGACCCGATTACAGAAACGGCCACACCGTCGTTCGCAACGCTTACGTCGCCATGATCGCCTACGCCCCCGTCTATTCGGCAACCTGTCTCAAGGACACCACCACCCAGGGTAGTGAGGAGGGGTATTGCTACGCAAACGCGGTAATGAACTTCACCAACCCCAGCTCTGTGTATGTCTACCACCTGGCGCTGAACGTCAGCTTGCCCGGGTCGACGGTGCCGACTTGTGGCGGATGTTTGAGGGAGACGATGCAGGTTTATCATGAGGCTGCTGCGGACCGACGGCAACCGGTGGCGGGGGTGTATGTGAAGGCGGCCAAGATGGTGAATGTGGTTTGTGGAGTGGGGTTTGTTAATGAGACGTTGCCGGAGGCGGAGATTGTGGTGTCGTCGAGTTCGGCTGTTGTTGGGATAAAAGGGTTGGGGGCGGTGGTTCCGTTTTTGACGACGGCGGTTGCGGCGGTGTTGCTCGTATGATGATGAGGATGTGCGGCTTGGACGAATTGTTTTCAAAGGCAGGGACGGCATCGATGCTGCCTGTCTGGTTGGGACGGAACTGAACAACAAAAACACTTAATGGCTTTTTGTCTAATGATAATCAACGGTATGTACAGGAAGGAGGGAGGCATGATAGCCTGGATCTGGACGGGATGGGACGGGATGGGAGGGGGTTCGGATCGGAAGCCAAAAGCTACCACCGCGCTACACAAAGCAGCGCCAAAGCAAAGCAAGCGACGGAGTTATAGATGGATTGAGATATGATGGGCAAAACGACCTGGTTTTTCGGTCACGGATTTGGAAATTCTCGGTTCTGGTTCTTGGATATACTTTAAGAGGTGGTCTATTCGTACTGTAAAAAAGGTCTTGTCGGACTGTACCCCACCCAGTCCATGTACCTTGCATCGCCCGCGACAATTGCCGTGCAACCGCGATAGCAATTGCGACAGAAACTGCAACACCCATTGCATTACAATTGTGACCGCAATTCAATTCCGACCATATCAGCAATTGAAATTCTGATAGAAGTAACTTTGCTATAATGATACTAAATGTTGCAGTTCATTTTCAATCGCTGTTTCAATCGCTGTTGTAATCGGAATTCAATCGCGGTCGCAGTTGCATTGCATCTTAGTGCTGTAGTCACTGTCGCAGTCGCTGTCGGAATGCATTAGGTGCTGTGGTCGTTGTCGTCCGGGCGCGATTCCAATGACGAGGTACATAGTCAAATCTGGAGCGATGGAAATGGCCATTTCTGATTGGCTGCACGGGGTTGGGATGAGTGGGGTACAGTCCGACAAGACCTTTTTTACAGTACGAATAGACCACCTCTACTTTAACGACCTCGGAGACGGCGCTTGATAGATACCCTTTTCTTTCTCTTTCTATGGATATATCTCAACCATGGCAACCTTTGGATATTCTTCATCTAAAATAGTATCCTCTTTGCCAAACATATAGCCAATCACAAACTGGTTAAACAAACCACCTTTCAGAGCACTTTGATACACTAACTCCAATCTTCGGGCATGTTTTCGTTGCTTGCTTGTTGTTGTGTATTACCGGATGTGTGTGGAGTTAGTTGGTGGTGTAGCACAGTTGTCACAGCTCTCTCCGTATATTTGTTGGCTAGGGTGATTTGAGATAATGGCTATCTTCAACCCATTCGAATACCTCCTCGCAAAACAAGAGCCGGCCGAGTATGGTTGGTGTAAAACTGTTTACACCTACCTGTTCACTAACAGAGTGAACGGCTCAACTGAGAGAGAGGGAGGTAGGTAGACGAAGATACACACACCTCAGTCGCCCCCAACCAAGATCGTGCTTACGATCACACGAACGAACAAGCGGAAAGACTTTCTTCACCGCTTGACTTCAGACCCCTTAGAACTAGATTTCCACGTATCTGTAGGTATCAATCCAACTACCTACTACATTGATGTCGAATATGTTTTTTCTACTCATGATGGCATAGGTATGTATAGATAGCATGTATATCAGAGTATAGTTCTATTCCCTCGTTTCAACCACAACCACAACCACAACCATCGCAACGAGTAACGAGCACCGAATGGCATGGCATGGCGTGGCAAGCGAGTGTCCCAGGTCTCTAGCTTATATTCTCCGTCGTCGAACCGTCGAATGGTGTCCAAGCTTTTCGTTGTCATCCATCTCTTCCCTTGTCCTGTGCCTTTTTTTGCACCAGTTTGCACCCGCCCGCCTGTCCGGTCCGGCCGGCCGGCTGCCCTGTCTGCCTGTCTGCCTGTCTGCCTTTTTGCTTTGCTCCTCCTGAAGAGCAAGACAAAACAATGAATGCCATGAATGGTGAACCAACCGCAAGTGATGAAAATAATGCCATATAATAATCCCCACTAGGAATTATATAGGGTAGATAGATGAAATCCAAACGCCCTTTACGCCTTTGTTTCTCCTCTCTCACTCCGGGTACTCCCAATTCAAGAACGCCGTTGCCGATTGATGCTTTTTCCATTTCTTTCCGTTTCCATTTGTTTTTGAGACCTAACGCCTAAAGGAAGGAAGGAAGGAAGGAAGGAAGAAAGAAAGAAAGAAAGAAAGAAAGAAAGAAAGAAAGAAAGAAAGAAAGAAAGAAAGAAAGAAAGAAAGAAAGAGAAAAGGGATAGAGTAAAGATAGGGCTCTGAGTATGAGCTTGAAGTAAGCAAATAAGCAACTGCAACTTTGCAGCCTGCGTGCGAGCATTCCTGCTAGGTGTGTGTGTGCTGGCTGTAGGATGTATCTGACGAACGTTTGTGTGTGAATCCAGCACCATCACCACCACTGTTACCACGTAATGCAGTATTGCTTTCTCTACCAATAGAAAATCCTCCAAGATCAAAAAAGGGGGCAGGTGTGTGTGTGTGTGTGTGTCCTTGACTAAAAGCCAGCCAGCTATACTGGTACCCCTTGTCCACCAATCATAGCAAATTGCCTGCCGCCTATATGTTGGTGACTGTCGAATTGTTCATACCATCGGCCCATCCATCACCCAGTCCATCACCGTTCTAAGCCTGATATAAGATAATATGTTGCTGATGAAAGCTGAAATCCTAGGAAAGCAATAACAAGAACCCATGCCCGTCCGTCTGTCCGTTTTCCTCCGGGGCATTATACGTGCCGATTAGACTGACCAAAGGGAGCATGATGAATCAGAAAACCACCAACCGTTCGGACCGTGTACCGACCGATTTTGAGTATATGACCAACCAACCGACCGCCAACCGACCAACCGACCAACCAACATCAACCGGATAAGCGAGTAACCACCAACCCAACCACTGTTTCTATTGCCAACCAACCAACAATGCTTTCAGGATGCGGCTGGCGGTTGGCCATTGGCCTCTTCATGCAAACAACCGATAAAAAAGCCATTCAAGCATTTTCCTTTCAATGTTGCCTTTCTTTCCATAAATTGTTCTCAATAACCCTTAAATTCTTTTCAACGCACCCAAAAGAAAAAGAAAAAGAAAAAGAAAAAAAACCTTATAAAAGCCGTAGTTAACGACTGACGGGCTTCTAGTGTGCCCCTTGCTTATTACTCTGCTCCTCACGATCAACGTCCATCCCATTACTCTCATCGGAAACAGCAGGTGATGCCTCCGAGGTATGATGGGTCTTGGTCCCATTTACTCCGTTCACCTTGCTGGTCGCAGCAGCCGCTCCCTGGACCGCAACGCTCACCCGGCGCTCTGCTTCCTCGTCCTCCAGCCTCTGGGCTTCTTCGTTCTCCCTCATTAAGGCCTCCTCTTGCTCGCGCATTGACCGCTCCTCTTCTGTGAGCGGGGTATCCGTCGGCGGCGGCGGAGGGGGCGGAGGGCTGGGAATCGAGTCTTCGGTTATCGAGTCCTCCTTGACTCGCTTCGGTGAAGGTATCGCTTCGGATGCCGGTGCCGGAACCTCTTGCTCTTCCGCACGCTTCCTCTTGCGGTCTGGGCTGGAGGTGGCAGGGGTATTGTCACCCTCGTCCTCCACGTCTGTAAGGACGATATCTCCATCGGCGTCGGGCTGCTGGTTCTTGACGGGGGCACTGCTGGCGCCGTTAAGGCCAAGTGATAACCTAGGTTCCATTGCTGAACCGCCGTTATTAGGCGAGGGGGCGCCGGAAGATGATGACCCGGCTTTCTGTGCAGCGCGCTGCTCGTTTTCCCTGTGCTTGACCACAGCACGATCAAAGAATTCCTTAACAAACTTCTTGATCTTCTTCGCCTGGTTGGAGGAGATAGTTGTGGGATCATCCACACGGCGGTGCTTGTAGTCGGACGCAACCACTTTCTTGTTGATCTCACGGCCGAACCGCTTAAGGTCTTCCTTGGGAAGTTTTCGGTGAAACTTGTCCATAACGTATTTCACATGGGGAAAGAGCTGAAGGCACCTTGGTCAGCACCAATGCAAGAGGAAGGGGGATTGGTTTACGGGGCTGGACATACCGTGTTCTCGTAGATCTTCATCTGTTTCTCGATCGGAAGAGACCTCCACTTCTCCCTCTTACCATTGTCTGGCACGGGTGTATTGGACTTGGGAGTTTGGTTCGCAGAATGGCGGGGCGTTGGCTCCTTAGTCAAGCTGTCGATGATATCCTGCAAAGCCTTTTGGTTTTGTTCCACCTTGGCAGAGGCCTTGGGCACGTCGACAGCAGGCGTTGTGGGCCGCTGCCACTGGGTGTGGCCGCTCTTATCGTAGAAATAGTATTTGCCTGTGCTATCAGTGGTAACAAACCATCCTGCAGGAAGATTTGTTGGAAGCTTCCGTGGTCTTTGGTTGTTGAAGTAGTTCATGTTACGTTGGGGAATGTTGCTGCGGGGACCAGTGGGCACGACCATGTTCTCGAACGGATTGACGGGTCTCGAGGGATGCTCCTCGTGATTGACGTTGCGGCGGTCATCCTCAAACGAGTTGGTGGTTACGGGGGCGGAGGGGTCGAGCTTCTTGCGCGGGATGCGATAGGCTGTCTCCAATCTGCTCCATTCTTGAAGCAATCTCTTGGACTGCGACGCGACATCCTCATGATCGGAATGGGTGAGGGGCTCGACAGCGGCTTCGATGTTGGAGTCGGTAATCTTGTTCTTGGTAATGCGGGGGAGTTGATACAGGATGTCGAGGATTTGTAGTACGACATTGGTGTCTTCCTTAAAGGTGTTGAGGGTTGTCTTCAAAATCTGGTATCCGTGCATCTTAACCACCCGATTGCGGACATGGTCATTATCCGCGTTCTGAAGACGGCCGAGCAACTTGACGGCAATCCATTTCTCCTTGCACTGCATGAGTGTGGCCATGACCTTGGTGACTCCCTCTTCATCGAGGCCACGAGGCTCGAAGCGGTTGATATACTCTTCATCGTCCTCGGTAGCCTTCTTCTTGCGGGGCTTCTTGGTGGTGGCCGCCACGGCCGTGTCCCAGCTGTCTCCATCTTCGATACCAAGCGCCTCGATGGTGGCAGGAGGTAGTTTGGTCGCACGCTCTGTTTGGGTTTTGCCGCCAATGAAGCCGGTGCAGTTTGGTTCACCGCAGTAGCAGGGCTGCGGGTCGGCGCCGTAGCGGTCCACATTGTAGTTGAACACCAGTTCCTCACCGGCCTTGATTGCGCGCCCGGCAAAAATGCCCATGCGCAGCTTGTCCCCAACCACCCACTTGTCGACATAGCAATTCGGATTGCACGAATGGTTGCAAAACCTGCCGAGGTTGCCCTTCTTAGTGGCATCGACGAACTCGGATTTGGTTAGTGACATGAAGTAGAAGTGCTTGATGCCCTCCTTGTCGTACTTGATCATGCGGCTGCGAAACGTCGGCTCGTTGATCACCTCGCCAATGTACTCGAAAATGAAGTCGTTAACTTGCAAATCCGTGTTTGCCCTGAGGCCGAACCCCTTCTTTTCCGTCTTGATGACCGACACGTCGGCATACTGTTTTCGTTGAAAGCGCTGATTCTGGCATCCGGCACCACAGTTGCAGTCGCCGTCAACGCACTCCATTTTGGTGGCCCGATTGATACAGTCTGAATCTTCCCCGCAAGCATGGTTCATATCTCCGCCTATACGATGAGCCAGGTGTCAGTAAACGGTCAGGGGGCAGGCGGCGGGCGGGCGGGAGGCGGACACGACGCTAGCGGCCAGGGGAAGCTGAAGATATTTTCACTTACGCCATTCTTCCGCACAGTCACAATCCAACGCGTCATGCTCGGATGCACCCATGTTCTTTGAGCCATAGAGACAGTCATGAATGACCTGGAAATGTGTGCACGCCTCTTCCCTCACGTCGGGGAGATGGCTGAAGAGCACCGGTTCCCTCTTCATGTTCTTCTGAGACGCCTTTCGCGAAGGTTTTTGTGTCGGGGCATTTTCGGTGGGAGTTGCTGTGCTCTCACTCGCGGCCTTGTGTTCGTCGGGCGACATGCTTGGGGGTCTCGAGTTTCCAGTCTGGGAGCCGTTTGGCGTGGCCGCATTGCTGGCGTTGCTGGCGCCATCCCGTTTTAGCTTGGAGCCATTCATCTTGGAGTGCTCCTCCGACTTTGATCCCTTCGTCGAGTCCGGTGTGTGACGGCCGTCCTCCATGGTGGATGCAGCAGCTGGGGTCGCCCTGCGCGCACCCGAATAAGGGACTGTGAGTAGTGGTTCGGTGTGTCTGTGTGTCGAGGGAACTTAGGGCACGTTTGCTGTACGAAGTTGGCAGTCGAGGAAGAAAGGTGTTGCCAGGGCTAAGAAGGTGCAGATCGAGAAGGCAACCTAGAGAAAAGGAGACGGTCGGCGGAGTCGGTAGGCTTAGGCGCAAAGGTCATGAGAAGGTGAGAGTGGAGCGAGCGACGGGCTGAAAAAGAAGGTGACGTTTCGGGGTGCTGGAAGGTGAAGCGGCGGTAGAATGATGCAAGTTGATGTGGCCGAGTAGTCGGTTAAAGCGTGTGGTGCTTTCGTGGTGCTTTCGTGGAGGGAAGGAAAAGACGACGGTCGCTGGTGCCGTTATTCTTCTGTTGCCGTTGCGGTGTTGTCTTGGCTCCTTGATCTTTGCGACAGCATGCTCAACTGCGACTGGACCGCTGGCTGGCGACTCTGGATGCTGGAGGGCGTTGGAGGCGACGAACTGTCACGCTTCAGTTGGGGTGAAGCAATTATTGTGAACTGTTGGATTATGGCTCGGGGCAAATATGCTGCCAGAGAGAGAATCGAAGGGTCGGCGACGACGGTGGACGTAAAAGGGAACTGAATGGAGCAGACGACGCGCAGGGCCGAACAAGAGGGAGTCGCTGTTCTCGGCGTGCCAGTTGCAGTCAGAATTCTGAGGGTCTGGGGACGAGCGTAGCAATGGGAATTGTTCGTTCGCGGCGTCGGCGCTACTGCCAATTGGTATCGGCCCAGGGTCAAAGAGATCGCCATTCAAAAGTCCAGTCCACTGCCAGAGTGAGTCTTGTGGCAGGCAATCCGGCTGGGGCCGTGCCACCGTGTAGCTGTCCGGTACTGTGCCGGTGAGTACCTTAGTTTTGCCTGCCGCAGACCTCCACATTTTTGGCAGCCTCGGCAGCCCACGACGGCCCGGCAGCTGAAAACCAATAGCGCTCGGCAGCTGCTGACCCCACCATCAATTGGCGGCGCAATGGCCTGGAATTCCCATTCGACCGGCAAAAAGTTCACCACTTCATCACATCAATTGACAGGGCAATGCTTTTGGATGTGTGGGCGTTGGGCAGCGATTGTTCAGCTATGCGACGTGAGAAGAGCCCTGTTGTTTCATCAACGGGCAAGGGCTTCTCTCCAGAGGGAATTGAAACTGCGAATGGCCCAGTCCGGAATTGGGAGGCCTTGGTGTCATGTCTCTTTCACGTTGTCTTGATGGAGAGAGGATGCCTCAAGCAGAGCGGGAGGTCGGGTCAGGTTTGAGGACATCCGGATGGGGAAGCTCAGGATCCAGGACGGATTCCGGACATAGCAAACCCAACCCTCCATGTCATCTTCACGTCTCTCAACACCGATGACCGACAACATCAATGAGCCCAAAGGGTCTGCATTGTATGTAGGTACTGGCGTTCTCGTCCCAACCTGTGCGCCATCGCCATCTGTGGAACAATAACCACATATCGTGTCCCTTCCATCGGAATTCGAAACTCCTGCTGCAACTGCGTGGCGCTCTTTGCAAACCACTGGTCACTTTTTCAAGCTTACAAGTTGCCTGGTGAGTGAGATACTGCGATGGGTGTAGTGTCTCTGACGGTTTCCGGCTTTGATATATGCTGTACCTACATATCTGATTTCATATGTCAGGGACCGTCCTTTGTGTGCAACGCAGTTGAACCATGTTCTCCCTCCTTTCTGGAAGGACCTCGGCGACACACCCCCATAGTGTAGCACCTCGCCTCGGACCAAAAGATATTTAAAAACAAAAGAGACATGGAACAGGGCGAAACGCATAAACATCATATGCAACCCGGGCGCAGACAGGGCACAACATTGACAGCAAAGCGAACACGACGTAATGGGACAGCCAGCCAGCAACCTAATAAGGCCGGTATCTATATAGTTGATGGCCCGGCAAAGCCTGATATTGCTGGAAATGTTGCCAGATCCGTCCGCCCTGCCGTGCTCTTTGCCATGGTCCCTTGGTGTAGCAAAAGTGTGTGCTGTGCTGTGCTGGACGTGCTGGACCTTGCTGCTTGGTGCCCTGCCAGCTCATCTTGCAGCAGCTTTATGTGGAGAAGTGTCCGAGGTCACTGCAGACATTTAAAGACGCTCATGGGATTCCATGTTGTGGACCGCCATCGCTGTTTCTTCCAGAATTCTCGTGGAAGCTTCACTCATTCCGACGAAGACGACGGCGACGGCGACGGCGACAACTTCTCAAATATCACATATCACTCTTTTTCATGAACCCGGACGATGCGGCTCTTATAAGGACGAACGCTTGACGTGTGCTCCTCAGCTCGTGTGATGGAACATGGCCGCGCAAACACCCTCATTGGCGAGCCTTTTCAGCACAGCGTCCAATGGTCGCCGAAACAGGCCTTTCCGACCTCTAGTCAGTGGATACTCGAACTACCGACCGCAGAGATCAATGGGCCAATTGAACAAAGTCTTGCAAAGACGTCGCAGCTCAGCTTCAACAGAATTTCCTCGTGCGACTTGATAGCAAGACGAGAACCGGAAGACCAAGCGACCGAGAGGGAAAAGAGGCTCAGCGTTTCCTCGACTGCGACAGGACCGTCATTTTCGCCGCCGCGATCTTGGCTCACCGACCGAGGGGCAGGACGATGAGGGAGCGTGAAGAGAGGTGTCGCTGAAAATCTCGGACAACGACGGCCGGAAGAAAAAGGGTCGGGGGTTGGTTGGACACGTTCGCCCGAGTTGGGTTGGGTTCGCAAAAAAGGGTCGCCGCCAAATCTCACTCACCACCGTCCACCACCATTCACCACCACTACGACCACCACCATATCCGTCTGCTGGCCACACTTCCCCAGAGCAGCCGCACCCTATCATGGCGGCAGACCAGCAAATGGGGGGTCACATGTGCAGCTGCACGCTGTTCTCGGATGCATATGGCTGTCCATTCATCATCAGGCCAATCTGCAAGCCTGCAGGCGACATGTTATGAAGGACATTTCGAGCATCCCTTTGGGTGCTAGATGCGTATCAAAGAAAAGAGTCGAGCTGACGAGAGGTCGACAGCGGAAAAAAAAAAAGTGATGGTCAACGGTGGACGGTGATGGTGGTGGCCACCAGGAGGTTTCCCTTTCCGTCATGGAAATGCTGGGTAACCTGCCATGAATGTCTTTGGAGGGGTGGAGGGGATGGTGCTGCCATTTTGAAAGAGCCATGCTGAATCTGGATGGATAGTCAACACGGGCGACGACGCGGCCATTGAAGCATGGCGAGCATGGGATCGGAGAGAGGTCGAAGTGGGAGTGGTGCATCCATCGAACGTGGGGCCAAGCATCCCTCCGGCCATCATGTATGGCGGGATCCATAGCGGGACCCCATGTCCCTCATGTCAACCCTCCCCATTATACATGCATTCAGGCGCATCATCCCATTCCCATTGCAGCGCTGTCATGATGGATGGATCCGATGCCACTGCAACCGTTGGAGGCTTGACACTCGACAGTCGACAGAATTGCAGTTTCGCAGTAGATTCACGGTCGCGACGGCAAGCACCCTCTTCCCAACCCGGAAACCGATACAGTCATTTCGTCGACCATGTCTCAGCTTCCCGGCTTTCGGTCGCAGTTCGCAGCGGCAACACTCCTCAGCGGAACCGCAGAAGCCGTCCGTCCATTGCGTCGTCGCCGTCATTCCTCCCTCTTTCTCCTTCGTTCCTTTTTCCTTATTTTTTCCTGCGGCCGGATATTTTTGTTTAGCTGCTGAAGTAGCTCGTTCCCTTCGGCCCGCGCAGAAACGCGTTACGACGTTCCAAGACCGAGGTGGATACTGGAAATGTTCATGATCGGTCACGGATGACTTTTTTTTGCATCTGCTTGGTCGGTTGTCAAGTTGTTTCATCAACATTGGAGGTTTGGGTTGCGACGGGAGGAGGGGGGAGTTCCCGTCAGCCAAGGTCTCTCTGCCCGAGACAGTACTTCCATACTGTACCCTTCTTTTCAGAGCGAGAGTTTGCTGGGCTAACTGGGTCGCGGCCAGGCCCTTTGAGGTGACCAGGTGGTCAACCTGGGTGTTATCGACATGACGGGAATGACGGGTCCAATATTTGTCCTCCATGTCCTCCCCATTTCTCCAAGTTCTGGTCGAATCAAAGTTGAGGTGGAAAAGTACTCCGAAGTCGCAGTCAACTTTCGATACCTGATACTGACTTTCATCGGCTGAGCAGCCTTCAAGGCTGGACGGCACTCAACACGACCAAAAGTCACGCGTCTATCATTATTCGCCTTCAGATACATGGATCGGCCCCGGCCCGTCGTCCATTTCCTGCCTTCGGCTACCTCCCGTCAATACATGCTTGCTGCTGCTAGTGTTGCTGCTGCTTGTCGGGTGTGTATTTCAATCTTTCCTTTTCGCGGCAAACTGCTTGGCTTGGGCGAATCCACACCACCATTAAGACACACACGGATATACACACTACACACACACTCACTCACACATGATTATTACCTACATACTTGGCTACATCCACCGATACCACCGCGATCAAAAGGCAAGGCCTGGAGGAAGTAGCTAGTGGGCCGGCAGCACCCTTTCACCACACGCGCAGTCACTTGATCTGCCCGCTTGCAGCTGCAACCGCAATCTTACGAGACACCCTTGTCTACCTTGCAACTATCCCTCTTTGCGCTCCGCGTTGCGTAACTGGACGACACAAGTGGGAACCTAGACCTGGACAGACAGTTGCGCCAGTCGAGATCTCACCTTGTATCCGGTTATCTGACGGTACTCGCTGCATGGGATTATCTCAGAAAAAGGTGCGAGTGTTCAGTACGCGATCTCTCAGAAAATAGAAAGTCGAATCTGTTACAGAACCGTTGACCTTGACAGGCCACCCCTGCGAAACACGCCGACTGGACAAGGAGTGCAAAGCTGGACGGCGAGGTCAGCCAGGTGAACAAATCTGGGGTGTTGTTTGTTGCTGTTGTTGTTCTTGTCATTATGCTGGTCCTTCCCTTGTCGCTGTCGCCGATTTAACCTCAGTCAAATCCCATCCCATCCCATCCATTGCGCCTGGACAGCCGGACCGGGGTCATTTCAACACCAAGTGGAGCACTCACTAACACCAACATTGGAAACCGGGGCGCCCACCACCCCCCGTGCGACAGTGCAACAGTGGAACATTGACAGAGACAGCAACATCGTCTCGCCTGCCATCCAACTGGACAACATCTACTCGCCCGCCCGTCGTCGCTCTCCTCTACGGTAACTCGAAACTCCGGGAAGACGCGCGCTTCCCACTGTACTGCTCGCGTCTCTTTGCCGCCTGCCCTGCTCGATTCCAGGCTGCCGTCCTCCACTCATCTCCCGGTCTGGCGAGAGTGTCTTGGACTTAGAGTCGCAAGAGGGATCTGTTCGCTCGCTTCGCCCACCCCCTGGTTTTCGTGACCCCACGGCCGTGGACATGACGGATTAACGCCTTCTGGCACTACTGACTGCACATACATATCTCGACTCTGGCTGTCGAACTTCGTTTCATATCTCACCTAGTACACTGACCCCTGTCGTCCCCATTCCCGTCCGTCCACCTTATCCTGGATGCCCTGCAGGCGGCGCGCGCGCAGTTGAGTGGGAGCAAGCAGGTTGTTGTTGCAACAAGCACCACTACCCACAAGCCTGCCTCCACTATCAAGCAGGAAGCAGCAGCATAACATCAAGCACCATCAAGCACCATCAAGCACCACCAGCTCCAAGCAACTTCTCAGCTTGACTGCCGCAAGCAACAATTCCCCCTATTCGTATATGAATGAGGCCGCTTCGCCACTGCGACTCTGCCCCGTCTTCTCCGATCACGAGTGTCGCCCCCGGTCCTGTTGCCCGCCCGACGAATAACAAGTCATATTTGGCCCTCGACAAATGACTAGATATCATTCGGCCATTTCTCTTTTTGTCCTTCGTTTTTTCCTCCCTCCCGTCGACGACAGACTCCAGGAACCAAACCTCCATCATGGAGTCGTCGTTTGATGAGGAAGAAAAGGTATGAATGCTTCTTTCCAAGTTGGCTCTATATTCCCCCGCCCCCGCCCCTCGCTTACCCATGTCTCTTCTCGCACAGCGCTTCCTCTTGGGGGAAATCATCAAGGTTAGCGTCAATGTGGACGACATGATAGACTTCATCAAGCAGCATAACATCCATCAACCAGACTGGCACTCTATTCAGATTCCTCGAGGTGAGTCAAGGATTGTTTTACGGCCGAAAAATATGTACTGCAGCCTCTAACTTCAAGAAATGTGTAGGGAGGACCGTGAATCAATGCATTCAGGCTTACAACTCCATGGTGAGCAGGCCGTCGTTTCAGAGACCGATACTGTCGCCGCAAAAACGGAACTCGGTCGATGACTCGGAGGACCATTATGCAAAGAGGCGTGCAGTTGGCCCCGCGGAGGAAAGGCCGCCATATTCGCCCATGCGACCATACGGCCATCAACCATTTCCCACTCCAATAGCACAGCCCGTGAACATCCAGCCGCGGCCTAACGGTCTCCCCTCGCCAGGTATCCCTCCTCCGGCATCAGCTCTGAGCGCGGCTCCCACCGGTCGGAAACGGGGTCGTCCCAAGAAAGATGAGAGTCGAGCCCGCCAAAACATGCCGCAACCCAACCAGCCGATTGCGCCGGCACCCATTGCTCCATCGCCGAGGACTGTTGTTTCTACTTCTCAGCCGCTCAGTCCCCTCAGCGCTGGTTATCATAATTACAACTCATCGTACCGGTACTCGCCAATCGCCAGTCCGTATGATCCGGTAGCGGCAAGCAAGAGTGGGCAGCATTCGTTACCACATCCCGAGAGCGTACCCCGAACTCTTCATATGACGTCCTCTTCATTAGAAATTGGCCCACGGTTGGCAGGTGATTACAGTTCTAGCTGGCAGAGTACTGCATCAGGCAGGGAGCAACAACAGCACCAACAACAGCAGCAGCAACCACAAACTCCCACGTCTCTTCCCGCGCCGATGGAGCCTCCCGTATCATCGCATCACTCCTCGTACCCTACTAACCGAAGCCCACGTTTATCATCGGGATTTGGAGGAGGAGGAGGAGTGTCACAACAACATGGTCAAACTAGAGACACGGCACCCACAGCTTCCGAGCAGGGAAGATCGTCTGTTCAAACGACATCGGTTTGATACCCATTTGACATTTCAACGCGACCTTTTCTTTCCGATTTTTTCTTTTCTTCTTGTTCCCCGTTATTCCAGGATTTCATCGAGTTCTCTATCCCATGGAACTTGAGAACGGGTTGGACAAGGCAGGCCATCTTTTCGACAGGAAAAGGAGGAGTGTGCCTTCTAGTATTCAGAGTTTTTATTTGGTTGCGGCGGTCATCTCCACTTTTCAGCATTTGCTCACGGGTTCCATCACAATCATCGCATCAGTGTTTTGCGGGCTTTTGTCCTTTTGTTTTGCTTTTACCCTTTTCCTTTATCCTCAGTGTCTATCCTCTTGTTTGGCGTTCTGGGCATGGAATGGAATTAATACGCGTGCATGTCTGTGGCACATGTCTTTACACTCTGCGACTTCATCATGATACCCACGCACACATACAGGCTATTGGTCATGTTCTTGAGAAGAGGGGAGGCTGTACGGCTAGTCAAGTCGATGAGGCATGATGGAGTGCCTCGAATGGTTGAGCGAACGAACATACGGATGGCTATTCGTGGCGCGATGTAATTTCTACGGGCTGTGGGCTATGTTGGACTTAATGATACGGTTTTGGTTTGGTGTTCTTTCTTTCGGCGATCACGAAGTGTTTGCATTGATGTTCGCGCCTTCCACGCCAGCAATCAAACTTTCCACCTGGCGTACCTACCTTCTTGTATGGAAGAATCCGGTAATCAACATCACAGGAGCGGTGTATGATCGAATGCCCCATCACAAATATCATGTCGACGACGATTTCAACGCCCAAAAATGAAGCAAGAACCAGGAGGGTTATCATCATGAACGGCAGTTGCACCCGATGTCTGGTCTGATCAGTGCGGGTCTTGCTGCCTTTGCAGGCCAAAGGGGAAACGCACCTTCCTCTCAACACTGGTTTCTTCAAAATTTTCATCCAACGCCGAGGAAGGCGCTCACGATCTTAACAAATGAACGTGGACGCTGACATCCACTTTGCGAAGGAGCAGCTTCCTCCATGATAACCTTCCCACGTGGGAAGCAACAGAGGGTCGAATGAAGGCATCAGTTACTTACATCTTGTATGACCGCCTGCCTTCCAAGTCCTTCATCTTCCCCTCACTCACAACCATTGCCGGAGATTTCTCCGTCAACTTCAAGTTCAGTCATTTCGTCGTCTCTCTCCTCTCGCATCCCACACATCCTGGCACACTCAGATCATTGACGTTCTTGTTCTCCAGTCCAGATCCTTGGTCTCCTTCAGTTGGTTTCTTGCTCCTTGCAGCTTGCATCATCTACACCTCCCACCACAACATCGGTTGATTCATCAAACACGCCATCGGGACAACTTCAAGATGCTCACCACCATGATTCCCGGCACCCTCATGCTGCTTGCTGCTGCTCCAGTCGCTGTCGTCCAAGCCCAAAACATCGTCCAGCAGCCGACCGTGTACAAGACTGTCACCGTCCCCGTCGACCTGGTCAATTCTCCCAATGCCCAGGCTGCCGTGACCACCGTCGCTCTTTCAACCGTCACTGTCTTTGGCAGCGAGCCCAACTCTGCCCTTGCAACGATCGTGATCTCGCAAGATGCTGAGGAGAGCAGCACTGCTGCAATTTCCAGCAGCGGCCTCACTTCCTCGGCTCCTTCTGCATTTCCCTCTCTAACTGCGAACGGAACCTCTTTCGGAAACTTCACCAACACGACATGGCCGCTAGACAATTCCACCTCTGTCACCTTGATCGACCCCACTGGCACAGATGTGGGTGCCCAGGAAAGCAACACTGCTCATGACGGCAAGCCTGTGGACACTACTGGAAATGCCAAAAGTGCTGCATCCTCCGAGACTCATGGTCTCCTTGGTGGGTATGTACTTACCAGACCTTCACTGCACTCTGTCTCCTTTCTCTGAGCTTCCTTCGTTGAATCGCATGACTAACGGTTGTGGACAGGGTTATCAGAGGCATTGTTGTTGCTTTCCTCGTTGCTTTGGCCCTTTGATTCCACTACAGAGCAACTACGGACACAGGACGAACCAGCCTCCCCTGTTTCTCGGACAGCAAGAGCATCCCGATTTACACATGAGGAAGAAGGCTGCGGAGGAGCTACTACCGCGACAAGTAATGTTTATGTTGATGGCTCATGATCCATTCAAGGATCTGGTTCTCGAATATTCGGTAGATTAGCAGCAACATCTGCACAAAGAGTCGAGATAATCTTCATAGGGCCCATATCTGTTATGTCACCAATACATTACTTCCTACCCTATCAAAGTTGCAGTGTCTCGGCAATCCCCTTGGAAGTTCCTCACATGATGATAGGATCGATCCCAAGCCATGTCTACCGTAAGTAATTTCTCTTCATGCTCTCTTTTTTTATCCATGTGTCCGATCACTGCTTTCCCAGGTACCATCGAGCCAGTTGCTTAACCACATGGCCCCTTCACTCGCAACGGTTACCGTAACGGTCATGGACGGTACCCACAAGGAGACTAGCCTGGGAGGCATGGACTCGCCTAGACTTTTCACTGCCGGTAAGTTCAGCCGAGGTCAAAGCCTCCACCCCGAACAAGCTTTGTCACAACCGAACGAGACCCCATGGTCAGTGCCCTCGCCTCGGTCCGGGCCGCACTCCCCGTCCTGGACATTTAACCAGGATCTGTTCGACAGTGAACTGCGCAATGTTGATTTAACTCCTTAATAGTACGGTTTCACAATTACCTTCTTGGTGCCCAGACCATCCAAGCCTCATTTCCCAAGGAGCGATTTTTGTTGATCTCGATATCTCCTCGGTTTATTCCGTGCTTTGTTGCCCAATCGGGAACAAAAAGGGAGCCTGATTACGCATAGTCCAGGGCTGAGATTCCATAGGCCCTTCCACTTCGTCACGTTTATGCTGCCCTACAGCTGAACGAATATAAATCAGCTCACACCGCACCATTAGCAAAGGTACGTATCTTTGACTGTCCCGAGAGACCGGTCATTGGCTTGAATGCCGTCGTCGCATATAATGATCTGGTGATGCGTTCGGTGTTGTTCTCCGAAATCCTGCATTTCAATTGTCCATTTTTGTAAGGCTTGTGCAGCTCGGCTAGGTCAACCATTCTATCGGGTTTATTAGCAAAGATGATCTCCTCATCCATTAATGGCAATGTTAGCCGACGGGAAAGGATCAAAAAGTCGTGCACTGAATGTCGGAGGAGGAAACAAAAGGCGAGTTCTCAGTCATCCTGTTATTCTTGAGGAAAGCTTTGTGTTAACCCCTTAGGCAACAGTGTCAGCCACCGATATCACCAGGACAGCCATGTCCTAACTGTGCGAGACGATGGCCAAGAGCCGAGTGCATATTTCCCCTGGAACTGAGCACATGTGCCAGTCTTGCTGCTCTTGGTCCGGGTGGCATAAAAGTCACGTCCGCTCAGGAATTGGTGATGCGAGTCAAGCGGCAGCCCGAAAAGCTTCATCATCCTAGCCAGTGGGCTGTCTATGTTGTTTCTGATTCTGACAGGAAATACAAAGCTGGGAAGCAACGCTATGATGAAACCCACGGCGACAGCCCAGCAAGCGATTCTTCGACGGAATATGGCGTAGCTGAATATCGAGGCGAGGTGATGACACATAGCAGGGGATGTAATGCCGAGTACGGGAAGGGAAAGAATCACGCAGGAGTGTCACTGAAGAATGGTCTGGGACTGGGAGGTGTATTGACGTCTATCACAAGTTGTCTGGGAAGTTCTCACATTGACGACAGTCTGAGGAATACCGAATTAATGCATTACTGTAAGTCCACTTTTCTTACTCTGAACGCTCGGTTGGCATGGTGCTGACATGTTCAAACTCGCCGTAGTCCTCGACTTTGTGGCTCCCAACCTTGTCTCAATCGAAGGAGACTACACCCCACCCCTCTTTCGTCAACAGGTGCTCCCGTGGATGATGCAATCGCAGCTATTTCCCAAGATTGGCATACTCATGGCTTCAGTTTTCCAAGCCTTTGAACGAGGTTATGATGCTGAAAGCTATCCAGAGCCGCTGGCTATCAAAGTGAACGTGCTGGGAATGATAAACCGAGCTATCGGGAGCGGAGTATATGAGTTGGATGACGTAGTGAGGTCGATCATGAACCTGGCTGTTATCGAGGTGTGTTCAAACGAGCTTCTCGACTACCCCATAACGTATATCAGTGTGTGCTGACATGTGGATAACCGGACAGTGGCTATGGGGTAAAGAAGAGAGCCTGGTTGCGCACTTGAGAGGGCTCAAGTATCTCGCTCGGCCAGCAGACGGCCGACCAGGCTTGAGCGACCCCATGTCTCTTGGAGGCCTTATGCTGTAAGCTCGACTTCCTCAGCACCCTTCGTTGCCATGCTACAATTACCGAAAGTCACAGCAAGCTAATGACAACCCTACTATCAGTGTGGATCATGCAGTAGCCATTACCTATGAACGAGATCTCCTCATACACGATCGAAATGACCCCCAGCCTCCACATATGCCAAACCATAACATACCGATTCCTTTCCTTTCCCCCCTACTACCCGATCTTCGCATCTCATTCCTGCAGAGCATGCATGCTCTCGGCTTGACATCCACTGCAGCTCACACACTGAGCCGTATTCTCCGTCTGACGGCAATGATCATTGAACCAGCCTCCGCATCCTCTCCAGGATCGGAGCCAGTTGACCCCATCCCTACCACCACCATAAGAGCTATAGCATCACGTCTTTATGGACTCTTAGCCTCAGCGCCTATCGAACCTGATCTCGTTACGCAAACCATCCAGCTCTGTGCCCTTATATTCACCACCTCCATCTCTACCATGCAGCCCATATCCGCCCTCAAAACCGAAGCCCAGTCGCAAACTCTGTATGAGAACATCCTCGCTGTTGGTCCGAAAAGATGGAAAGAGATTCCAGGTATCTTTCTCTGGGTCTTGATGGTGGCTTCGCCGCATCCGAAGAACCCGCCTCGAGAGGTGCTTGAGTCTGGTGATGTGACGAGGTGGGAGCTCAAGCGGAAGTATTTGGTGCGGAAGATGTCGACAGCTTTGCAGGTTATTTCGCAGGAGGATTTTGGGTTGGGGATTGCGTATTTGAGGGGGTTTTGGGCTGTTCAGAGGTTTGTTGTGGAGGGGAGCGATGGGGGCGAGTGGAGTGAGAGTGAGGGGAGTCCATGAATACAGAGCGTCGAGGAGTGAGAACGGGGGTGGGGGTGACAACGGGAAACATGGTGCCGGTAAAGGAATCGGCTGGATGGAATGACAATGCCGCTGTTGTGTGTGAGATTGAAGCTTTTAGAATTTGACCTGCTGGTCGGGTATTATACTCTTCTTCTATCCAGTATCAAGTAAACAAAAACAGTTTACCTTGCTTCCTGATGATGCAAAACCAGACCCAAAACTCCCCCGAACTCCTTTTGATTGAAACAAAATATAAAAAAAAGGCGTCAAATCATCCATCCATCCTCCTTCCCTCATCCTCGTCTCACTCCCTTATCAATGACCACCCTGACTCCCCGATGAATTCCTCCTATTCTTACTCCCGCTCCCATTTTCGCTCCCATTTAAATGCGACGAATGCGACGAATGCGGTCGCGAGCCATGTGCATGATGTAAATGCAGCACATCCAACCCCGCCAGCACCATCCCTCTCAACCCCGACAAAAGCGGACTCGGTGGTCTATGACCAGTCTCTGAAGTAGGTGACGAAGTAGCAGAAGAGATGGTTGTTGTCGTCCCCAATCGTTGTGTTGTCGCTGTGGTTGCGGTACTTTGTTCGTGGTGCAGATCAAAGTAAGAAGGATCCCAGCGGTAGGCTTGCTGGCGGGGAGGAGGTGATGGACGAGGAATTTCGGCTGTGTGGTGGTGGATCCGCTCGAGACGCTCGAGACGCTCGAGGTCGGAGGTCATCATGTGGTAGTATTCTTGGTCTTCCATGGGTGGTGTTGTTGTTGTTGTGGTTTGGTTTGTGTTGTTTGGTGTTATTTGTGTGAGGGGTGATATGTGGTGTTTGGTGTTTGGTGTTGTAGTGGTTGTTAGGTGCTTGGTGATTGATGCGTGAGGTCGATACAACTAGAGGTAGGTATCGTTTGTCTTGGCAACTGAGTGGAAGTTGTGGTAGTGTCGATTGTGTTGATTGTGGTGTTGGTGGTTTATGCTGTGATAGTGGTGATGGTGTTTAGCACAAATAACCATGAAAAGTAATGTATCACTGTATCGATGATGCTCTGTAGTAAACAATGCTTGCTGGTGATCGAAAAGGTAAGTTATTCCAGAACAAACGAAGGGGATTCAATCCCCCTCAAATACATATGTCCCTTTCGTCTAAACATCGTCAAGTCATGGCCACCGCCGACGGGCGGTTACGGCCATCGTTCGGTTAGCCCACACTCACAGGGTCGTTACAGGGGGAAAGCAAATAATCCGGGGAAAGCGTAGTAGAAACACAAGATCTGAATGATTCAAACGGGTTCTTTCAGATAACATCAGCAGTTTTTGGTCCATTAGTTCGATGAGCAATTCTTTTCCCCCCATATTACGGGCAATAACGGGTTGGCTAGATGGTGAACTGCTGTGTCCGCTGACACTGGAAAACCCCCTTGCAACCCCCAAGTTTCCGACTGAGCCCGATGGTCGATGGACCATGGAGTTCGCCAAGAGGTAGCAATCACGTTCCCTGTGGCGCGACCTGGGCAAGGAAAACGCACCACCGACCGACTGGCGATTGCCGGGCACACCACACTCTTTGGTCGGTCATCTGCGCTTCGCTTTGTTCTAGTAGACCCCTGGACCCTTTGGGAATCGAGACCAACTGCGGATCACTCAGGGCCGGGAGTGTCAAGGGCGGTCGCGAAGGTGAACTTCAGTTGTATTTCGGCGTCGGGAAACATGATGATTGCGATGCCCGACACGAAGAGGGAGAGGAAAGGGTCGCGATGGTCAATTAAGTCAGAGGTCAGTGTGTTTATCGATAAGGGCGGCAGGTGCAGATCGTCATCGTCATTTCATTTTGGAAGGGGGTTGCCAAGGAATGCCAAGATTTGGGGATGGCTTCTCCCTTCTCAGACCGCGCGAGGACAAAATCGCGAGATGGCAGGGTCGGCGATAAGAGTTGCGATTATCTGTTATGCTGTTAGTGTAATCTACGCAAAACGAACATGCAAAGCTTCGTTCTGCGCTAACAACGCAATCGCGTTAAGCTTGTTTTGGCTAGAGCATGACTGTTACTGCTCCTATCGACGTATCTGTTGGTGCTTATCTTATCTACTTACAAGCCGCGGGCATTGGCCAATGAGATGTCCCAGTTGATCTTGAAAGTACTTCATGTTTAGCGGTCGCTATTAGCAAAGCCTGCGATAAGGGGCTACGTTGAGACTTATCTGATAGTGAATGTGGGCATTCAGGTACCTACCCATTCCATGAGGTCTTCACAACGGGAACCTCGTGACAGGATGTTCAATAAGGAATCAAGAGGTCACATGAAAGACTTGAATATTTAGAAGACGACAATGATCTGGTGTTGATATGGAAGGCGAGCGTAACTGATGTGGGTTGAACAGTCACTCGTTGGAAGACATTGATAATGTTAACAACATGTTGAAGACCATCATGTTTCGAAAGCACCAAGGTCAGTTTGACTCGTTGAACCAGACAATAGCGAGTATAGGAATCGAGCAAGAGTATAAATGACAGTGAAGTTGATGATGGCATTGATTGGTATGTTCATTTGCTCAAGATTTGAAGACGGTGTTAAGTTTGTTCATAAACTCGATGTTCAACGAGAAGAAAAGAAAACAAAGCAAACACTTTCCAACTAAGTTCTGTTCATACGACGGGTTTAATTCATAAATGGAAGGAACGTTTCGAAACATGGAACTGATTGCCCGAACGAAACTACTATGCTTGAATGACAACAACGTCTTGTTTCATTTCACTGTCACAATGTCCAAAAAAAACAAAACTCCAAAAAAAAGTGAAAAAAGTAATGCGCCAGCCGCGAATCGAACGCGGGGCCCATCGATGGCAACGATGGATTTTACCACTAAACCACTGGCGCTTGTAATTGATATTGTAGTGGAAGCATATGATCGGCTTATCAGAGGGAATCGGGTGCCAGTGCTTCACATGTTTGACATTGCCTTCTTCACCCACATCGTACATGACTTCTTTCGACCACAGGACACGAATTATTTTGCGTCAAACATGGCGGACGTGATCCTACTTGCTAAAAATCAGGGTCCCTCTCTCAAGCGAAGCCATCGTGACTTTTTGCCGTCGGACAGACATGCTCTACGTCACAGCACAAGCATGGGCCGAAAACGTGAAGACATATCGATCTAGGACACCACAAACCATATCGCGCGATCTGGACCGTGGCATCGACGACTCGCGCCAGCACCTCGCAAGTCACTTCTATGTACTTCAGCCAGTACACTCAATGCCGGAAATGCATTCATCCGGCAGCAGCGGAACGATTGTTCCTGCAAGATCTCGCCCCCGGACCCCGGACGCCTCCTTTTCCTAGGACTGCTAGGATAAACTCGTCTCCCAGAACATCGCCATCGTCGAGCCGAGTCTTGGCCGTCAAGCTAATTGGTAACAATTTGGCGGAGAATCTTTAGAAGCTTGGTGTTCTTGGCTTGTTCTTGGCTTTTGAGGAAACCTCCCACATCTTTCCCGAATCGATGGTGTTTTCTCCATGATGGAACATTCCCACCGCCCGCCTGTCTACTTCAAGTTGGCTTGGCGAAGATCAACCGCCTTGAAACCGTCATCATTTTCAGCTCTGCAAGTCTGTTTGATATTGCTCTCTGAGACAGCAATAACTTGGTTTTCACATGACCGTTGAGCCATTTTACCCTTTCATCTTACGAACACAGATACGAACACCCGCGATGCCTCTATGGGAGGGAGAGATAAGAGACGATCTGCAATCTTGGCCAAAAATATACAACTGGGCAATTTGGGAACCTTGCCATCATCTGGGGTTCCCCACAGACGCCTTGTCGGTTGCACACTGCGGAGAGATGAGAGAAAGCAAAAAAAGCAACGGTCTTTGTTGAATGACCATAGCAGGCGTCCCTTGCCACTATTTATTCTGGTCATGTCAAGAGAGCTGGAGTAAGCGAAAGAGGCTCTCAAAAAGTCGGTAGAGTCGGCCAACAGGTACGCGTACACGGCGGTGACACCGACGGTGAGTTGTGGCTAGTGTGGCGTAACGGGAAGGGATCGACAGCCGCGGAGCCGTTAACGGATCTGCGAGATGCGCCCCTGGACCGGGATCTGGATGGAGCCCCTGAGAGTGGACGATGTTTTTCACCAAAACAACCCCTGAACGGCACGTTCCGTTGTGCATTTGCAACCCAACATCCCAATCTCAATGCTTCATCTTGGATTGGCTATTTCGCTGTAGTACCTGATCTGCACAATATGGTATCGTTCTTGGTGTTGAAGAAAACGTGCCAAGAATGATGCCGATTGCATCATCGCTCGTCTAAATTTTATGAACATCACTAACTGGAATATCAGAACACCACCACGATGGATTCATCCCTCTCCTTGATACTGTCAAGACATCTTCAACTCATCGAGGACCCCTACTCGTGTGGGCTACTGTGTAGAAACACCTTCACACCCCTTGGCCCAGCCCCCGCCAAGCCATAAGTGCACTTACGCATGGCACCTTTGGATGAAGCTGTGATGGAGTTTCTCCTAAGCCTCACCTTAGTGTAGCTCCTAGCCTCACCTTAGTGTAGTCTCCAGATTCGAGATCCTGCAGCTGTACCTTACACCGTCAATCATTTGCGGAGACCATCCGTGCGTTGACAGGCCTTGGCATCAGGTTCATTGAGATCTACGACACCAGTTGGCTGGTTCAAGCTTCGAAACCCTTGTTCCCAAGTGCCGTGGCCGTGGAGAATGCGTTCACCGTTCACCGTTTACGCCCCTCGCCCAAACTCACCGTCGCTGCCACTTACAGCTTGCTCAACTTCGCCAATCTAGCGTGAAATAACCGAGAAAGGAGAGAAAGGAGAGACCGCCTATCACCATGACGCTAAGCTTGATGGCGAACAACTCACACAGACAACATCGTCGACATGGGGGCACGATGAGGAGGCCAGAATCGACGACAAACTTGTATATAACTCGAGCTCATCTTCCTCCATCAACCGGTTTCTTTTCCTCATCACACACTCACTCACAACACTCACTCACCAATACAACTAATACTTAATAATCACAGTCATTCTTTAACAAACATCCAACTACTTTCACATTCTTTAGATTTTCTACAACCTTTTTAATCAACAACCACCAACAACCGCAAATATGAAGTTCTTCAGCGCTGCCCTCTCTGCCGCCACCATTGGCTCCGCCCTTGCCTCTCCCATCCTCGGCTCTGCCTGCGGTGGTGCCCCCGCTGCCCCCTCCGGCATCAACCCCATTGCCGGCCACGCCGCTGCCCCGTCCGGCATCAGCGGCCTTCCCGCTGCCCCCTCTGGCCTCAACGGCGGCGCCGCCTCCCCCATCGACGGCGATGACCTGGTTCCCTCCCCCATCCAGACCTTGACCTCCGCCACCACCCTCTACCAGACCTGGGCCACCACCATCTCCGACTCCAAGACCCAGTACTACAACGTCCCCGGCGTTGCCGCCCCCACCGGTCTTCCCGCCGCCCCCGCCGCCCCTGGTGTCCCTGCCAGCAACATCGGCTCCGGCGCCAGCAACGGCGCGGGCGTCGTCGTCATCGTCAAGGAGGTCACCACCATCGTCCTCAACATCGAGGTCCTCGTCAAGGCCGACATTGCCCGCATCACCGAGCTTGTCGACTGCAAGACCGGCATCGACGCCGAGGTCCTCCTCCAGGCCCTCGTCAGCCTGAACGGCCACCTCCACACCGTCTACACCGGTGTCATCCCCCAGATCACCGCCCTCATCCGCCCCGAGGTCGGCCTCGTCGCCGCCGAGCTCCAGATCGTCCTCGACCTCGTTGCCGACATCGAGATCCTCCTCCACCAGGTCGAGGGCTGCCTCAAGCACCTCGTCGCCACCGCCACCCACGACGTCCTCAAGGTCGTCGGTGCTGAGCTCAACATCATCGCCGCCCTCATCCTCCCCATTGCCACTCCCATTGTCAACTTTGCCCTCCGCGCTGTTGTCGGCCTTAACCTCCAGGCTCCTACCCTCGTTGCCCAGATCCAGGCCCACGCCCAGTCCATCAACCAGTGCGCTGGTGGCCTTCACATCTTCCTTGGCGCTGCCCTCAAGGTTGTTCTCTAAATTCTTTAACCAGCCCGGTTTTAGAGTCAAGAGTGCGATGCTCAGATACTACTAGGAGAGGAGGAGAAGAAGAGGAGGAGGATGAGTGGAAGAGTAGGAGAAGGGGAAGGAGTGGAAGAAAAAGGAGTGGAGTGGAGGATCGGGGAGTTAGAAAAGTACCTAGAAAGCAGTGGATAAAAAAAGAGGAGGAAGAGGAAGAGGATAGGAGAGGGAGTTGAGAGAAGGGGAAGAGGAGTGGAAGTTGAGTAGGAGAAGGAGAAGGGAGTGGTGAAGAGGGGATGAGGAGTTGAGGGGATAGAGGAGTCGCTATAGATCGGAAGGGGTTCTTGCATATAAATCATCGGGGGGGTCCTTTGCTCTCTGGTACGTAGAGGGTAGTCAATATTGTCTTTAATAGCTAGCTGAACAAAAAGAACTTGGTTGTTTAAAAATACTTTCCTCTCTTTGCTTTTGACTTCAATGGTGCAGTGAGATACCTTACTTTCTTCTGGCTGGTGAATTGGCTCACTGGTAACTACCTATCAGCATAAGAAACTCGAACTTAGGTGGAGGTAATCTACTCCTCATTCCAGATCCATTCTCATCGGACACCACGGAGCCGACTTCTGATCCTGATCCATCCATACCTACCTACCTTCCGAATCAGTGGGCACGTTCAGAACAAGTGTCAGTCGTCCAAAGAGTGTGCCGGGGATCCAGGTTTAATCCAATCTTCCTCACTCGGGGCGGGTGTTGAGGCTTCCAGCCTCGGTCGACTCCTTTTCGTAACTGGAACTCGCATCCGGATGATCCATATCGACACCAAGGATCTGGTCGATGACGGAGCCTAGGGTTTCCTCAGTATCGTTGACGGGGTGGTGAATGGCAAAAGAATTAGTATATATATATATGTCATTGGGAAGAGTTTGGATGTGATATTGTGACGGGGCCTTACTTCTGTAGCGGGGTGTAGCATGGGAAAAGCCTGACGGAGCTTCTTAAGAGCTTCTTGGTCTATATTTGGATGGCTACCAGGTTCTCGCAGCTCTTCCTTCACCATTTTGTGGATGTCCCGGAACCATCTATATTCCGTATGGGTCATTTCACAGCTACCTCTAGGTTTAGCTTGTCTGACCGCTTTGAGCTTGTTGAGGGAAGCGATCCAGTTCCGTTCAGCCTCGAAGAGGGCATTCTCTTCGTTTGTTGCATCCTGTCCGCTGTCTAGCTTAGCTAAAAGGTTCTTGACGGCTTCGTGGAGGATGCGCTGCTTTTTGTTTGACATCTTTGGCTGAGGAGGGGAGTGACTGAGACGGGGTCTGTTTGATGAAGCGATGCGTTGTATTGTGGACGACGGCTAGGGCAATAGGGCGACGTACTAAACCGCATCGAATCTATGGCTGAGTGGTTGATGGGAGTATATCTGACGTTGGTCGTTTGGGTTGTGGATGAGGAAAGTGGTTTGCTGAGAGGGCATGGAAGAAGAGGAATGATCCAGAATTCAATGTAAGGCGCCACGAGATGCAAATAAACTTGCTGACTGGTTTGGAGAGAGGAGGAAAAGGAAAGAACAGAGGTTGGGGAAGGGGTCTCTTATAGGCAGGCCGAGGATTATCCATAACTAGGGACTTCTCACAAGTATCTTCAAGATCTGGTTAACTTCGCTTGTATGTGACCACATCGACTTCCTGCCTGTTTTTCCTCCCATATCGATATCTCGCACAATCTTTGCATAGCGGGATACCGCTCTTTTCTTCAGCCAGGGTCCAGATTTTTCCTAACTTCTCGTTCTATCTTTTCCAAGTCGAAGGTCGTCATCTTTCCGCTGCACGGAGGGAGAGCCGTGTGGGATAGAGTGCAAGGCGAGGGATTTCGTTTCATTCAATGTACCTCCAAGGCAGTATCGCCAGCAGAAAGATACCTTTCGTCTAGAAGATTTCCTCCAGTTGGGTCCCGATCCTCCTCTTCTCGACTCTTATTAAAGGAATCAAGCAGGTTTCATCCGGCAGGTATCGAAAGTCATCAAGGTCCCCGACCGTTAATGCGCCCGCTATGTTCTGTAGCAGATTTCATTATCTCGTATTTCCGTTTGTTTAGCGATTACCTTAAACAACCGCAGCGGGAATATGAGGGGCGCGTCTAGGGCAGACGGGAGGCGTCTGCGAAAATCTCGGATATTCTCAATGGAGTATGTCAACACCAAAATTGGCTAGAATTTTCATCAATAGGCAAGATGGCCGAGCGGTCTAAGGCGCTACGTTAAGGTTAACCCTTAATCTGAGTTAAATCTCATATCCGTAGTCCGAAAGGGCGTGGGTTCGAATCCCACTCTTGTCAAACCTTTATTTTTTGCGATTTTGCGTTCCCGGATCTGGCGAGGATGTCGGTCTTTTTTCTCTTTTTGGCGTTTGGGGATATGGAGTCTAGAGACTGATCTTGCCGGGGGTGACCTGGACAACCTTTTTTTTACAGGGGACGTGATCCCCGGTGCGGTGCCGGCACTCGACTGGGGTACCATGGGCATCGAAATGCAGAATGGGGAACGTTGGATTTGTCAACAGATATCGGGCAGGATGATGAACGGGGCAAGATGGCATTTTTGAGTTTCGCATCAGACGAGAGTTGATCCCGGTGATAGGGAAGTGCGGCCATTCAAGAGCTCTGGTGCGGTTGTTCATTGGGTATCGACTGGTGTATATGGTAATAAAACAATTCATCCTTCTCTTTTCCTCCTCTGTCTCTTTCTTCAAGGCACGCTCGTCTTGATCTGGACGCCGTGCCACTGCTTGACCAGTTCGCCGAGGGCGGCATTGACCAGACGTTGCTGCTTGAGCATGTTGAGGCCGCGGAACTTCTCGGAGCAGATGTCGACGCCATACATGGAGCCGCAGCCTCCCGAGATGTCTCGCACGACGAGGTTGGTGGGCGCAAACTCGCGGATCAAGATGTCCCAGACCTGGGCCTCTCCCTCGTCCAGGTCTTCTGGCTTTTCAGGGACAGCGCTGGCAGGTTGTTCTGAAGCCGCGGTAGAGTATGTCCTCGAGGCAAGGCGAGCCGGGGTCTGAAGGGCGCGCTGTTGAAGAAGAGCAGAGGTAGAGTAGGCGGCAGGAGCAGCGGAGCGTGTAGAAGCCAGCGAAGAGAGAGCCCTGCTTGGCTGTTGGAGAGAGGCGAGTCTTTGAGAAGCCTCGGAGCGGAGGCCAGCTCTGCTAGCATGAAGGCAGGCTCTGCAAATCATGGTGAAGCTGGTGTTGAGCGGGGGTGGTAGGCGAATAACAGGGAGGATTATTTGGCAGCTTGAGTCTATGACGGCAATGGTTAGTTGGGCCTTCGCAGGTGGTCTGCCGCGGCTGCGTGGGGAGACGTACTTGGGGTAGAGTTGATGGATGTTATGCTTCAAGGTTGAATTTGAATCGCTCGTTCGGACGACAATGCAATTCTGGGATGGGATGACGAGTATGTCAACTGATGTCACTGCGGTGTTCGTCTCGATCGTGAAGTTCATCCGGCAATGTGCGGAGAGCTTCTTGCTCCGGCTCGGTCATCAATCTTTTGGAAGCTTTGATTGGCTGAAACATCTCCAAGCCGACGTATACCCCACTATCCTTGCCGGGTCGGCAAGATATGGTTGCCGCCGGCAACTCCCTATCTGGCATCTGCGGGAACATCCCGTTGCTCACACCGTCCATCAACTTGAGCCGACGCTACCGCCATCAACCAACAACACCACACAGCTGAATGATGATGATCATCTTTGTTTCTTTTCAACTCTCCAATAATAGTGCTGTGTCGGTTTAAGGTCAATGGTCGTGTCAAGCTCACCGCTTCGGTCAGCTCGACTGGGTGAGCTGCCCATATCATATGGGGATTTCCACCATGTCTCATTTCTCTATATCCCACATACCGTATGGTCCTTCATCGTTGAAGCACCCGCACCGTATTCTTCACGCATACGCCTTTCCAAGTTTACGCCAGAGCACGTTGTTTCACCTTGTTGGACCACCACTCAACAGCCATCTTGAACGTCACTGCATACGCTTATCTCGGCTCCTGAGTTTGTGGCGGCTGCATTCATGCCGTTCGGGCATTCTGTGTAGCAACTCTGATATCGAACCCAAGCCCGTTTCCGGGACTCTCCTGAGTCTGCTCCGTATGGCCTCTTTATTTTACGAGACAACATCTGAACATGTCTGGCGATGCCACATGACACAGCGTGAAGCATCCGTCTCGCTTCTTGATGGTGTCGTCTAATTTCCAACCTACTGGCCAGCTGCCTACTCCAGAACCATGACCCCACGAAAACAAGGAGTCCAGGATAACGCATTCGCCTTCGCTGTCCGGTTTTAGCAGGTCCTCTGGTCTTTTATTGACGCCCTTGACCTGCTCGTCCGGCCGTGGTCCTGGGTAGTTTCTTGGGTGGGTGTCATTGGCATCGGTCTCGTCCGCTGGAGGCCTTTGCAAGCAACCCGTCCACTGCAGAAACAGGGTATCATTGCTGCTCTAGTTCTAGTGAGCCTAGTCAGTGGGACTCTGTGGCAGCGGGGCGACGCAGGAACATTCAAATTTCAATAGCAGCACTTGAAGGCATCTCAACTGCCTATTCGAGCCTACCATTGCACCCTTCACCCCTTCCAAGTACCACCCAAGAACGTGGTGACTGTGCTTCTGGCCGAGGCTCTGTTTTGCTTTATACAAATTCCCCGATTCGCCTCCGATTCCTACTCTGCAAGAGGAAGCCATCCAAACAACACACATCTCGTCTAGAAGAGCAGGAAAAAGAAATTCGCCATGTATCGTCTGCTGGCGTCGGAGCCTTGAGACAGTAACTGGAACCACTGCTTCACTCAGTGGCTCTGAACGACATGTGTGCAGTCAACATATCATCACTGTACTTTGGCGGATCGATCGTGAAAAAGGCAGCTGCCGTGATTACTCAAGACGTTGAAAAAGAAAAAGGTAAGAAAGCTTCGCTTTTGCCAAGTCCGTGTCCAAGATCTTGGGTGTTTGTTGTTGTTGACATGGGACTTCTCAGCTTCTCTTTGGTGTTGTTGCCATGTCCCTGTCTGCATGTCCTTACCAAAGTTTAATATACAACGCCCAGACATCGGGTCACAGAATTGACGGGAACATGGTCCGACTTGGGGCGTGTTTGGTTCAACCAACAAAACAAAAGTTTGTATGGGAAAATTATCCCTGTTAGCTAATAGACTGCAAATATTAGTATTGATCCGGCGTCGGACCCCCTTTACCCCCTATAAACTAAATGCAGCAGGCTCTTGGCCGTACCTCCCCTATATATGGCTTATTGTAAGGTTATCGTGCCGAAGGGCTTGGGAACCAGGCCCAAAGAGCGGAACGTTATAACGAACTGATAAGAGTGATAAGGCGGGGCGAGGGGGCCGTTATAATAAGTAGTAGAGTAGGTGCGATAATGATAGAGGCGTACGGTCGGAGGCCGGGTGCCGGATCCCGGGCCTATTAAGGGTTCGCGTATAAAATATTTTATAAATATTTTCAAAAGCCGATAATTAAATTATTATTTTATAACGAATGTTCTCCGTAAAGTTTATTTAGGAAGATAGTCGAAAATAAAGTAAAATTTAGGAAAAATTTTTATAATTCGTTTATAAAGAATATATTATATTAAAATATTACGAATTAAAAATTAGGGAATTGTTTTATTAAATAATTTAATATAATAACGAAAATTCGTAACTTCTATAAGAATGGTACTAAATTAATTACTAACGTTTAAATTAATTAATCGCTAATAATACAAATTAAATTTACAATTTATTTTTTTTGATTAAAAAATTACGTTAATATTTCTAAAATATGGAAATCCCTATTAAAGACGTTTAGAACGTAATTTAGAAAATATTAAACTAATAATTAAAGGACTATAAAAAATATATGTAAAAAGAATTTATTTAAATATAAAAAGTTTTAATAATGTTAGAAGTTGTAAAATAATTTTAATATTAAATAGTTAAAACGTTTTCAAGACTATTCGAATAAATTTCGTAATAATTGAAAGCGGGAATAATTTTCTAACCGGACGGAAATAAATTCTAAGGGTTTAAAATTAAAATACTATATTTATAAAGAAAAGGGATATATTATTAAGAATTATATTAAAAAATTTAAAACGGAAGAATATTATAAATTCCGTAATAAGTTAAGCGAAAAAGCCTATATTTAAAATATTATTACCGAATTCAAATTTAAAAAAAATAAAGAAAATAATTATTTATTCGCCGTTACCGCGCTTTAAAATTAGATTAAACGTACTTATCCCGATAGTATAAACGTTAAAACCAATAATAAAAATAAAGTAATTAGTAATAGTAACGGTCGCGCTCGAAATAATAACGACGAGGATAAAATTATAATTAATATAAAGATTAAATAAAACGAAAGGATAGTAGGGTTTAGGGATATATTCGCTTAAAGGATATAGGAGGGTTACTATTGCTAGCGGTGGGTAGAAAAGGTCCGCCGGGTAGAACGTAAGTAAGTTAAGTAAATATAGTAAATACAATAACGATAATTTATCTATACTATAGCTACTTTTCTATTTTTTATTCAAAAACCGATACAATAGTATCATTTTATTCATTAAACTAAATTAAATCAATTAATATTAATTATACGTATTTTAGAATTGAATTAAAAGAATAGTCAATATATAAACATCGACCCTCTATATAAGGTTAAGGTTCATATTCTATAATCGCGGGACTATATTATTATATTTGCCCTATATTTATAATTTTATTACTTACTAGAACTTTGATTTTATTAGATTTTATTGCCCGCCCGCTAGAGCCGTAATTTTATTAGATTTTATTGCCCGCTAGAGCCCAAATGTTAATTTAATAAAATTTCTAATTTTATAATATTTCGTATTTAATACAGTTAAACCCCTATATCTCCTAATAATAATAACTTTATGTTATAATAATACAATTATAATCTACAATATAACTTTCCAACTACAATACGCACGAATACGAAAATAAAAATAATAGAATCGGGTTAATAAAAGCTACTAAATAGTATAAAAAATTATAATATTTCCTAGCGAAGTAAAAATGAAAATTAATTTTAAAAAGTAAATACCGGCGCATCTTGGAAATTAAATACTAATTTAAGTAATTATTCTATTAATAATATCTTCGCCTTAAGTACATTAGTAAATGCTACTATATATACTAAATCTTTCTTTAATTCGCTAATTAATTATTACTTTTTATCGCCATATATCCTTTTTAATACAAATACTATTAAAGCAATTAACGTACGAAAGAAATTAAAAGAAATAGGATTAGAAGGAAATTATAATTATAATAACCCGGCGGCCGTTAACTAAATAGGTAACGATTCGAATCTATAAGACAAAGCTTTAAATCTAATACTAATAGAAAAGGCCAACCAATTTATATTAATAATATAAATTATTCTTTTCTTAATTAGCTGATAGATTTCGACTTCCTCCTCTTTATCGTTACTTGAATCTTCTTCTACCTTATTAGTATTATTAAACAATACGTTATTAACTTCGGAGTATTTACTATACTACTTCTACTTACTGTTAGTAAAGTTGGTATATAAGGTATTTTACTTAATTACAACTAGGGGATTCTTATTCTTTATATATAATGTAAAGTGGTTAAAAATATTAATAATATATTTATCTATTACCTAATTAATAGTAAAAAAAAATATTATTTCCTTATAATTCTTTAACGGGGTCGTCTTTAACTAATTCGATTTAAATTTATTAATTAAGAAGGATGTTTATATATTCTTATAAGTATTAAAAAAATTAATTGTTTTATTAAGTAATACCCCCGTTTTATATATAAAGCTCAATTATAATTAGTAATTAATTTTTAATATATTTTAACGGTAACGTACCCGCGAGCGAATCTAATTTTAATTAACATATTTAATACGTATAATTATAAGCGCTTTATTAAAAGCCGCTGTTAACTTCTTCCCTTTAAAACTTTCAACGAATGTTTACTCCTTTTAAATATTTGCTAAGAAGGTAACGAACCGTTTTATTTAGCTAATAGACTACTTTGGAGACCCAATCTCCTTAAAAAATAGGAATTTATTGTTAAATAAGGCGGGTTCAATATTATATTTATCCTTAGCGGTAACGGCGGTAGAAGTAACGGCGGTAAAAGTAATAATAGAAGTAATAATAGAAGAAGGACTAGTTTAAGTAGGGTGGTTAATAGGGGTAAATCAAATCGAAGGATTATAACCTTTAATTAAGAAAATAGCGCTAGAATTATAAAATAATTTATTCTCGGCTACCTAGGTAGCTAGTTTAAGCGAATAGGTAATACCCGGTTAATTTTAATATTAATTCGCTGTAGAGTAATTAAAATTAATTAAAATTAATTAATATGCGGCGTTCGAAGCTAAGCCGCTAATTAATTAGCTAAAGGGGTAAATTAAGGAGGCTAAATGGAAGGAAGAAGATATAGAGGAGGTATTAATTATACAGCTATAATATTATATTCTTAAGTATTAACGTAGTTAGGTAATATAGAACTAAACTTTTTTTAATTCGGAATAAAGTTAATAATTACGGCGGCCGTTATAAATGAATTTATTTAAATTAAATA